AACCCAGCTCCAGCGTAACCTTGAGGCCCAAACGAGGATATGGGTTGAGCATATTTTGGGTAGCTCAGATGCACTGGCCCTCCGGGACTATCGAAGCTGGACAATGTGAAATTTACCGTGGCGTTTTCGGCACGGTATCTAGTATCTGGCGGCGTGAACGAGAAGCTCTTCTTCATGAAAGGGAACATATTGTCCCAAAGGTACGCTGTATCTCCAGTTATATTGGCCATGGCAGCATACCAGCCTTTGGTCGCTCTGAAAGTAACAATTAGTTACGTATATCAACATGCAAGAAAAAAACCGTCACACCTGTGGTAAATTTGCTGGTTGCGTGCTGAGCTTCCCTACCACAATGTTTAGTTGTAGCCCACGGATGTAAGTTTTGAATTGGCTGCACTTACACCAAGAGTTTTACCCTGCGCATAAAAATACCGTCGTCCATTGGCGCCCGGGATGGGTTCCGTAAAGTAGCCCCAATCTATTAACGGCTGGTAATCGTCTGCACTTGGCCCAACATACATAGTGGAATAGTATGGTCTGACAACAATCGAATCGTAAGTATTGATACACATTTACTTCAATCTCTACCCACATTTGACTATAATTGCCATTTGAGATTTCGTAGAAAGAGCCCGCTTCTAGCACCGCGACCGTCTTATGCGGCAACGCCTCTGCAAGTCTCGACGCCGTCAGAGCGCCAGCAAGACCAGCCCCAACAACGACGTAGTCAAAAGTCGCATTTGCACCGGGATTGCCAAATGAATTGCCAAGAAGACGGCCTGGAGCAGAGAATTGCTGAAGCAAAGTATCGCCATCAGAGCCAGCTGCGACAAAAGCAGCCCAGAGACCGAAGATCTTTATGAAATGTCGCATCGTGGTTTCCCTTGTGCTACAACGCAATGCAAAAAGAAGCTGTAATAAGTCAATGAGGCACACAGTCGCATCTTGGCCTTTTATACGCTGGCGATGAAGCAGGGACATGATTTCATGATCTGCGAGATTCAAACGCTATCATCTCAAAACTGCATCTCTGGTCGTGGTAAAGCTCTAGCAAAGCAATGGTGGCTTGCAGGAGATCTCCACTATAGATTTACATTGATCGTGCACAGCAACTCTCATTGGATACAAAGCCCCCGCTGCAAGGATTGACGGCTGACGGGTCGGAGCGGCACCATCGACTAGCGGCGATGGATGCAGCTCCCGGTTCAAGGGAACGAGAAAAGCGTAAGGCGTGGTATTTAGTCAGCCATGCACCACTTTCCATTCGCGGACTTGACCGGGTTGTTGCTCATGTACGTGCGTTTTACTCGGGAAGAATTCCTGTTTCTAGATTAGGCAACTGGTTTTACGGAAATCTTCAGGAAACTTTCCTCGTGCAATTTTACCGTCCCAAAAGCAAAGACTAGTATGTACGCGCGTGTTGCTTCTTTAACCCACCGCTCGTACAGCCTCTCAGCCGAGCATCGCAACTTCAAAGAAGCCGAGAATGCGCTGGCAATGCCAAAACAACATTATGGTATTTCGATAGCTATGAGGGTTCGAAATCGCCAAATCCCGTTTGCTGAACACCGAAAGCAACTATTTAAGTCTTTCTTTTTGTAGTTGTGGTGTTGGCAAAAAAGCCGCTAGTAGATGTATCTCAGGGCACATAAATCCCTGTGTTCGAAGTCTCAACCGCCCCTCACGGATTACTCTTGACCTGAGCCTTACTTTTACTCTCATGTCCATATACGAGCATCTCACGGACCTTACGGTATTGTGCAGAGTGTCGTGTCAAGTTCAGGAGAGTGCATGGCTTGCTATTATGGATGACCCGGGTATTACCGGAATGCGTAGTTTCCTATGCAATGTCTTGTTACTGCATACTTGGATACTACTCAGTAAGCTCCTCCGGCAGTATCCATTTTATCCATGTGCTTATCCTCTTGAAAATTGGCGCCCAAGCTCCTAGCATCTCTATCTCAACTTCTCTCTTCTTACGAAGACTTAGTGATTAAACTCCAAAAATCCCACAAACCACTATTGGGATGGATCATGATCCTCTAGGAAAGTAGCAAATTTCATGTCGGCCGAGGAAAAACGGTCATGTAATGGCATGTCATAGATTAGGTTCTATGAATAAAAACCCCGCACCTACCATGGAGGCATGCCGACAGACATTTGAATTTAATGGTGGCACCCCGCTATATCGTGTATACCTATAGGTGTGGCTATTAATACTCGCCGAGCGCACGAGGCAAATAAAGGTTCAAAATTCGGGTGAATAGACGGTTGTGATCCGGTTCATCACTGCTAGGTAGATAGTAAGCTGATGTTGACGACCTGTCTATGGCGTGGAAATGGGTCTTGTCTATACTCAGTTATCATCTCTTCACCTTTGTCCTCTTATTCCAGCAAATCTCGACGAAACTACAGTCCTCCTGGTTCTTTCCACGTCGCTCCACACGCTTCAATCTTTTATTTGTTTGAAAAAAAAGCGCTTTGCTATCCTTTATCATCTCGCTTTTTGCGGACTCTCACCCTTGCTGCATCTCTTCTGAACAATTATTGGTCCGTTGCATTTGACTTCTGTAACGAACCTCGCAATGATATTCTCTAGGTGGAGACGTCGCCAGAGGGTAATTATTTAGACCAGAAAGACGGTATTTGTAGAAGGTAAGACATTCATTCATTTAACCATAACATCTCTTTCTGGCCTAATCTACAGGAATGAAAAGGAACCTGTTGGTCTGGGGGCTCCAAAATGGTATTGTGATTGGGATAATAGGCATCATCATCATGGTTGAATCAATTAGGCGTGAGAGTCCAGCTTTTGCAGCTTTACACAGCTGCACACCGCCCTCACTTTAAGACGCTCCCTCTACACGACAGATACAATTTTATTGGCCGTTAGAAAATACACTGTCATCTTTTTTTATATATGCCAACATGTTAAGATTTTTTTCGTGGGGCTCCTTGTAGTTCAAGGCACAAAAACAGGCTCCAACATATGCACAGCTTGAGAAAGAGAACTATATTGGAGTCTAGGATAAATGAGTGATCTATACTATTTATCTACAGTATACTACTACAAGATCTCGCAATTTTCTCCAATACGTCAGTGGCGTCACTGCCTGTCACTTCGGATTCTATCAGGAACCCGAATGTCCGAGATGTACACAGCCACCGCCACCGCCACATACTATCGGCGAGATATCACCGGATACTCCGCTCCGCAACACTGAATCATCCACACCATTAGACTTCATGCTTTCGTCCGTTCAATACAATTCAAAATCAAGGAAAAGAAAGTTGATGCCTAATCCCGACCCTCAACCGACGGAATACTTCCCCAAAAACCCGCTACACAGCCACTAACCACCTACGCGTTCCGCCCGATTCCACTCCCCCATTCGTCCGTCTTGTGTCCCCTAATCATGCGCCATAAAAAAAAACACACTCACACACGGGATACAAGGCAGCAACAATCCACAAGAAGGCCGCCAATCGCTCCACTCCAACCAAACAAACAAGAAACCATGGGAAAATAGAGAAGACAAAAGAGGAAGAATTAGCGCGTTGAACACGCTAACGCGCCATCACATGATCCATCCTTCAGCCTAGCCCCCCTTCCCATTTCCCCCTTTTAGTCCAACGGTAATAAGTCTCTCTAGTGTCATCATCGCCTTATCTGACTCACCCTCTCTGCCTGTGTCGCCAGCCTCACCGTCCTCTCTCTCTCTCTAACCTTCAAAATAGGCCAACAATGCGCAACAAAAAAGGGCGTTTTGGGGGTGTGTGTGTGGTGTAAACCGGTTAACAAAAAACCATAATATGACGTATGCAAATGTCTCACCCCGGACTTCCGGGCCCCCAAGAAAAAAACGCCCTCTTCTTACCTGAAAAGCTAGGGTGTGAGAGAGTGTGTGTGGGTGGGTGGGTGTAAGATGGGGGAAGAGATAGACTAGTGGGTGTAAGGAAGCCGGTAAGTTTTAGTTCGGGGTTGGCTGCCCTGCGAACACCTGCACCTGCACGCCATACATGATGTGTGTATTTCCAACAAGAAAAGGGTTTAGTGGCTGTTGCACAATCAGGCACACCACCGCCCTACTAATCTGATCGGGAGGGCGCGAAGAACCGGTCTAGAATGTCTGGGAATGGTCAGCAAAAAAAAGACAAGGCTGGCGCGAATGCGAATGGCCATGTTTTGCGGGTCAGGCTAAGTAAAGGACGAATTCTACTAGCACTAGGCAATCCTACTAGGCATCAAGGGCGGGTAAGCGGGGAGGGGGGGGGAGCAGGGGTAAGATTTTAATCTATACCACGCGGGCGCATATGCGATCTGGTGGCACGGTTGGTTTTTTTTGGGGGCCGAAAACAAAGACGGTTGGGCTTGTCGCCGAAAAAGGTAAACTTGACTTCATGTCTTGGATTTTACTATGAGAGACAGGCCTAAAAAGAAAAAAAAATGCGAGCATTGTTTGCACAACGAAAAGGGTAATTTAATTCATGTTTGAATAACTAACTATTGTGATTCTTTCTTTCTTTCTGACATGATAATAACCTACAACTAAAACTAGTACAAAGATTGAGACGAAATAAGAAAAAACGAGTGGTATAATATCCTTTGCGCTTTCCCATTGCCTCCGTTTCGCATTTTGAATATAACAAGGGCGTTCAATTCGTAGAGTGTGACGTGCAATGCATGTACCAGCCATGCCTCCCCCATCTCTCGACCAGATGTGTTTAAAGAAAAAAAAGACAAAACAAATTACAGTTTAAGATGTAGACTTGGAGAGATCATAATCGCTCGTGGGGGAGATTTTATATACAATGAGCGCGCTTGTGGGGGTATGGGTAGGGGAGTGTGAGGAGTGTTATAGACAGACAGATAATTAAAAAAAAAAGGGGGGGGGGCGAACTGAAACCGTTGCCCAAACTCCTTTCCCAATGCAGTGATCAATCGAACTCCTCAAAGAAAAGAAAAGAAAGAAAACCCAGTGGCAAAATCTGCTAGATGTTTATCTGCGGCCTTGTTGCTGGAGCGCCATGACGGCTTGCTCGAGCTGCTTGAGCCGCGAGTCCTTTTCCTCGTTTTCTTGTCGCAGCCGCTTGATCTCAGAGCGCATCTCGTCATTGTCACGTTCAGAGACTTCGGAGTCAGAGGCAGCACGCTTGCGTTTCATGCTGAGGTCCTCTTCCTCGCGGTACTCCATGGGACGGATGTAAGGTGACTCTGGGGCATGTGACTCACGGATGGGGGAGCCTTCAATCTCGCGACGAACCATGTCACGGCGAATGACAAGTCCGTGCAAGTCTGCTGACATTGATGTTCTCCGGTGGACGCGGCGGATGTGCTCAGCGAGATTTTCTTTCCGCGTGAAGCCGGCGCCGGAGCTGCGCTTGCAGTCGGGGAACGGACAAAAGAGTGATTTCTTCGTACCGCCGTGCATCTTGTGGACCTCTCGCTCGTGGCGGAGAAGGCCACCGCTGTAAGTGAATCCCTGAAGCTTTTCGCAGCCCTTGGCATTGCATTTGTAGGGACGATCATGCTTGTCCATGTGTTTGCTGTGAGCAAGGTTAGTAATGCTGGGTTTCAAAGCAGTTTGTGTTGGGGTGCGGGGAATTAAACTTACCTCCATTCGCACTTGCGATCAAATGATACGCCCTGGCATTCTTGGTGCTTGCAGACCATCTTGCCGTCTTGGTTGCGCGGCGGCTCCTCGGCGCGCTTATAGCTGTGGTTCTTCCGTAGAGATCCGTCGTCGTCACCATCTTGCGAGGAGTCGACAGACAAAGCTCTGCTGTGGGATCTTGGGGGGGTGGCGGCCAGTGATTGTCTGCGCTCTGCAGAGGTTGGCGAAGTCATGATGGGAGATCGCGGACAGCTCAGGCTAACGGGAGTAGGCATGTCGGCAAGTAGTGAGTTGACCGAGGAGGTGCGCTTGTGCTCGTGGGGAGCAGGCAGAGCAGGGGCGGTGGTGGGAGCGAGATCAGTCATGTTGAAAGGGGAGGGGGAGTAGGAGTAGTAGGCGGACGAGTTCAAGTTGAGCGGGGCCTCAGGCTGGCGATATATAGAAGGCGACGCGAAGCCTGTTTGTGGCGGAGCAAACAAGTCGTCGTCCGGGACGGTGATGACTCTGATTGTCGGATTATGCGCAGTGTTAATCAGATGACGCGGAGGGAGTTGAGGTGGCAAGGCGGAGTGGTGCCAAGCGTGAGTAGGATGGTTAGGATGATGGAGATTGCCAAGGTGCGGATAGGCCGTGAGTGGCGCAGCAGAGCCTGGACTATGAGGCGAATACAAATTAACGGGCTGGACTGGCTGGTAGTCGGGGGCGGCATGGGCGTAATAAGTATCGTGGGGGGCTGCAGCAGGCAGTTAGCGGGAGCCGCGAGATGCTTCCAGGCTGAAACCCGGGTGTCGAGCGCAGGCGTGAGTCAAACGCAGACGGGACAGCACGCGACTGTGACTAGGCACTTACTTGCAACCGCCTCTGGGGCCGCCCCGGGCCCTGCCTGACTCTGCACCAAGGCCGGCAGCCTGCCCGTCGTCGCAAAGTCGGCTTCCCAGGTTTCCGTGTTTCGTGCCTGGAACACGCTGTGCCCAAGATGCACCCGCGCGTTTGCGTCCTGCTGCGCCTGAGAGCCAATCAGCGCCCGGCCCAGGCTGACATCTACCATGCGTTAGCCTTGCCCTCTAAGCCGCCGGCTGTGTCCAGCACACAAGCCCAAGGAAGCGTGCAACACCTACAGTCGGACGATGGACCGCCATCCCACCCCAGCGAGATGTTCTGCAGCACACAGTCCAGCGGCACTCGCGCTCGTTCGCTGTTCATCTGCTGCTGCTGCTGCTGCTCCTCGCCCTGTCCCTGTCCCTGGCCCGCCCACTCGTAGAACATCCAGCACACTCCCCACAGCACTGCCAGCGACGGCTTGATCGTCCACGGGAACGATGTGCTCAGCGCCTGCGGCTTCTCGGCGAATTCAGCGAACCAGCCCAGCAGCTTGCGTTGCTTTTTGTCGTGGCCACCCCGCAGCAGCTCCTCGAGCACCTTGCGCGACAGGGCCGCGACCACGTCCGTCTGCAGGCGCAGCAGCAGGTGCTCGTAGTTGGCAATGAAGCTGTCGTCGAGCACCAGCCCTGCCTCGACGCCTTGGGCGAGCAGCCACGAGTCGCCGTACTGCCGCCGGCAGTCTGCGAGCACGTTGATGGCGCCGTGCACGGCAGCCAAGAGCTGGATAGTTTCGTTCATGGAACGCCCCTCGACGATGGCCGCATTGCTGTGTTTGAGGAAGAGGGCGCTGTTACTCGCACTCGCTGAAAAAGCGTTTCCCGTACTAGCACCGACTTTGGCATCGAGTGTGCTGAGCATCCTAGGGCCGGCACATGTGAGCCAGGTGAAACCAAACAAAAGCTTCCAAAAACGTACTGTTGCACCTTGTCTCCAACCAGGTTTCGACTTGCGGGAGCAGCCGAAGCCGGCGTGTGCGACTCGCCCGACGATCGGAATAGCCTGATGCCAAGTCTGCCCGAGTCGATTGATGAGCCATTGTGCACACGCGGCTCGACACGTCGACGAAGCTGCTTGACAAATAGCAGAATGCGAAGGGTAAGGATGATGCTCGTCTGCTTGCTGCACCGCTGCTGCTGAACAACAGCCATGGCTTAGCGAAAAGGGCGGGTCCAAGGGCGTATGCCTATCTTCCTTTACGTGCGTATGGGCTAAGAAGGGAGACGTGTACTGAACAACTTTGCCCCTCGCGAAGGTTGCCGTATAGTTTATAGGCACAGTCTTCAATGCGCCGCCCACGAGTGCTACAAGCTGAGAGCGCCTGCCGGTGAGCCTGCCAGGGCGGATTCTAGGCTGTCAAGCCACTCTGCATGGCCACAGCTCCTCTGATTGGCGGCAGCCCAAGTTTGCTCCCGTGCACAGCCACCTCACTGACTGCCTGGGGCATCCATGCTACACCAAATATCGCCTCTCGTCCTATCATTCTCGCACCCCGGCAAACCAGCCCAGTCACGCATCCCGTCCACGAAGAGGCGCAGCTCTTTTTTTGTTGAAATTTCCTGCCCAAACCCCTCATGACGAACAGCCCAGCACTAACAGCCCACCACGTATCCCCCGACCGCCGCTGTTTTGTCGCTGCCTAGGAATCATCCTTCGCCCAACACCCCCAGCGCCATGTTCTAATGCATCCCTGACACTCAGAAACAGCAACCTGAGTCGTGCACACGAGAAAGAAAGTCGCCCTCGTTCTGTCGTTCCCCTCGGGATCTGCGACTGGGATTGTAACGACCGCGCCACCTTATCACACCTTGGTCGTGCTTGCCTGTGCGCACTACTTCCCTTGCCGAAACGGGCATTGCACCACACACACCACAACCCAATCCGTCACATCATTGGCTTGCAGTCTCTCCCCCCTCCCCACGTGATCTTTTTCGTCCTTGAACAAACCTTAATCCCCACCTTCCAACCCTTGAACCCTCAACCTGGCCCTTTTCCCTAATAAATCACAAACATCTCCCTTACCCAAAATCCACAAGATTGTCCCGTTGCGCAAATTTCTATGTGTATCTAATAAGCAAGTTCGCAGGGGTGAGAATGAGGGACAGCAGGGTTCTTGGCTGTGCGTTTCCACTTCACTCCCAATCTCGCATTAAACAGCAACCCGATTGACTCTGGGGTAGAAAAAAATAGAGACAAGTTTCGGATGCTCGTGCGACCGACTACCATCAAAAAAAGGCGCCTGAGGCGGACAATGTGTCAAAACATTCCGGTTTGAGAAAATGACAATTTCTGGAACGTTGAACTAGTGCCTTCCTTTTGCGGTATTCTTTCCTTCGCCTTGACTTCTACATTCGGTTTTTTTCCTTCTCTTCGCTTTGTGATTTGAATTTACATGGCGGCGGCGGGGCTGTTCTAGATGCGAGTGGATGTTGTAAGCCAACAAAAAGGGAAACATGGTATTTGAGTATACTCCACACGTTGAAGCCAAGGAGCCTGAGGATTTCCTTTTTTTCCCCCTTCTCTTTGTAATACTTCACGACTGGTGTGGTCTTGATTGCGTCAAACTTGTTGCAAAACCTTTGGTGACGCCTTTGGAAGTTTTGGGCCTGTCTGTCTCTTACCCATCATCAACCCATCATGTCGATCAAAAAGAACAAGAAGAGACAAGTGTTTGATTTGGAAAAAAATGACAATTTTTGGCAAGCGACAACTTGACATACGCCTCATGGCGGACAGGCGATAAGATTTGTCTTTCTGTTACCAGGCGACAAGGAAACACAAATAGAAGGCGAAACACAGAGGAGACCGTAATTCACATTTGGTAGAGAAGTGTTATCATGCCCGTGGTTAGTATATTGTACAGCAGCCATACGCCGGTGCCACGCCGGCTAGGCATTTTCCACACACACACACACCCCCGCGTCGTCATTCATCTGCATTCTTCCCATCTATGACCTCAGGCCCAGGAGGAAGCTGCCGCCGCTTGACCCACCGCCGCTGCCAGCAGCTCCGCCAGGCAGGTAGCTGATGTTCGGGTTCCTTGCCAGTATCTGCGCAATGTCCTTTTGGGATTCCAGCCGCCTGATCAGAACAAGGCCATCACCACTCTTTGCCACAGCCTTGCTAATCGTGTCCGCCGCCTCGGCTTCACCCTCTGCCCGAATAACGTTGGCCTGCCTTTCCTGCTCTGCCTTTTCTACAATGAATCGCGCGCGCTCTGCTTCCTGCTGTGCGATTTGCTTTTCTTCGACCGCCTTGGTGAATTCCTTGCCAAACGTCATGTGTGTGATGGAGACGTCTTCGAGCGCAATGTTGAACTCGTTGGCGCGCTTCAGCAGATCGGCGCGAATACGGTTCGACACGGCTTCTCGCTGAGTAATGAGTTCTGCAGCGTCGAATTGGGCGACAATAGCTTTGAGGACTTCGTTTCCAATTGAGGGAAGGACCCTCTCGTCGTAGTCAAGACCGAGGTTCTAACACTCTATTAACATCTTGACCCCAAACACACTTTGATTTCAACAAGCCCATGGCATTTCTTTCGTAGTTGCATCCTTACCTGGTAGATTTTAGGCAGTTGCTTAACCTCCGGTCGGTGCAACACCCTCAGTGTCAAGGTCACCATCTGCAAATCCTTGCTTCCCGTCGTCGTGCTAATGTTCCTCGGCTTAGTCCGGACATCGAACACAACGGCCCTCTGTAGCCATGGAATCAGGAAATGTGTGCCCTCGTTGACGACAGTCTCCTTGACTCCCGACAGACGATCGAAGATGATTGCGCGGGTACCGCCCTTGACGTCGTAGATGGATGACTGCACTACGCTGGCGCCAATGGCAGCGGGGACGACCCAGCGAAAGAGGGATGTTGGAATCGCGGCCATGTTGGGCGTTTGAGAGGGGTACGACTGGATGGTGGGAGGCGGCAATGGCTCGAGTGCGGAGGATTATGAGAAGTGGATGATGCTTCTACAGGTGGACCGTGCTTTGCGGCGAACCATGCTCGTGATTGGCGCACCATGACCGTTGCCTGACGGATAGTTTGGATCAGATGGGAATTCAGACTGGTATTTCAGGTCACTGTAAAGCTGTTGTTTAGATATTTGTGCGAGCGCATAGCAACCCACGATTGATTCCGAGAATCCGCAGCGCATGGCAAAGTTGAAAGGCGGGGGTGCAAGTGAGACTGGAGGCACTCAATGTCGTAGCGCGGATACACTCAAAAACGACTTCAAAATAATATAGTATTCACAAACGCCGATTATCTTATGCAAGTATGCAGTAATTTCAAGGTCTCTCGAGTCTATCTCATACCGATCCTAGAATGATCTCTCATCATTCACAGCCTGTACATAACCCGCTTACTGTTGCTCAATGAAGCCCTTGTGCTCCTTGTGAGCCTTGTACCAGTAGCTGTCCTCCTTCTTCGGCCGCAGCTCCTCAGAAAGCTTGTCAAGAATAACCGCCAGTAGCTTCTGGCGGCCTTCCTCGTTCTCTGCGTCGCGGTTCCACACGGCAATCTGGACCGCGTTCCAACGAACACTGTACGAAATGCCACAAATGTCATCATTAAAAGCTTGGCATGGTCAGTAAAGTTTACAATGACGAAAAATGGGCTGGAGATAGAACTTACAAGCTCGCTTCGTTTCAACGGCCCCTTGCAACACATCACCGACAGCAAGTAGACACATCTCGTGCCAAAATTGCGCTGCAAGGTCCTTGCTGACTTTAAAGTACCATGCTCCTCCGCGCGTATTTCGTGGGTCCTCCCATACGGGCTTGACGCCCAAGTGGAAGAGATGTATCGAGTCACGCAGTTTGAGGTTCTCAACTGGAATGTTGTTGAAGTGCTGGTAAAACTCCTTGACAGACACAATTTGTTCACCCAGAGGCTTGGGTCGTGTGAGATATTCTTCCGATGCCGCCGCCTTGTCTTTTGGCGGTGCTTGCTGTCCCTTTTCGGCCCAGAACATCCACTTGAAGCGGAACTCGGGAACACGCACCGATTTGAAGATGTTGTTGAGCATAGCGGTTCCACGTGCGGGCGATGCAGTTGCTGCCTGCTCTTCAGACGATGCAGCGGGGAGGTTGGAGGTGCTGAGCGCGGGGAATCGGCCAGCCATGATGGGTGATTGTTTGAACGGATTAAAAGATGGAACAAAGACGTAAGCTCAAGGGGATTCCTCTTCAAATGCCGAGATTTGATCAAAATCAATCTTAGACAATTAGGCGATCTAGTTGGCGAAGGTACACTGTGCTTGGTGGGGCAGAGACTTTTCGGAGAAGAAACACTGAAATGTGGTAGCGAGCCAGAATTCTGATCTGTGCAGAGTCAGCATTTAAGTGATGGAGGTAAATCGTGACAAAACAAATAGAGATGAAATGTGCTGTGAAACATGGCCGAGGTTGGAAATATCCGTAACTTGAATGCGAGGCAGACCTGGGACTGATTGCTGGGTTTGAAGGCAGAAAGATGTTTGAGGGTGAGCAATTGCAAAGCTCTTACATCTCCGCCTAGGTATCTGAACGCCGCAAAGCCTGAAACGGTGGTGGTGTGGACATGTCATCGGACAGCACGTGGAGATAACCCGAAAATGTAGGTATTTGCACGCATAAGGAAGTCATGGTGAAACCATGGCTGGGGAAGATGTATGACTGATATCAGACATCTCAAGGCTGTCGGGATAAAAGTCCTTACACCAGGCTTCCGCCAAGCACGCTCGACAGCCAAATAACCAGAGGAGACAGCGAATTGAAGGGGATTGAGTAGTCGACTAAAAGAATGACAGGAAACCTAAAACATACCTAACACTAGTCCACACGTTTCTCTTGTAACCTAACAGCGATACGTTGACACCCCGATGGTAATGCTCGTCGAACAGTTGAAAGAGGGGCAATTCCGTACACACCGACAGTTTACTCGCACGTGAAGAGGTGTTCAGCAGCAACAACGGCTCGGCAGACAGAAAATCAAAGGACTGGCGGAGAAGACGTTGGAAGAAGTGAATATGTTGTTTGGCAAGATAGGGGACCCTTTAAAGAAGCTCGACCGGAGAGAGAAGGTCATCCATGTAGACGCCCGCTCTGACTACGTTTCAAGACGCCGTTTCAAGACCCCTGCTGACACCAATGGGAATGGACTTGCGGCCTCAGGCCAACGTACAACGTAACAAGCCACACGGCCGGCGTCGGTATGCAACTGCATCCGATGTGCATTCGGATCATGCCGACCATAGGTAACCCTCTCTCGCAGAAGTAAGCCCGTAATGCTGATCTTTGTCGATTAAAGGATGCTAGCTAGGGCGGGCGAGGCGAGGCGAGGCGGGCGGGGTGACGTAGCAATCCTGCCACCGGTCTATCTTTTTGCGCACGTTCGGCGCACCCGTTCCGCAAAAGAATGGTCCAGCGGCGCACGCCCGAACTTTTGCACAACTTTTTTTTTCTCTAAGCCGTCCACTCTGTATTATCCCAACTCCCGTGTACCTTTTTCGTCTTGCATAACCATTCTCTCTAACGCCAGGGTCACGACCCTGTTTGATTAATACCGCCGAAGAAAGCCATGGCACAATACATGCACGACTCAGTTCCGCATCGCACCAAGAGCGCGCGCTTCTCCAACGAGCCCAGCTCCTCACCGTCCATGTCGTCGCAATCCGCGCTCGCATCGACAAATGCTACAGACGACACGACGACAAACGCAAGCGACTACGGCACTTCAGACACAGACAGCACGCTCTCTGAATCCAGCGAGGAGCCCAGCAGCGACGAGAGCTCGAGCGAAGAAGACGATGACGACGACGACGAAAACGACGACGGCGAAGACACAGAAATGGAGCTAGACGAAGCAAAAGGCGCAGACGGCGTCGTCAACCTCCGCGCAAACAGAGGCACAAAACCCATCATGAAGCTGACCAAGGCCGAAATGGGCCCCGATATCAGAGGTTTTCTCAAGGACTTCCTGCCGCGCCTCAAGGCCGCAAATGAAGAGCTCGAGGCACAGAAGCGGGCGGGTACATTGAGGAGATTGGATGCCGAGGACCAGGAAGATGGCGAGCCGTACATTGAAATGGTGAGTGTTGTGCCTGTTTGGCAAAATCCAGCAAAAAAAAAAGTGTTGCAAAGACAAAGTCCCAAGTTTTTTTAAGCTAACCAAACGACTACTAGGATCTCGGACTCGGCGTACTGGAGGAGAAAGACCCAAACGCAGCGGAGAGCGACACGGAAGGCACGAGCGACGCCGAAGAAGAAGATGGCAACAAAGAAAAGGACGTCTTGGGGAAACTACTGGGCCGACGAGAAAAGCCTGACCCGGCCAAAATCGAGGTTCTTCCAAACACGACCGGTTCATGATCTGACAAACCTACATTTGGGATCCGAGGTTTCCATCTGAGGGAGAAGGGGGCAGGGCCCCAATTCTTAGGGAGAGAAAAAATACCACCACTGGCAATCGTGTCCCTATCGCAGGGGGAGGGAACATTGATACCTCCCCACCCCCAATGTTACAATTCCTAACGCACAACCCGACCCGACGCCGCCCGCACGCGCGCCATTCACCCACTTCCTTGGCTAGCGCCTCCATGTCCCATCCCACCCTTGGCCCACGTCGCATCCGCATTCTCATGAATCTCGGGCACCTCAATATACTCCCTGACGCCTTTCTTCCTCGTATAGTCACTCCCAAACCTCTGATCCCTCTCCTTGATCCTCTCTTCAAAATCCGGCATCTGCTCCGCAGCTGTATAACTCGTCATAAGCTGCGGAGGACCCAGCGGCAACTTGTCACCACGGTCAGTCTGCCATAAGTGGTAGATCTTGCCGTAGAGTTGGACGACTTCTTCCATCTCCCGGTTCTCGGCTAGCTCCCAGGCGGCTTCGGGGATGCCCGGCGGGCGCGGCATGATTAGCATGCCGGATTTTACTTCGAAGACGTGAGAGTGCCAGAGGGTTTGCTCTGAGGCGGGCAGGGTGGCGTAGAGGGCGGGCGATATCATGTATTCTGGTTTAGGGCTACTCAGTATGGGATATATTTAAGTCGAGGGAAGGGGGGGGGGAGGTTAGCGCACCGATGCCGATGATGCGGGCGCCTGGCTCGGGTGAGTCGTAGAGAATACATTGCCGCACTTCGTCGTTGAGATGCGCACAGTAGTGATTTGCTTCCACAGCGGCGCGCTTGGGGTCGTGGGCGTAGGCGTGGAAGGCATTCAGGTGGGCGCAGACGCGCTTTACGGGAGCAAAGTTCTGTCAAAATCATCAGTCATGAATTTTGTAATAAAAGAACTTTTTGTCTTCTTTGACTGCAAGTTACCTGGGTTGCTCCAGCACCCGTTTCAAGTGTTTTGTTGTATGTGCTTTCTGCTTCGCCGGCTGTCTTGTTGTTTACCGGAAGTGAGTCCATGGTGTTGAGAATGCCGGATTGCTTCTGATGAAATCAACTTTCTTTTGTTTGAGCCGGATTGGCAAATTGTTATCTTTTCAGACTGTTTGTAGTTTTTCTCACCAAGAGATCTATGGTATGTAGTACCACAGCATATGGACGGCAATTGACGTCATGATGACTTTTGATTGGGTCAATGCTGGATACATCCCTGCATGAAGCATGTGTTCAGTAAGTCGCATGTTTTTTTGTAATATAGCAGCAATTGTACTTTGTAAGTTCTATTTGCATGTTTTGTTTGTTCTGCACGGTATAGTTTGCTACTTCATGAAGTCCATTGTTTTTTAGCATCTCACTTCTAAAGCCATACGATCTGAGTAACATCTGAGTTACATGTTAGGGGATTCAACTGTACCTTGTGCTGATGTGGAAAAATGAAAAAGTTATAATATACATACTATAGTTATCTTCCATTGAGTTTTAATACGAAAATGTCATACCAACACAAACTAATGGCTAAAATCCTCAAAAGTTACCACGAAAAAAAACTTGACGAGTATCAAGACTACAACATCTCACTCCAAAAACAACAACCATTCTCTATCAACGAAAACGAACACGACAACTCTTTCCCACTCACCCAACCTTCCTCACCAAAACCCCCACCCAAACCCTAACCCCCACCCACTTCTCCCCCCTCNCCTCCCCCCAACAACCCCGCCATCCAAATCCCCCCTCGTAACCTCCCTCTCCCTAACCCCCAGCACCTCAAACCCACTCTCCCGCGCCTGCCCCAATACCTCACCGACCTCATGCACAAAACTCGCCCCCCTAACCTTAACCCCCGTCTCCGCATCCACGAACCCAGCCTGTCCGCCCAATCTCCCCATTTCATGGTGCATATTGGTAACCAGAGCTACGCCAGAGGGCAAGAGCAACGAGCCGAGGGTGGCGAAGAAGGTAGGGAGCGGAATGTGTTCGAGGACGAGGGTGGAGAGGATGCCGTGGACGGGGGTGGTGATGGGGGAGGGAGAGGGAGAAGAGAAGATGTCGCAGCAGTGCAGGGACCAGGTTTCTGACGGAAAAGGGGTTAGTTTTGAGCGGGCGATGGCGAGCATGGCAGAAGAGAAGTCGATGCCGATGACTTTGCTCCGGTTGGAATGAGGGGTTTTTTGGGTCAAGTGCTCGAGCAGTTTGAGCGTGTTGCGACCGGTGCCGCAGCCGAGGTCGAGGATGAGGAGTTCGACTTCTTTTTCTTTTGCTTCTGCGCCGGGAGAGGGGGTGGGATTGGGATTGGAGATTTGGGAGAGGAAAGAGGGGAGGAAGGTGGTTAGTTCGATGTCATCAATGGCTTGGAGCATGTTGCCGTCAGAGTCGTATTGAGAGGCCCATTGGTTGTATGCGTCTTGTGTGGGTACGTGGTAGATTGGTACTTGAGGTCGTGGCTGGACGGTAGGTGTACTTGTTTGGTCTGATTCTACCGTTGAAAAGGAAGTGTTTGCTTCAATGGTGGGTGGCTTGACATCGACGAGGGAAGTGTCAAATGTCATGTCAATGGTTGTTGGTTGTGTCATTGTTGTCGTCTGAGTATGGGTATATTTGAGAGGAAAGAGTTTGAGTTGCGTTGTCGTTGTTCTCGTCGTGTTGGATGGGTGCCTGACACCATCTATATAGTTGTAGTGTCTTGGCCAATGAATCTTCTCCGCGCCCTCTCCATGCTGAACTTGTATTCAGAATTGCCTAATCGGGAAATATGTCGTACAGGCTCCCGTGACATGACTCACACCTGCGCCCTCCGCCGTGTTCTGGCTCGCGCTAAAGAACATTAACCATTTGCCTGCCTTTTACATAGACACAGCCTATTGTTCCAAGATAGAGTCCAAACAATCCACACACGGAACAGCAGTGCCCTACATGGCATTCACATCTAATTGTTAATATTACAGGTCGTAAAGCGTACATACAATCCCTCAGGCCTATGCTGACTTCTCAAAATACTTGGCCAAAATCCGCTCTCGATGCGCGACCAGGCGTCTACATGCCATTAGCGCGTCGCGCAACCGCGTGTCCACCCATCCCTTGCCCAGCTTGTCATCCAATAGCAAATGTGTGTATGCGAAAACACTCGCATCAAACAAGCCCGGCCTCTGCGCTCCAAAGAACCAATCGTCCTTTCCCAGCAGCGTTTCCAGTGCAGCAAAAGCCTCGCTTGCCTGGTTATATAATGTCTCGTCACTAATGATGCTGGAGAACTTGGCGAGTTCGGCTTCGGCGGCTAGGCGCAGTTCGCGGGATATTGCGAGACGCACAAACGAGTTGCGCGAGGTCGGCAGGATATACAGAGGCTCGGCAATGGTGGTGGAATTCTGGGAGAGATACACAGCGTAGAGCTAGCATATGTTAGTTGTAGCCCAAGCATTCCGTTCTAGCCAGACGTACCCAAGCCCTGCGTATCCGGTGGTCTATCAGGCTCAAGTATGCCTCGTATTGCGCATCTCCTGGCTCTTCAATTGCCTTGTCGCTATTGTTCATTGCCCAGCGCTGTAGTTTATTGGACGGTACAGGTTGTGATTGCTTGATTGAATCCGACGAGGGGAGGACGAATGGCAGAGAGCCACTTGGAGACGCATGGTTGTTCGCTGAGGCTATCCGGAACGGTATCTTGGAGAACTTGAGATATGCCTGCGGTATGATGAGCCTGTGGTGGGGCAATGAATGCGCAACCAGGTACTGACCTGCCACTTCAGGCACGCTGGGTTGTAGGATGGTGCCCCTCGAAGAGCACCCTCCTCTGTAGTGAAGACGTACAGCACATGTGCATTGTGGTGTTGTGGTGCTCGCTGTGGGAACTCGTTGACGGGGTATGTGAGGAGCGGGAATTGGTCGAAAAGTTGCTTTATCGGCGCAGGGACAGAAAAGATGCCACCCGCCGATGGCGATTCCCTACTACTTGCAGCAGCAACATTGCTTCTGCCGGACCGCGACATGCTAGCCGTGTGTGGTGATGGCGGCGATGATGTCGCAAAAAGTTGACCATGCGGCGCCGGAGCCGAGGAGAACGCCCGCCGATCATCACCACCAGGAACATTTGCGTCATGCAGGGAAAATGGGCCAAATCCATCACAACAAGCACATACAAGTCAATGTTACACGCAAAGGGATTTGTCAAATGAATCAAATTCTATACATTGGTTGATATCTTTCTTCAAGCGGGCTGCCGCTTATTAATTTCGTCACTCATCACAAGGTTATGCTCGAATCCTCTGCCTCCAGAACTAAATCTTACGTTGTCAAACACTTAGATAAGCTGCTGGAAAGCACGGTCGAGAGGAGATCGCAGAGGCTTGACCTCCTTGTAGAAGTCAATGGTGGCCTTGGCACGCTTAGCAATGCCCTCGGGGGTGAACTCAAACTTCTGTAATGGGCATTAGCATTTGCCTCAAGCATTTCAAGTATTCAATTATTCTTACCTTGTAGACCTCCTTGTATGGGCCAGAAGCACCGAAGCGGTTCAGACCAAACTGCTCGTGAGAGTACTTCTCCCAGCCCATGGTGGACATGACCTCAACACTGAGCGATGGGATGCCGCCAGGGATAACCGACAGCTTGTAGTCCTTGTCTTGAGCGTCAAAGACCTCGAAACAAGGCAGCGAAGCAACACGGGCAGTGATGCCCTGCTCCTTGAGGGTCTTGACGGCCTCAAGGCAGAGAGAAACCTCGGAACCAGTGGAAACGAGGGTGATCTGGGCGTCCTTGTCCTCAAGAGCAACGTATCCTCCCTTGATGGCCTTCTCGAGTGTTGAGCCCTCAAGCTGGGGAAGGTTCTGACGAGTAAGGGCAAGGATAGATGGCGTACCCTTGGAGGTGAGCGCCATGTAGTAAGCAGCAGAGCACTCGTTTCCGTCAGCTGGGCGCCACACCATCATGTTGGGCAGAGCACGGAAGTGGGCAAGAGTCTCAATAGGCTGGTGAGTAGGACCGTCCTCACCAAGACCGATCGAGTCGTGGGTAGCAACGTAGATGACGCGCTGGTGTGAGAGCGAAGACAGACGAGCGGCACCGGCAGCGTATGAAACGAAGTTGAGGAAAGTACCACCAGCGGGAATAATGGTTCCGTATGCGGACAATCCGTTCATGACAGCAGCCATGGCGTGCTCACGAACACCATATCGCAGGTATCGGCCAGACCACTCGCCAATGCCGAGATCCGGAGGCTGGAAGTCGACGGCCTTCTTCCACCTGGTGTTGTTGGAGCCAGTCAGATCGGCAGAACCGGAGAGAAGCTCGGGAACAACGTCGTGGATGGCCTCCAGAACAGACTCGGAGAGCTTTCTTGAGGCAATCGCAGGGTCGCTAGGCTTGTATGTAGGGAGGGCCTTTTGCCAGCCCTCAGGGAGGTCGCGAGTCAGACGGCGGCTGAGGTCGGCGTGAAGCTCCTTGTGCTCCTCGCCGTACTTCTTGAAGAGCTTGTTCCACTCCTCCTCAGCAGCAGCGCCCTCGGCTGCGTGCTTGTGGTACATGTCGTATACCTCCTGGGGGACCTGGAACATCTTCTCGGGGTCGAAGCCGAACTTCTCCTTGACCTGCTTGCAGTCGTCGGCCTTGAGGGGGTTGCCGTGGACACCGCCGGTACCCTGGAGAACGGAACCGAAACCGATGGTGGTGGTGAGCTTGATCATCGAGGGCTTGTCGGTGACCTTTTTGGCCTCAGCAATAGCCTTCTCAATGCCCTCAAGGTCAGTGTCACCGTCGGCGACGTGCTGGACGTGCCAGCCGTACGCCTCGAAGCGCTTGGAAACATCCTCAGTGAATGCGCACTTGATGTCGCCGTCTGCGAAAAGTTAGATCCAAGTCGCCATTTTCCGAATTCGCCAGAAACTTACCAATGGAGATGTGGTTGTCGTCGTAGATGGCAATCAGGTTGCCGAGCTTCAAGTGGCCAGCCATTGAAGCAGCCTCACTGGCAATACCCTCCATAGCGCAACCGTCACCGAAGAAGACGAATACGGAGTTGTTGATCAGCTCGTAGCCGGGCTTGTTGAAGACGGCTGCGGTGTGCTTCTCGGCAATGGCGAGACCGACGGCATTGGCGAAACCCTGACCGAGAGGGCCAGTAGTGACTTCAATACCGGGGGTGTCGTGAGACTCGGGGTGGCCGGGTGTGATGCTATCGATTTGCTGCGACGAGTTAGAGTTTGCCTTTTGCGTAAAAAAACAAAAAAGTTGTTTACTTACACGGAACTTCTTCAGGTCCTCAATGCTGACATCATAGCCGAAAAGGTGGATGAGCGCATACTGAAGCATGCATCCGTGACCGTTGCTGCGCTCAAGTTAGCTACATCGTGGGCAATGTATAGGGCAGATGCCAGTGGAAATTGCAAAAACAAAAGCAGGAGAATACGTACGAAAGAACGAAGCGGTCGCGGTTGACCCAGTTGGGGTTCTTGGGGTTGAATGTCATGAACTTGTTGAACAGGACGTGGGCCACCGGGGCCATGCCCATGGGCGCACCCGGGTGACCCGAGTTGGCCTGGAATGTGGCATCGACCTATAAAGAGGCAAGAAGTCAGCCATTGAGCTGTTCCGCAGCCTCGAACTCATCATCGGTGCTTGTGAAAGTGGCTTGCTTGCTGGGCGGGAGAGAAGCTTGCGGCGAGCGGGGCAGCTGCGCAAGCATAGCGGGGGAGAACAAGAGGTAAGAGAGACGTACCGCTAGGGTTCGGATGGTGTTGATGGCAAGCTCATCGGTCTTTCCGTACGGCATGATGGGCAGACTGTCGATGAAAAAAGAATTGAAGAGAAAAGAAAGAAGATCGCGGGAGACAGCGGGCTACGATGTTTAGGTTTTGTAGGGTAGTGGGGGTGGGTGCTAAGGCCGTCATGCCTGCCTCAGATATGATGCACCAAAAGTGGACGTGTAGGTGGGGTCCGTCGAGCCAGCCTGATTACATCAATCAGTCCCACCCAAAGCCCACTCTCTCTTGTCAATGCAAGCGGATAGAGTAAGCCGCAACTGCGCTGACCAGGACACCCTAACTGCCAGCCCGGCTCACTGACTGTCTCTTAGTAACCTCTTGCCTGCTCTGTCCTTGCCTCTCTCTTTCGCCACGCGCCGAGAAGCACCGTATTCGGGTCACAGTGCGCCGACCGCCACGGCCATTGTCGTTTTTTTTCTATGCCCAGGTTCATCATCTTCCCTCAGCCAACCGGCCAGAGCAAAAGCCGACAAAAAACCTCAGTGTAATTCTTCCGGGCGCCTATGGCCGACACACAACCGAGATCGGCGCCGCGGCCGGAACGCTGCTTGAGGCTCAAAGTCTCCTCTACGGACAAACCCTCCTCTGGACTAGAGCCGGTTATTTACCCTATTCTCCGAGGGCGCATTCGACGACTGTGACAGCGTGGGGTTTGGTGTTGATGTTGTAATTAGCCCTAAGCGGGACTCGAAAGTCCATTTTACCCTGTTAATACCCTGATCAACACCAACCAGAGCCTGCGCGCCAAGCACCAATCGATCCATGTATAGCGACACGCGCGCCTGTGTGCAATGCAGCAAGGAACAATGAGTAAACATGTAGAAATAACGCTAAGAAATATACAGTCAGGTCTAGAGTTCAATCTCCGCCCCCATTTCCCATTCCCCCCACCAAATTAGAAAATTGTATACACAAGACAAACGAAAGGGTATATGTATAGTTAAGAATCAAGTCCATCTTCCGCTCCGTGTATGCTGCACTTCTCACCTTCGCACACCATCTCCCCACCCAACCTCCAGAAATAGATCTTCACCCTTCTTCCTCGGCGTCAGTCTTGGGACCCACACAGGACTCTTAAGCCCGTCTGCGTCAAAGTCAACATTGACGTCTCTTCCAATGTTCACTTCCGTCATGTCCTCTCTCTTCCTCCTCACATTCAGAGGCCTCACAGCCTGCTCCTCGTACATGACCGGGCTCTTACCCCACGCTCCACTCTGCACACGGCTTTTTCTATCAATGCCATTCTTAGAGGCGGGTGTCATGTTCCATGACTCGGCGCTGATGCTGCGCACATGAGAGCGGCTGTTATTACGAGGTGGGCTGACGACACGGCGCGGCGGCGAGGTGAACGGATCGCGATGCGGACTCTCAAGTCGGGGCCGCGATTCGAGAAGAAGCGGGGGAAGAGTGTTGTTGCGTTTGTGAAGAAGTGACGATGCATCTGGGACTCTGTGTGGACTCTGGAACCTGTGTTGTTGTGGGCTGCGTGATACTAGCTGATTCGAGGCTCGCGGCACCTTTGGATACCGCAAATTGGAAATTGGAGATTCTGCGACCGGCGACAGTTGCGGTATATTATTGTCGTCGGAAAGCTGTTTCTGGTCGTCTTCGTCTTCAGGCGTCGGATCGTTAGGATCGACTGTTTCAAAGGACGTTTGGCTAGACAACGAATCACGCTGGTTCGTCCAGGTCCGAGAAAGCGTACTAGACGACTTCTTTGGCCTGATCTCGACTGTTTTGGGTGACTCTTTAGGCCGAATGATGCGCGTAGGGCTAGCCTTGGGCGCCTCACGGCTTCGATGGTTGGAAAAGTAGTAGTCGATAATATCTCCAGAGGTGCTATCTTCGCGCGAGCTTGCAGTTGTAGCTTTGGACTGATACGAAGTAGCTGTGGATGGTTGTTGGAAAGGCGATGCGAGACGTGGGTGTGTCGCGGCCTGCGGACGAGATTGTGGCGCACTATTCCCAGGGAGTTCTGCTACAACCATCCGTTTCGACTGCTGTCCTCCCTTGTTGGACGGGATTTCTAGAAACAACTCAGAGTTTCGGCTGTTCTTGCGGGCGTTGCCATCGTTGGGATACGGTGCTGTCCTAGCGGGTTGCAATGAGCGAATAGGTAGGACTGGAACTTGAGGTGGTGGCATCATCGAGGATCTCTGATGCAAGCTTGGTTCGTCCTCTTCAAAAACAGTCTCTTCTGTCATTGAACTAACGGGGCGTAGAACATTGCTGGTTTGTGATTGGTTATTGTCCGGAGTTGTCTTCTTGATGGCAGCTGGTGCTGATTTCTTCGGGGCTAGGGGATATCCATCCAGCTCTGCGCTTATAGCCACGCCTATCTGATCCAATGGCAATGACGAATTAGACGAGCCGTTGGAAGTTCCTACTCCAAGCCGCTGCACTGGGCGGACTCCTTTCTGGCGTCTCCCCTGAACGAGTGCCAGTGCAGGCATGTGCGGAAGTTGCGTTGCAGAGTCGGAGTTGCCTTGCACAGGAACGTAATGCGAGAACCGTGTAGAAAAGGCCTTGTCCTGCTGTCCCCGGCCCTTATCATCAATAAGCATAGTATTTCGCTGCTCCTTCCGTCTTCTTAGCCACACGCTCAAAGCCATGAGCCCGATAGCCAAGACAAACGCAGCCACTGCCGCTACTGACAGCCCAGCAATCTGCGCAGGCGTCATTCTTGGGTTTTCATCTGCAGCTTTGGCGACTGGAGCCGATGTCGGTGTCGCTGAAGAAGTAGATGACGATATTAATGAGGCAGTATCAGCGAAAGCAGACTGATTCGAACTGGTCTGGGTAGGCCGAGTTGAAATGATGGTTGAGGTCGAGGTCGTGGTCGTGGTCGGAGTAGTCACCGACTGCGTCGAAGATGGCGATGCCGTAGAGGTCACGACGTAGGTAAGAACACTTTTGGTTGGCACGACGGCGTATGCCTGTCCTAGGCATATTCCGTAGGCCGCACTTAGATAGCCTTTGGAGTCCTGTGTTGGGCACGACAAGTAGATACAACCCAAGGCCACTTCACCGAGTGACTCTCCCGCGGTACTATAATGAGAGCAAAGACACTGAAGACTTTGTTGACCAAAGCATGCCACGGGAAACCTTTCGTCCAGCGAAGTCCATAGGCATGATTGTGCACAAGATGGTACGTTTTCTTGAAGCAATTGAGGAAGTGCTTGTGGTGTAGGAGTGGCAGTAGGAGCTGCCAGCAACGGCGAAGCTAATATTAAGAAGACTGGTGATATCCATGGCCTTTTGAAATGGCGCAAAAGCATAATTGTACGAGATCTGCGCGAGCATAAGCTACATGCTCTCAGATCGGAGCAAGTCAAAGAGTGTACTCACTAGGAGATCTAGACATGAGGGCAGATGCAAGGAAGCGCTGGACCTGCAGCGAAAGGAGGCAAGGAAATTGAAGGAGAAAGACTCAAGGAAACTCGTAAAACGTCTCTGGCCTCATGAAGTTTTGTTGAAGTATCCAAGTCAAGCCAGCGGCGGCTGGTAGGCTGCCAATATGTATGGGGGCATCTTTGCCAGCCGCCGTGTCGGGGCGGTGCCTGAGCAACCGCTGAGACGGTACATTGGGGGGCATACCGAGGCCATTGACACCCATGGTAAGCGCTCACAGAATGAATACAGAATGATTGACTGAAAAGGCGTCGGTGACACAGTGTGGTAAGGCGAAGATGCTATTCTAGGCGCTGGCATGCTGCGCTAAGCGCTGAGGAACAAAACTAGTCTACCACGTCAGCCAGTAGTTGCACGGCATCGGGAAAGTCGTTGCGCAGAACCCCAAAGCGAGTCTTGGCCTACGTGCATGCAGGAGACGAAAATACATTGCAGTTGTGCATTATGAGTGACAATGCGGGACTCTGCGTACCAGCACACGGCCGCAGTTGGTCCGTATGATGCGATACTCGACTGACGGTGCCTCTGCGTTGTCAATGGTTGCAACGTCACCTGACTGCACGCATCCATATGCAAAAGCGTAGTAACTAATTGTAGCTTTTTGGACACAGGATACCGGATACCGGTCTAAACAGGGACCTGCATCGGGGAATGGGCGGAACCTGCAAAGCGCCCTACTAAAACCACTCCAGGTTCAATCGACATCACGTGCTTGGCGATGGTGCCTGGCGGCTAGAGTTGCCTGCGGGTGTGCAGATCAGATGCAACGATCCCCGAACGACAGGCGGATGGTGAGATCGCGGCTATGGTAGTGTGCGAGAAGGTCCGCAGACGAGACGGTCCGATGTTGTGGGCATAAGAACTTGACTAGTCAGAATGACGCAGTTGGGACTTGGATGTTGCGTAGGTTGTGGAGCTTGAACGGTGTGGAAGGACCGAAACAGAAGATCATCACATGTGCAGTGTATGTACAGTATATGTAATACTTACACCCACACCTAAGATAAGACGGCAACTGAAAAAAAAGTCCATGCGCGCGTATGAGCATCGTCGAGATGATGATCAGCTCAAAATGGCTCTGAAATGCTCTGCACGCACGCAATGAGAAGCACGGGCGATCGATCGTGAGCAACATGGAGCGATTACCTACAAGAAGGTGGTGACAAAAGTTAAAAGCACCAGCGTAAGCGTTGTGAGAATGGTAGAGCGTCTGTTGGATCGATACCATGCCCCTTTTTTCACCGAATGCTCACACATGGCCATGGCTTCCACGTGTGGTTCGTGGATCGTCCCGCGTGTTCGAGTCAAGATATCGAGACCAAAGCCGTGGCTCTGAATGCATGATCCTGGCGAAGAAATGGACGGGTCTGGGAGGTAGGTTGTAGGGGGGCCTAAGAGATGGATAATGGGTTCGAGATGCAGAAAAGGTCAATCGAACGGTCAGTAGCGTTACGCGTTCACAAGAGCTGATCAGTGCTCTCGAGGCAAGGCAATTGCCACCTGCACCCGGCGCTGAGGCAAGATGACGACGGCACATGGTTTACTTTGACCGTTAGGATAGCCAGAGTGGTTGATAGAACCAGAGACAGGCGTCAGCGGCGATTGGCTCTGGCGTGCACGAGTCGGGGAGATGAGGGGGGGATGTGACGACGGAGGTTTGGCGACTGTAGGCGGCCTTTGGCGACTAGCCCAAAACGGTCAGGCGCCAATAGAAGCATGGTCCAGGCTCAGTGGAAGCGAACGACAAGTGGCTGGCGGGACAGAGTAGCACAGCAGAAGATTTTTTTTCCTTCTGTGTGAACGCAAATGCAGTAGCAGATAGGGAGGCGGAGGCAAGATATACAGCGTGGATATGCAGCAGCGAATGCAGGCAGGGCAAGGCAGAGGGGGAGCGGGCGTGCAGAGGTGGAGGCGTGTGGCTGCATGGGGCGGAGGAAGACAAGGTTTCGAGCCGTGCTTGGGGTCTGCTGGGGCTCCGAGCGTCGGCCTACTCTTAAATTCTATGGGGCCCTCATTTTCCACAAAACCTTCTAGAAGCGTAGCCAGACAAAAGTCGGGCGGGATGAGTTCGGGAGTTGGGTGCGTGGACAGCGCTTCCATGTCCAACGGGCACGACAGGCGCGGAGCCGATTGCTAATCAGAGATAGACTACTACGGCGAGCCAGCGGAAGACGGGGCGAGAGGGGAAAGGATGAGCGAGCCAGTGAGAGAGTGGGCGGGCGGGCGAGCGACTAAGCAGGTACACCAAGGCGGGTTCCTGGAAGCCGAGAGTGGGCAGGTAGTGTGTTATGGGTAGAGTGTCGGGGCGGGGGCTTTGTTGTTGCTGTTGTTGTTGTTGTGGTGGTGCTGTTGTTGTTGGCGGTGGGCAGACGGAAAGCAAAACAGCGGCAGAGACATGCCGGAGACATGGACAGAGACAGACAGCGGCAGGCCGTGGCAGCGGCAACAAGAGTAGCAGCAGATGTAGCAGCTAGGCCGCAAGCAGGAGGGTTGGCCGCTCCAGGCCGGCAGACACGAACAAGCAGGTGTCGGAGGGTTTGCGTGTGTGGGCTGTGGGCTGCAGGCTGTGGGCGCGGTGGTGCCGTCGTGCTGGTCTTGCCATGGTGTCTGTGGTGCAGCAGCAGAGAGTGGCCCGCGCCTGCCCAGCTAGACTCTGGTGGCCCTTCCTTTCCAGGATGGCACCGCTCCATTCCGGCAAGCGCGTCTCCTTTCGCGGCCTTCTTCAAGCCCTCATCATACAATCCTCTTGTTCTTTGCTTCTCCCAAACGTCGTCACCAACCTGCCGGCTCCCACAATCCTCTGCTGCAGCGAGCGACTCCCGCCCGTTGTCCTGCCTCCCGCCGCCTTTGCTTGTTGCTGTCGTTGCTGTCTGCATCCCAACCAGCCCGCCAGCCCGCCAGCCCAACCGAGCCCTCGCCTCGCCATTGCAGAACACCCCAGTCGATCCTTCCCCCCCCGAACCGACCGTGCAGCAACCCTGAGAGACCTCGGAGCGAAGCGAAGCGAGCCTCGTCGTCCATACGCCAGCCATCCCTTGACACCCTCTTCGTCTTTTACCCCTTCCCCGTTTGATCTCAACACACACGCCCACGCGCCCAAGCACTCCCGCAATTGCGACCTAGTCTTTTGTAATAACAGGTGAGCCTCTTTTTTTATGCACGCAATCTTGCCATCGCCATTGCACTCGACCTCGCCGCCGCCGCTGCTGCTCTGCCATTGCGACAGCCTTGCTTACCCATCACTCCTCCCTCACCTGGCTAAGCCCGCCTGCGCGCTGCTCCACTCGTGCATCGCCCACTGCCGCCGCCCATTGAGCCTTTGTTGACACTATCCACCAGGTTTCCGTGTTGGCCGGCCTCGACGGAACATCGCTACCTACCTTAACCCTAATCACTACACCGGACCCCGTCCCTAACCGCCATCATGGGCTGCGGAATGAGCACAGAGGAGAAGGAGGGAAAGCAGAGAAATGAGGAGATTGAGAACCAGCTCAAGCGCGACAAGCTCATGCAGCGCAATGAGATCAAAATGCTGCTCCTTGGTCAGTATTGCGCGCCGCCTGCACCTGCGACACACAGGCTCTAACACCATGTAGGAGCTGGAGAGTCTGGAAAGTCGACCATCCTCAAGCAGATGAAGCTCATCCACGAGGGCGGCTACTCGCGCGACGAGCGAGAGTCGTTCAAGGAGATCATCTTCAGCAACACGGTCCAGTCGATGCGCGTCATCCTCGAGGCCATGGAGTCGCTCGAGCTCCCGCTTGACGACCAGCGCGCCGAATACCACGTCCAGACCATCTTCATGCAGCCTGCCCAGATCGAGGGCGACAGTCTGCCACCAGAGGTTGGTAACGCCATCTCGGTTCTCTGGAAAGATGCCGGCGTGCAGCAGTGCTTCCAACGCTCGCGCGAGTACCAGCTCAACGATTCGGCCAAATAGTGAGTTCCATCTCAATTTTACCCGTGCATCGCCACTGACCATGTTAGCTACTTCGACTCGATTGACCGCATTGCCGCGCCTGATTATATCCCCAATGACCAGGATGTCCTCCGTTCGCGTGTCAAGACGACTGGTATTACTGAGACGACCTTTATCATCGGCGATCTCACCTACCGCATGTTCGATGTCGGTGGTCAGCGATCAGAGCGTAAGAAGTGGATACACTGCTTCGAGAATGTCACCACCATCCTGTTCCTGGTCGCCATTTCCGAGTACGACCAGCTGCTGTTTGAAGATGAGACTGTCAACCGTATGCAAGAAGCCCTTACATTGTTCGATTCCATCTGCAACTCGCGGTGGTTTGTTAAGACATCCATCATTCTGTTCCTCAACAAGATTGATCGCTTCAAGGAGAAGCTCCCCGTCAGCCCAATGAAGAACTACTTCCCCGATTACGAGGGTGGCCCAGACTATGCGGCTGCATGCGACTACATCCTCAACCGATTCGTCTCACTGAACCAACATGAGACGAAGCAAATCTACACGCACTTTACCTGCGCCACGGATACTATGCAAATTCGATTCGTCATGGCTGCAGTAAACGGTACGTAACACCACATTTGTTTTGTGGCGCACGACGCTAACAGTTTTTTTTTTGCAGATATTATAATCCAGGAGAACCTGCGGTTGTGCGGCTTGATATAAGCACGAGAACGACTGAGTCTACGAACCTCTTTCACCTTGAACTCGTATCACAGCTTGTATGCCTGCCTCATGTCCTTTTACAGGCGTTGTGGACTTTGCTTTGCATGCTTGCGCTTCTGTCGAGAAATGGCTTACTCTCGGCCCGCACCGCTCTCTCTTTGATACCCTGCAGACGGGCCGGCGACGCCATGGATTCACCATCTGCGAAGCGGTTTTTTCTTCTTATCTTTTTTTCCTTTTTTTCCTCTCCCTTGAACATCTTTCTCCTGGACAAGGAGAGATTGGGTATTGGAACCACCGTCCCCTTTGGTACTAAGAAAGTATTTCTGTGGAACATCGAGTCGACGCGTGTGTATGTGTGTGTGTGTGTGTGTGTGTGTAGCAGCTGCCAAAAGAAGGGAGGGGAGGGGAGAGAGGGAGGTTTTCCTCATTTCCTAATACTAAGTCCTGTTTTTTTCCTTTTTTTCCCACCCTCTCTCTCTCCGATAGCCACCATGTTACCTACTTGCCACGTTGTTTGAAGAGAGAGTACGTTTTGTTTTCTTGCTGCTACTTATTCCCTTGTTGATTTGGCCGGTTCCGCCACCGCTTCAAGTATGTACACAGCGTGCGTGAGATATGTAGTGAAATGATGAAAGCAAAAATCTGGTATATGAGAACGCTTTGTTTTTCTTTTTTATCATATGTAGTTATATCGAATATTAATTAATGCAAAGAGAGAGAGAGACAGAGAGAAAAGATAGGATAGTGAGTAGGGGGGAAAGTAATATCATTATATTCTTTTGATCTTGTTTTCTTTTTTTTTAACTCCCTCTGGACAGTCAGGTCCAGATGAAATCTTTTTTTGCTTGTTCGAGATCAAATCTCCGCTGATATGCAAGGGGGAGGTGGGGGTGGGCGGAGGTTTTTTGACCAGGAAAAAAAAAGGGGGGGGAATGGTGGATCAAAAAGAAGAAAAGAAAAGAATTCGACTGACACAAGTCTACATGCGCATGTGTGTATCTTGTATACACACATTACACAATACACGATTCAATGAAACCAGATGATGACTTATCAACAAATGAAAAATAACTAATCCAAAACCCAAACCCTCGGGTTCCTTCCCTCCCTCCCTCCCGTCGCTCGTATTCTTACCATTCTCCCAAACCCGGGAGACGATCAACGATGTGCCGGCTGCAGGCGAAAGCAATTTTCCTCTAACTGATTTTCTCTAGTAAGTAGTCTTGGGAAGGGGGGGTGGTCTTCCTTCCGGGGGTAGAGGGGCTATTCCTGTGTTATTCGGGCCGGATGGTCAAGTAGCGGAGTCTTAGACGTGGTCAGCAATTTCTGGGATGCGAGACTAAGTCGCTGGTGGCGGGCTTTTTTTGTTTTGGTGTTGCGAATGGGTTAGGGGGCGGGTGTGAGGTGAGGGAGAAGTGATGCAGTGCCAAGTGAGGGGAGAGGGGTTTGAGGGGTGTCTGGGAGGGGTTTCATGGTTCGTGGTGGAAGATGATGTTATTTGACAGAAGGGGGGGGGGTGGTGTTTGTGTTTTTCTTTTCTTTGATTTGGAAGGTGCCGGATTGGAGCGGAAGGTGTAGCGCGGGAGGATTGAAAGAGAGAAACTTGGATAGTATAGCATGGGTGAGGGAACATGATGATGTAGGGTTTTTTCTGATTTTAGCCCCAAAATCAGGTATACGTATACTAGAAGGGTAAGCACGACAAATTTTGTTTTACTAACAAACGACGTCAGATGTGGAAAAAGTCTTGCTTGGTGATAGCCGGAGTTGCGGCTTGGCTTGCATCAGCCACGGCAGCAGCCACAGCACCAGCCACGGGTCAGCCGGACGGAACCAGGGGTGCCCAGAGCGCCATGTGGAGGTGCCCAGACAACGCCGCCAATTTAGAGTGGGTTTTGTTATTCAGTAAACACTTACGTATGTATGTAGGTGCGTTGAATGCAGGTGCCGGTGCGGCATATCTGGCAGCATGTATGTCATGTATATTGATAGATACACATGTATACGTATGCATCAACCATGGCTTTCTATCCCAGACCCACCAGCAAGACGTGCCGATTAGCCAGGAACATGGCGAATCGGGGACGGTCAGATGGATGTAACAGAACTGACGCACTCGAGGCCCCCCGCTGGACGGGCTGAGGGACGAGGTGGTGCAGGGCAGATGGGTGGGCTGTGCAGCATCCCACTCGTTCGTACACATGGATGCATGCCAGTAGATACATGGGTGGGCAGATAGGGTGCGCGGAGGGTGCCCCGCTAGAGGCTCTGGTACATGTAGGTGCGTGTAATGTAGTAAGACGCGGGCGTATGTGCATGTGTAGATGGGCTAGGCGCCCGCGTACAGTAGATATGGATAGGTACTCGGGGGCGCGTTGTCTAAGCAGCCAGGGCCGGACGAGCAATAAGACAGAGGCAGTGGGGGGTTTGGAGCGCGGCATTTGCCCCAGCTGACGGCAGAAGAGGAGGAGAAGCCCGGCCTCGTTCAGCCCTCTGTTGTGCGTGCACACACGTACAGGCCTAGATATGCGGCGGCCCCCAAGCCCTCTCTTTTGTCCGTTCCCCCCCTTAAACCTAAACGCCCGGCCAGAAGAAGCATCTCCCTTTCTCTTTTTCTCCCTCGATCTCGACTGAGCAGAGTGCGCGCAGCACATGTCGTGAGCCAACGTCCTGCCAACGGGCGGCGCATCACCAAGCAATACTTGGCTGCCGCGGACCGATCACCAGGGCCTTGATTGAACGCGTAGCCACGCAGCCCCCCCCTCGCCCCGGCGGCGGTGCAGTCGGCAGACCGAGGCTGGCCGCCAACATGCCCCGTCCTACATTTACCACCAGGCTCTCGCTTCCGCACCGCCTCAAGCGCCCGACCAGCTGCTACAACTCGTCCTCGACCCCAAGCACGCAAACCCCAGCCTCCTCCGTGCCTGCCTCGCGCAACAGCAGCCCCCGCACCCGCCCAATGTCCGAGCAGCCCGCCCCAGCTGGCCTGGTGTTGAGGGTCACCGTCATCAAGGGCAGAGACCTGGCTGCAAAGGACCGCAGCGGCACCTCTGACCCCGTGAGCGCCCATCCCCCCCGCGAGCATGGCTAGCTGTCTAGCACATGTGCGCATACATGTACACGCACACAAACACACGCTAACACGGCCGAGCAGTACCTCGTCCTCACCCTCGGCGACGCCAAAATCACCACCCCCACCATCAACAAACAACTCAATCCAGAATGGAACGAGACGCTCGAGCTGCCCGTTGTCGGCGAGCAGAGCCTCCTGCTCGAAGTCGTCTGCTGGGACAAGGACCGCTTCGGCAAGGACTACATGGGCGAATTTGACGTCATACTCGAGGATCACTTCCAGAACGGCCTGGCCCAGCAGGAGCCACAATGGTTTCCCCTCGAGGCCCGCCGCTCCGGCAAGAAGAAGTCGGTCGTCTCGGGCGAGATCCAGATGCAATTCACCCTCATTGACCCCCAAAACCTCAGCGCCAGCCCAGAACAAATACTGCAAAAGTTCTTTGCCATTGCAGGCCAGGCGCCCAGCCCCGACGAGTATGACGAAGACCTGGGCGGCAACAGCAACGGCAACAGCACCGACGCCGAGGAAGACGACGACTCGAGCTCCGACGAGGCCCAGGATGAGTCCAAGAAGGCCGAGAAGAGGGAGAAGCGGCGCAAGAAGCTCAAGCTTGCGCGATTGAAGCGAAAGGTCAAGGGCCAGACCGGCTACGCCTACTCGAGCAGCGGCGATGTGGCTGGTGTTCTTTTCCTTGAAGTCCAGCGATGTTCCGATCTGCCACCGGAGCGCAATGGTGAGTTGTTTTTTGTACCACTCGGCGCCTTCACACACACACACACTGACGCATTTCTCAGTGACACGAACCACATTTGACATGGATCCCTTTGTCATCACATCGCTCGGAAAGAAGACATACCGTACCAAAACGGTCAGACACGACCTTAACCCCGTATTCGACGAAAAGCTCGTCTTCCAAGTCATGCGCCACGAAACCAATTACTCGGTCAACTTCACCGTCATGGACAAAGACAAATTTTCGGGCAACGACTACGTCGGCACGGTGAACTTTCCGCTCGAGAAGGCGATTTCTACAGCTCCCCAAGAGGACCCAGAGACGGGCCTCTACAAGCTCCCAGAACCATCAGATTCCCCCGGCATCTCTCCTGATGGCGGTTCAAAAAAGTCGCGCTTTCGCATCCCAATGTCCCGCTCTGGGTCTACTCACAGCCTCTCTCGTTTGGGCCGGCCATCACTAAAGAAAGAATCGTCGACTGGCTCGCTCTCCGTACAAGATGCGAGCGGGACGCAGCCTCCATCACCAGGGGCTCCGCCCAGTGCCCTTACCGACTCCAACGGCAATCTTACCCCGGGCAGCACGCTCAACCTCCAACCATCAGCTGTGGATGATGAGGACCTGAAAATGTATACCCTTCCCCTGGAATTGAAGCACCAGGAGCGCTGGGAGAACAAGCACAGCCCAACACTTTATATTCGCGCCAAATACCTCCCTTACAAGGCCCTTCGGCAACAGTTTTGGAGAGCCATGCTCAAGCAGTACGACGCTGATGAGAGCGGTTTGCTGGATAAGGTCGAGCTCACCACAATGCTCGACACGCTTGGCTCTACGCTGCACGAAGCCACCATTGACAGCTTCTTTGAGCGATTTGCGTATCGTCACAACGGAGAACACCTCCTCACATTTGATGAGGCCGTAATTTGTCTTGAGGACCAGCTAGAAGCCACAGAAGCAAAGAACGCCAAGACGGATGGGTCTTTTGTATCGGGTTCACAGACACCAATGACCTCTGGAATGCTTACTCCAATCAACCAGAGCAGCTCCACCACTTCCATTCCGGTCTTGGAGACCAATACCCTGGGCAAGGAAGGCGAAGAAGGAGCTGATATCCAGATTGACGATCTGGCAGATGACAAGGGCGAGGAGCACGTCGTTGAGATTCGCGAATGTCCCATCTGCCATCAGCCGAAGCTCAACAAGCGCTCAGACGCTAATATTATTACCCACATCGCTACATGTGCCAGTCAAGACTGGAGACAGGTGAATAACATTGTCATGGCTGGTTTTGTTACGTCAAGCCAGGCTCAGCGCAAGTGGTACTCCAAGGTCATCACCAAGATCTCGTACGGTGGCTACAAGCTGGGCGCAAACTCGGCCAACATCCTTGTTCAGGATCGTCTTACGGGACAGATCAACGAGGAGCGTATGAGTGTTTATGTACGTCTGGGCATCCGTCTGCTTTACAAGGGTTTGAAGGCGAACAACATGGAAAAGAAGCGAAGTAGGTTACTCATCCTCGCATGGAGCCACAAATGCTAACCATTGATAGTCCGCAAGCTTCTCAAGTCTCTCAGCTTCAAGCAGGGACGAAAATACGACGACCCTGCATCTGCCTCTGAGATTATACCCTTTATCAACTTCCATCAACTCGACATGTCCGAGGTCTTGTTGCCCACGGATCAGTTCAAGAACTTTAACGAGTTCTTCTACCGCGCACTGAAGCCGGGTGCGCGCCCATGCTCTGCACCCGACGACCCAAGGGTAATTGTGTCGCCTTCCGATTGCCGAACCGTTGTTTTCAATACCATCGATGCAGCACAGGCCATCTGGGTCAAGGGTCGTGACTTTACCATTGAGCGCCTGCTTGGCGACGCTTATCCGCAAGACGTAAAGCGTTATCATGGAGGATCACTCGGCATCTTCCGACTGGCGCCGCAAGACTACCATCGTTTCCACATCCCTGTCGATGGAGTCTTGGACGAACCAAAGACGATTGAAGGTGAATACTACACTGTAAACCCAATGGCTATTCGCTCAGCGTTGGACGTGTACGGTGAAAATGTCCGAGTCGTTGTTCCCATTGACTCTGTTGCACATGGCCGTGTCATGATTATTTGTGTAGGCGCCATGATGGTCGGTAGTACCGTTATCACGCGCAAGAAGGGCGAGCAAGTCAAGCGTGCTGAAGAGCTCGGCTATTTCAAGTTTGGTGGCAGTACCTTGCTGCTCCTTTTCGAGCCTGGCCAAATGCGATACGATGAGGATCTTGTGGAAAACTCAAACTCTGCGCTGGAGACTCTTGTAAGTACCATCTGATTCCTACGTTGTGTCGATTTTGCTAACACTCTGCCAGGTCCGCGTCGGCATGTCCATTGGCCACAGTCCCAACAGGCCAGCTCACGTTCCAGACATGCGCAAAAGCAACCCTACCCATGAAGAGAAGCAGGATGCCAAGCGCCGTATCGAGGGTAGCTTGGCACCTGCAGGTGTCAAAGGACCCATGCCTGGCGCTGGCATGTAGAATAGATCGCGTTAGAGTGTGCACGAATAGGCACACACAAAAGGCATGGACAGGCTTGGATATTCAGTATCATTCTTGTGGTACGCTTGGCGTAACGAGGTTATGATGGAATGTAAGCATACGGATCAGCGGCGTGGATTGTCGCTTTTTCTCGGGCGTTTCTAAGAGGTTTTCTCGAGTTGTGGTGGATAAGGTGCATCCTAGAGAGATATCGTATTATGTACATATATTTACATTACTTACTTGCATGCATGTTTGATTGCTGCGCTGTGGGGAACGCTAATCACCTCGTCACGTGCACGCGCTAGTCCTGAAATCATTGTTTTGATGATGCTGGCGGCAGGTGCACACACCAACTTGCTTGCTCCCGTGTGACGACCGTTCCCCTCCACTCCCGTCGCCCAAGGATATTCACGTTACCGCCTAATCATTACACACGCCCTGCCTATACTAAGAGCATAACTTGGATCGCACGCGCATTGCCTTCACTCGCGCCCAACTTTACTCGACGATAGCTCGCCTGTCCGCCGCGCCCATGCACGCGCTTTGACCGAACACCAACTCTTCGAACCCCGTGACGCAGAAACTGGACTCATGACTACCATCTTCGTGCGCTCCCCGCTGCAATCGCTTCCTATGGCCACAAACCGACCGACGACGCGACGAAGGAGCGCAAAACAAGCTTTCGACGATGACGATGCGCCGCCTGTGCAGAAGCGGCCAAGGACGGAAGTAAATGGGACGACCAAGAAGCCAACTGCTGCGCCAAAGAAGAAAGCCAAAGCTGCTGCGTACGACGAGGACGATGATGGCTTTCAATTCTCGCGTCGCACATCGCGAAGGACCACGAAAGCACCTCCAGTACCGGAACCAGAGCCCCTACCCGTGGAGAAGGCTGTGCAGCCCGCGCGTCGCAAGAAGCAATCGATTGCGGCAGTCGGCCCAGAATCACCAGACTCGGGGAAAAGACGGAGGTCAGCGCGTATTTCTGGCGACAGAGAGCAGTTGGAGGTGCGGACAAAACCCAAGGAGCCTGCTGCAGCAAAACCACGGACCAAGAAGAGCGCCGCCCCCGTAGTGAAGGAAAAGAAGAATCAAACTACCCCGGCTCCGGAAGTGCAACCACAAGCAAACGCGTACCCTGGCGTGCAAACACCCACGCACAATGAGTTGCAGAATGCGAAGAAGCGTGATCCAAACGCCCAAAGAATTATGCTGCCTTTTGCAGACACTCCAGTCATTGCGCGGAATAAGGAGATGCGAAAGGGGAACAAAGATGGACACCGGAGAAGCAGTACAGGCTTACGAGGGAGGAGAGCAAGCTCCCTGATTGATAGTGGTCAGTCGAATGGTGAGTTTGGACAGATTGTGCATGCACAAGCCAATGCATTGGGCAGCGCGTCTGCAAGTAGCACATGCTAATTTTTGTTGCAGCGCTACCTCATTCCGAAGTCGAAGTCCGAGAGTTCTACAAATACATTGAGCAAAGTCTACCCGAGCCGCGGCGAATGAAGCAACTCCTGACATGGTGCGGATCGCGAGCGCTACCATCAAAGCCGTCGGGCAATGTTAAAAATGCGAATGCGATCATGGCTGGTATGTGGTGATAAATCGCAAGATTGAAAGCTGGAGTGGCTAATTGAAATCAGCACGGGCGATTGAACAAGAACTCATTGACGATTTCGCTGGCAAACCCGAGTTATCAGATTGGTTCAGCAGGGTACATGTGCCGGCTTTGATACATTACGAGCTCCAAATTGACAAGTATGCAGGAGGAGACTGCACTACCACCAGTAGTGAAGAAACCGAATCCCCAAAACGAGAAGAATCAAGCCACGTTAGAGGAACTAGAAGCAGAAATCAAACTGTATGTTGGGGTATTCTACGGAATACAAAAGATGCTATATAACTAACTTGAACGCAGACTGGAAGAAGAAAAGGCCGCATGGGAAGCCATAGCTTCATCCTCAAAAACCATGCCTCCACCCCCCGCACCTTCAATACCCACGTCCACACCCTCACTATCAGATATCGACATGTCATTCCTCGACCCCGACCAAGCCGCTATACTCTCCGCCCTCCAATCCTCATCACAACCACAATCAGCCCCGCAACCACCTTCATCAGCATTCACATTCACATCCCCCACAACATTACAAACGCACCTCACTTCGCTCGCCAACTCGCTCGAACCCAACATCGATCTCTTCGCAGACGGCGTCCACAAAATCGAGCAGTACAGACAGACGGCAGAGCGTGTGGCCGAGCGCGTGCTGGGCACGGCGGCAAAGCGGCTGGAAGAAAGAGACAAAGAGGCCAAAGAGCGCGCGGGCACCCAGGGTATTGGCGTCGGCGATGTACTGCGGGGTCTCGCTGGTGTGCTGGGGGAGCAATAAAGAAAGGATCTTTGTTCGGTTTTTTTTTCTTCCCATCATCCCCTTGAGAAAAGGAGAGACAGAGAGAGAGAGACTGAAATCGAATTAAAGTTTTTTTTGACTGTGTCGATAGCCCTTTTTTGGGGGGAGGAGAGGCTTCTTCCTTTCTGTCTATCTATCTCTCTTTCCTTCTTTCTTTTGAGGGGATAGGGAAAGTTTGCAACGCCCTCATGGTATGAGAATGAATCTATGTCGGAGTTCTTTTTTTGGGGCCTTTCTAGAGCTTTTATGGGGTGTTTTCCCCTTCTCCCCGTCTATGTGTGTTTGGCCAACTTGGCATTTGCGGGTATATCGTAGGTTTTTGTTTACTGTGTGAAGCGGGGGGGTTTTTTTGGACATGTGTTTTTTTGGTTCTACCATGGAAACGGTCGGGGAGCATTGCGATTTAGGGAGAGACGATATACCAAATTCTGCTTACCTTTTGTTTGTTTAAACTTGAGTTGAAATTTTTTTTTTAAAAAAAAAAACGCTGAAAAATACATATTGATGTTTGGAATTTCTGAGTCCTTTAGTCCCTCTCACCTTGCCCTTTTTTTTCAGAACTCGAGTATAAGCAGAGAGAGAGAGAGAAAGAAATATACTGCATATCTGGTTCAACATGTGATTTTCTAGTTCTTAACACACCATATCGCCAATCTAGCGATTTCATCCTCCAAATCTAGCACGAAGCCCATGGTTAAGCGGAGAAACAACAGACGCTGCTCAAGATACACGAGGACGTCTAGATCCGTCTCCACAAGCTGGTGTGGCGTGCGGCCGAGGAGCTGGCACCATGCGTCATCTGAGAGGATGAGTTTGCCGGAGCCAATCTGGCCTGTTTCATCTAGTATGGGACCGAGCTGCACATACAAAAATGTATCCAAAGATCAGCCTGATTTTACTTTGTTTGCTCAAAGCAAGAGATAACAAGAGACTTACGATTTTAGGGTTAATACGTAGAGTGACTAGGTTCTCACAGTGTTTGCATTTCACATGGACGCTGTTAGCGAAGAGCGGGATACCGCAGCATTCGTTGCTCATGAGCATGTTGCGCTTGAAGGGAGTGACGATGTTGAGGCCTGTGATGAGGACGCTGAGGTAGCCGACTATTCTTTCCTTTGTACTGGAATGAGATAGGGAGCGGGCGACGCTGTCGATATCAGCAAGCGTGTACAGTGCTTTTATGGCTGCGTTCTCGAAAGACTGGATTGCGGTTTGGGGGATGGTGAAGAGAGGGTTCACGTGTTCCCGCTTTGTGAGGCGTTGGGCCATTGCTCGGAGACGCCGGGCGTCACCCATGTCGGGGTCGATGTCCACTCGCGAACCGCTTGTGATTGTGAGTTTCGCTGTCTTGTCGATGCGCCAGCTGGGGTTGGAAATGAGTAGGATGGTCGTGAAGGGCGTGAAGAGAGATGCAGAGTCGCACATGGAGGAGTATAGAGTCAGGAGGCCATCAACTGTGTCGTCAAAGATGCCCAGAGATATGAGTTCGGAAGTTGTGCCGTTGCGATTCATGTCTAGTGTGGTTAGCCTTTTTCTGTAAATGGTGGAATATAAGACGAATGTCAACATGCATTTCTTTTTTGCCCCAATGCTCCTCACACAGACAAGCAGCTTGGGTTCGTCAATGTCATACCCGCCATCCATGAAGTTTTTTAATGTCATCAGCCCAGTTAGTGCCCTACTTTCCTTCACACCATACGGCCTCTTGAATCTGCTTCCATCATCACTACCCTCATATACCGCAAAATGGCAGTTTCTCTCGCCTTCAGGGAACATACTCGTGAACAGTGGTGCTGTGCTAGGCGCCAGTGTGTTGAATTCAGACGAGTTTGAAATGTGCACTGTCCATATGCCAACGAGTTGGCCAAGCTTCAGCTTGTATCGAGTTTCGGCATACCAGAGGCGTACAGTGAGTACTCCTGTGTCGTCTGCAACCATGACTTTGATGCATCCTTGGGCGGCTTTGTGTGACTTGGTAGGTCGAACTTGGTCGTTGAAATTCACTATACGGCCCATGAGAGCAAGTTTACATGGGCCAGGTTCGAGAGAACCTATCTCGGCTTCCTCGTAGTCCAGTGTGGGCTATGAGTTGTTGGCAATGACCTGATAATGGGGTTATCGAGATAACATACTATCCATGTACTTGCTATGTCTACTCCTGTCGGGGCATGAGCGGACTGCATATCCCCTGAGGTGAAGCCATCACTGTTCTCTGATGGCGAGGATGAAAAGTAGAACTGTATTGACGACGGTGGTGGCATCATCGAGCGTGAGCTTCGGGTTTTGAGGCAAACACAAATGTGTTGAGGTGAGGGTTGGTTCGAAAAACAGAGTTGCTCCTTCCTCTTCTGACTGTCTGACTAAAACAACATCAACATCTGCCTATAGCGTAAGAATATTGAGATGCATATCAAAAACAAGTGCATATATCCTATAACAACAACATTTGTGAGAAGACATCGGACACCGTCTCTGTTTTCTTGTCGTGGTGATATCTCGACACTGTAAAAGAAAACTTTGGACTAGATTCTATTGCATATTTCTAGCGACAAGCACACATCATGAAAGAAACAAATCAAATTTGAGAAGACATTTTATATTACTTTAACGAGAGTAAGGAGTTGGTCAAACTAATCGCAAGCACAGCTAGCCGTGCAAATCGTCAGGTTAGTCAAGCAACTGGTGCATACCAAGTAGCCATCACGTGTCATTAGACGCCTAGAAGAGCTTGTGCTCGAGAGTCATGTCGTTCTCGGGTTCAAGGCCGACACAGGCGCGGAAGATGTTGGTGAGAGCTGCACGTTGCTTGGCAAGAGCGTTGACAACTGGAGTGCCAGGAGGGGTGAGAGGAGCCTGAAAATAAGTTAGTCAAATGAGAAGCATAACAGTCTGTCTGACGTACCTTGAGCATGTAGCTGAGGACGCTAAGCACGCTATGGAAGTTGTTGAACTTGGCGTCGCTACCTTCACCAGCCTGAGCCCTCCACTGTACACGGGTCATCATCTCGGCGACGAGCACGAGATCGATGATCAGAGGCGAAGCCAGAAGGGAGTCCTCGCAGACATTGAACAAGCTGATGGTCTGGTGGCCATCAAGGAAGATCTCAGCGTAGTACTCGTCCAGAGCACGCTTGTCGTCTCCAACAGCAGGCATGTACTTAATGACGACACAGTGGTCAGGGTGCTCGCCATCTTTGTACAGAACGTTGTTGGCGGCGACCATGTCGTCGACAACGTTGGACTTGGAGATCTCCTTGGAACGGAACTGCTTCTGAGAGCTGAGGTTCATACCATCATTGTTGCCCAGATGGTTGTACGAGGCAATCGAGGTGAGCTTGATACCAGCGCTGATCATGAAGTCAACGAGGGCAGACTTCATCTTGGTCTGGCCAGACTTGAAATCATCACCACCGATGAAGGCGTTGTGCTTCTCGGCGAGCTGAATGGCACCAGGGACAAAGGTGTTTTGAGGAGAACCGTTGATGAAGGGAACACCCTCGAGAATCGAGGCGACGGCGAAGACAGTCGAGGGAGCAACTTCCTCGTGGCCAGATTCAATGGCCTTGAGAAGGTTGTCCGCGGTGTCGTTGACGCCCTCCAGGATGTCGGCATAGCGCTCAGTGTTTGCAGTCCACTGCACAATCACCTTGTCAAGCCCGTTGGCAGCCTTGAACTCACTGTTGAGTTGTTAGCAAGGATACTCATGTCACATGTAGAACATCACTTACCGGATATCCTTGCGGATCTGCTCAACATGGGCCATGGAAGCCTTGGTACCCTCCAGGACGTTGTCAGCACGCTCTTCCTGGTTGGCAGCGATAAAGTCCGGGTAGTAGATGCTGGGAAGGGGCTTCATGGCGCTCATCTCCTTGCGAACCAGAGACTTCAGAGACGGAGACAGGACTTTGGCGCGGTCCATGGCGTCAGCCAGGTTCATGCCGCTGATATCCCATCCGCCAACCACGAGGTCGTTTGGATGAACCATAGGCAGAAGATCATGGAACGGAATATGGATCTCTTGGCCGGTCTTGCTGTCGACACCAAGCTTGGTAGTAGAACCCATGATGACGGAGCCATAGTAGTTGGCACCGCGCTTACCCTCTTTGGTTTCCCAGACCAGGTTACGCTTGTTAGCAATGATACCGGCCGTAACTGTGGTACCGTTGTTGCCGCCCCAGCCTACCAGCATGACACCGGTCTTGGGGACTTTGCGGTCAACCTTGAAGTCATAAAGGGTCTCCTTGGGAACAGCGACATAGTGGCCGTCGGCGTTCTTGGTGACGTCGGTGGTGCGGTAAGTGTACTTTGTCTTGATGGTGTCCTCGGTATACTCGACATTGGGCGAGTTGACGACGAAAGGAGCCTTGGGGGCCGCCTTCACCTCCAACCCATTCGCGTTGCCGACGCTTTCTTCTGCGTGTGGTGCCATGATGATTTTAATTCAAGTTCTTGTTGATTTGGTGAACTTAGTTGCGGAAGTCTAGATCCGACGCTGCCCCAGAAGGAGAAGTACGTCGGCCGGCGAATGGGTTGTGGATCCTGCGGGGTGTTAGTCAAATCCACCTCCACGTCGTGAAGTCGGTCCCCATGGGGTTGTGGAGGAGGGGTACTTACGAGCTGAGGAGATTGGAAAACGTCTTGACAGCTGGGCAATGGCCCGAGGGAAATTTCAGGTGTGGTTGATGAAAAAAGGAGATTGTAAGCTTGTCGGCTGGCTATGGTCTACAATGGGAGAATGTTGGTGTGTGAAGGCAGGCAGAAGCTGGGGCGCCGTGTAGTCACTTAAATGCTCTCGTGCCGCTGCTGACTTATCACTACCACTCACAACCGCTCCCGCCTGCAGCCGGCCAACGTGTTCACCCACCGCCTCTTTGTCGTTACCTCTTGGTTCTCCACTTTTCGTCGTCGCCATTATTGCCGTAGTCCTCTTGAGGCGTAGAAACACCAATCGATGCCTCGCACGAGTCCTTGGGATATTCGCCATGTGCCGCTATCACCCCCACTAAGTGGCTATCATGCAGTAGCAACCTCGTTGGGTTTGGCAAAAGACGCAAGTGACGTGGAAAAGAGCGCCGTATGAGCCTAAGGAGACGGTACATTGTATGGACAGCTGTCGTTGTATGTGCTCGGACGGCATCCTACAGTATCTACAGAGCTCTCAACACATCCCACCTTCTTGACGAGTACCCCACCATCACGTGTTTACATACTAGTCGAAGCGGCAGGTGCCTCGACACCCAGGCATCACTCGGGCGCCTTGCTAGAGCGCCTAGCATCAGACGGAGCGTTAGGCTTCAGGCCAAGTCATTGCCTTGGCGATTTCTAGTCCATCAGTCTCCATCGACCAGACCAAAAGACCGAGTCTTGTGCAGCGCAGAAGTATGACGACCAGCTTCCTGAGCCAGATGTTGTTTCAAAGCTCGGCCGTGTCGCCAGTCGAGGACAAAGGTGGCATTCGAAACGCGGGGAGCTTCAAAAATGTTTGCACAAGGGCAAAGGCACGCGACGCGGTTGGCAACAGAAAAAAATGGTCACCGGGGCAATCAGAGGCCATGCAAGATACGAGTCCTGCCATCACACAGTGTTCTAACATGGAAAGTATCCTGGACATAAACTCGACAGGGAGCCGCGTTATTTTAGCCGTCTGGGAAACAGGCGAACAGGTGTGGGGCGTAAAGCTAAGTATTTGGAGGCAGGAACCCTGCTGCTGCTTGCATCAGGCCGGATACGGTAGGCTGCATGTGGAAATGAGCGATCGACCTGTGGGCCATGTGAGGGCGGGTGTGGGTGTGGGCGGCATTTGTTGTTTGCAGCGCCATTGCTTGTTGCTCGCGCCATGAGACGATTCGAAACAGCAGGTTCCGAAGGGATGATGCAACATGGCCATGGACGTTCGCTTACTGTGCAGTGACGCAGCCGGCGGGGGATGGAGATTGGTGATTGTGGGCAAGCAGGTGCTATTTATGCTGCGAAAGGGGTGGTGAGGCGCCATAATCTGCTGTCTGCAACGTAGTAGATCGGGCAGCTGGGAGCGATGTCACGTCGAGCCAATCAGGCGGGGCGACTAGTGCTGGTCCCCTGGCGGCTGTTCGGCGCAGGGACAGGATGCGAACAAGGAGCCTCGGACCGCCGACTCGCCAGCACAGTAAGTACAGTCAGTCTTCGGTCGCTTCCTGACGGCTCGCAGCGACGCCGCGCTGTGCGACAGCATCGAGGGCCAGGTGGCCGCCCCCGTGGCCGGCGCGGCGTGGCGAGGCTGGGCAGGGCAGCCGCTGCGTGGGTGTCGAGAGATCCGGCGCGGGAGGGGTTTCATGACAGTTGGCAGCTGTAATGGATGGGGATGGATGGGTATAGATGGGTATAATGGCGGCCATGCTGGAACGGCGAGGACCGCACGATTCAGCCGACAGTGCAAGCTGCCGCCCCGTGCACGCCAAAGGAAATGCCCGCCGAATCATCGCCCGCACGGCCGACCTCCCCCCAGCACGCCCAATTCCCCAGCGCGCGAATTGCGTGCAGACGACGACGAGAACCCCCGCTGGCGGCCACAGGTGCCGGGGGCGATTGGCCCTTCGCCTTTGATTGCCGGCCGGCGAGGCTGCGTGCTGGCCGGTCTGTATGGGCAATGCGCCGCCGCCGTCATTACCGCGTCGTGGTTGCTTTCTGTTTGGCTTCGCGATACCCAACATTGCGCGTGTCGATTGTGGGGCCCGGCACCCTCTACCACGGCTACATATGGACGTGCTAGCCATTTTCCAGCCGCTGCCCTTCTAAGCTCGTAGCCTTTTCGGGCCCACGCCCGCATGCTGCCCCTGATTGAGCATGGTCCACACCGTTTCTGAAGATCAAACAGCCCTGTGTGTCCAGCGTCGTCGTTCGGCGCACGCTTGTAGCCGTCGTCGACCACTGTCTGCCGCCCGCCTTGCTCTTCTTCCATGTCACCACCCTCGACAAATACAATCACCCCCCCTCCCCCCCCGCTGGCCGCAAACAATCCCCATCCTGACTCCGGCACCGCCTGCCTCGTTATCGCTCCCGTGCGCGAGCTCTGCATGCCAATATGGATCGAATGAGCACCCTTCCAACTATCAAATGCTCGTCGTGTGCCGTCGACATTGATATCCTCCATCTGGCCGACCATGTCTGCGCTGCAGTCCCGGCGCCCGGTGAGTACCATACAACGCTGTATTGCCTACCCAAACTAACCCCCCTCTTAGCAGCGCCAGTGCCCGAGCCCATGTCTCCTACCTCGACAGTCGTCACCGACTCTCCTCAGTCTGTTCTTTCTCCAAAAATCAACCGCGCAGCAACTTTCGGCGGCCCAACGTTCAGCAATCGATCTGACCGGCCAGCGCCCTCTGGCCGCATGCCTCCCCCTCCTCGCATTGATTCCAACGCAGCGAGTAAGCAATCAGAATGACACCGAGTCTGCAGAGAAACTTGCGTGCTGATTTGTACAGACAAGCCATTCAGGCCGTTAGATCCCTCGCCCATCAGTGACTACAGCAATCCTCAAAGTCACTCTTCAGGACTGGCCCCGCCAAGGTCTCCTTACAAAATGACTCGCAGTGTAACATCACCGGTAGACCAACCAAGGGCTCCTCGCTCGCCTGGCCTCAGTTCAAATCTAGACTGTGCTTTTCCGCCATTTCCCCCCAAGACACCAACCAGCGCCAAACCTCAACCACGAGAACGTCTGGATCCCTACCAAAACTACGCCCAACCAAGCCCATTATTTGCGCCACTTAGCCCACGCTTTGATGGAGGGGAGAATATTACCAAGCGCATGAACACCATTGCACCAGGACCGTTTGATGGAAAGAATGATCCAAGGCCAAGTAGAACAAGCGCATCAGGCCAGGCTGTAAATGCATCTACAAGTGGCCACCAGAGGACAGGCACACAAGGCAGTATCTCAAGCAACAGGAGCTTTCCTCAAGTACGGTCCTCTGTAACGTCGAATACTTCGCGCAGCTCTGGATATTCTAACCGCAGTGTTGGCCTCCCTTCTCACCCAAAGCTACGCGTTGGAAACATAGAGGCTCTACCCCCGCGCCCAGAGGCCGATGAGCAGACTGAAGGCATTGATGCTTTCCTGGACCGCTTGCAAAAGGAATCCTCGCGCTCTTCTCAGCCAGCTCAGCCAGCTCAGCCAGCTCAGGAGAACATCACGCCAGAGCCGGTGCGACAGAACAGCCGAAGCAAGAGAGAACCACCACCACGACCAAGAAGGCCCTCAGAAAGGGATTTACCACCGATGGATATGAGTGACTTGGATACATCCGATTTCTTCCCTCAAGGCAACATGTTTCCTTCACCGGGCCCAAGCCGTAATGGTTCTGTGAGCGACATGCCGCGAGGCCTTGCACCATCTCGCTCTTTACGTCCTCCGCCACTGGCTGCCGCAGGGCCCAGTGATGGACAGTCAAACTCGCTTCACACACCTTCTGATTCTGGCTTCTCTGACGATTCCTATGGCAGCTCTGGTGTCCGAAGCACAGCTAGCTCAAGGTCAAGCCCGCCAGAATCGGAAGCTGCTCACTCGCGCCAAGCTTCCAAAATAGGCCGCCCAGACTATGCTGCCGAAGAGAATCCTAGGAGAAGTCCAAGTCCTACCGGATTGGGACCATACCCGCGAGCGCCATCTCCGGGCCCTCGACAACCCATGTTCCCACCAGGCATCAGCATGCAGTATCCAGAGTCTCCCATAGATCCCGCCGTACAAATGGGTGCACGAACTCCACTCGGCATGTTCCCAAAAGACCCAATGGCTCAAGACTACAGCCGAAGCCCACTCAGGAGTATGGCTGGGCCTGAAGTGCGCCAGCAAGATGCGCAGCGGTCCAAGCCTGCTAGCAAGGGTAACTGTCGTGGATGCTCTGAGCCTATTGTTGGAAAATCCGTCAAAGACTCGTCGGGTCGTCTCACTGGGCGGTATCACAAGCACTGCTTTGTTTGCAGAGAATGCGCAGACCCTTTCCCCACGGCCGAGTTCTACGTCTTTAACAACTCACCTTACTGCGAGCGTCACTACCATAAGCTCAATGGATCACTGTGCAACACCTGCAACCGCGGCATCGAAGGTCAGTACCTCGAAACAGACACGCGACAAAAATTCCACCCTAGGTGCTTTGCATGCTTCACTTGCCGTCTCATTCTGCGGGACGGTTATTTTGAAGTTGCTGGGCGAAGGTATTGCGAGCGACATGCCCAGACCGCCGCGGCTCCGCCGAGAAACCACCTCGGACCTGGAAATTACAGACCACGAAACCTACAGAAACGTGGAACGAGACTCATGATGATGGCCTAAGCCGTCTTTCTTTTCCTTTTGTCTACTTATACGCCCATTTCCTTTTCGGTATGTCATATCGTTTAGCGTTTTCTCGTTTTCTGACATCGTACGAATATTCACCCTCTTCATTCTTTCTTGTCCGGCGAGTCCGGTTTTGTATCATATTTTCTGCCCTATACCCCTTACTCTATACATTCCTTACTCATTGTAATCACCGTTTGTACTGATGGCGGCCGATGAGCGTGCGCAAGCTGAGTAGGTGGTTCGTTGATGGCTGGATATTATACCCCCCTTTTTTGGATTTTACACACAATTGTGGTCTCTGGAAGACACATCTTGGCCTGTTGGATGCGGTCCAAATTTACGTATACGCCTGCCTGTAGTATATATAATGTTTATTGTTCATTACAATGTCTTTGAGTGCAAAGGGTGGTTGTTGTGACTGAATTTGACCTGTCGAGTAGATGCTACCCTGCTTGGACTTGTGATGATTGGAGGGTATCGGGTTTAGTGAGCAGTGTTCTGACTCGGCCTCTACTTTAGGTGTATTCGAGGCATGCAGGGGTGGGTATCAGTATCAGACATAACAGCATTGACTATCCGGCAAAAAACATCGACACTACCATTGACGAGGAGCAAGTTGAGGTGCTTAAAACTCAATCTGTCTTCAACGATTTGGATATCAGTCAATTGGTCCTGTACAGGGATCACGTACTTACTCATCATCAACGCCAGTGTTTTGGTTGACCAATGGCACCTCAGGGGCGATGGTCTGGTCAACATGACGACGATATCTAAGTACATGAATGGAAGCAAGCTCACATACTGTATACAGACAAGGCACGCCACAATTCCGCAGATGAAAGCGCCACAAAGCCCCCACAGCGTTGGAACAGCGTGGCCTCTTTTGAGGTTCGGTGGCAGCTTCGAGATGGCTCAGGGACGGAACTACGGCTAGCGCGCGCACGGGTAATTTCCCCAGCGACACGTTGCGAAAGCTACAATACAAACCCCCCCTCTCACTTTCCATCTCCAGGCTGCCTTCAACCAACCTTTTTCCCTTCTCCTTGTCTTCTTTCTTGTCTCTGGGCCATAGTTCGCAATCATGAGCGGCCGTAAGTCCACGCCCCCGCCCTCAATGGGCCCGCGATCGCCCACGCGCAAAACAGGGCGCACTGCGGCACGCACAGCTAACGCCTCCACGCAGTACGGTTCCTCGATCTTGTCAAGCCCTTTGTGCCTCTCGTTCCCGAGATCCAATTGCCCGAGAGCAAGGTGCCGTTCAACAACCGCCTAGTATGGACTGGTCTCACGCTCCTCGTCTTCCTCGTCATGAGCCAGATGCCACTCTACGGAATTGTGTCGTCTGATACCTCGGACCCGCTCTACTGGCTGCGCATGATGATGGCGAGTAACAGAGGTACGCTGATGGAGCTGGGTATCACCCCCATCATCACCTCGGGCATGGTCTTCCAGCTTCTTGCCGGAACCCACCTGATTGACGTCAACCTTGACCTCAAGTCGGACCGCGAACTCTACCAAACCGCTCAAAAGCTCCTTGCCATTCTCCTGTCCTTTGGCCAGGCTGTCGTCTACGTTATCTCTGGTCTTTATGGACAGCCATCCGACCTTGGTGCCGGTATCTGCGTCCTGCTCGTCATCCAGTTGATGATTGCTGGTTTGATTGTCATTCTCCTTGACGAGCTCCTCCAGAAGGGCTATGGTCTCGGCAGCGGTATCTCGCTCTTCATTGCCACCAACATTTGCGAGTCTATCATGTGGAAGGCCTTCTCCCCCACCACCATCAACACTGGTCGTGGCCCGGAGTTTGAGGGTGCTCTGATTGCGCTTGTTCACTTGCTCTTCACCTGGCCCGACAAGACTGTTGCACTCAAGGAGGCCTTCTACCGTCAGAACCTCCCCAACGTCATGAACCTGATCTCCACTGTTCTCGTTTTCGGCGCTGTCATCTATCTGCAGGGATTCCGCGTTGAGATTCCAGTCAAGTCTGCCCGCCAGCGTGGTGTCCGTGGCTCTTACCCTGTCCGTCTGTTCTACACCTCCAACATGCCCATCATGCTGCAGTCTGCTCTGTCCTCCAACGTCTTCCTCATCAGCCAGATGCTCTACAGCCGCTTCTCTGACAACCTGCTTGTCAAGCTTCTCGGTGTCTGGGAGCCCAAGGAGGGCTCCGCTCAGCTTTTTGCTACCTCTGGTGTCGCTTACTACATGTATGTTGCACAGAAAGCCCACTCTGGTAGTTTCCACACTGACATTGTACAGGTCTCCCCCTCTCAGCATCACTGAGGCCCTCTCTGACCCTCTCAAGACCGCCATTTTCATTGTCTACATGCTCGTCGCTTGCGCCGTTTTCTCCAAGACCTGGATCGAGGTATCCGGCTCCTCTCCCCGCGATGTTGCCAAGCAGCTCAAGGAGCAGGGTCTGGTCATGGCTGGTCACCGTGAGGAGTCCATGTACAAGGAGCTCAAGCGTGTTATTCCCACCGCGGCTGCCTTTGGCGGTGCCTGCATTGGAGCTTTGTCTGTTGGTAGCGACCTCCTCGGCGCTCTTGGCAGTGGTACCGGTATTCTTCTTGCTGTCACCATCATCTACGGATACTTTGAGATTGCCGCCAAGGAAGGCGACATGTCCGGTCTCAAGGGTATGGTCATGGGCTAGATTGGCTCATAAGAGCCTCGTTCCTGTGGTTTTGAAACGGGCATGTGTTGGGGTTGAGTGCTTTGTCGCACGTTGTAACATACGATCTAAGAAATAAAAAAGTCTGCGAAGGAATTATAGCATCACTTTACGCATGAAATGTGGAACCTGGCCAGGCTACCACCGGTAAATCCTTGCGTAATGAATCATTGTTAACAGCAAGAATGCATTTGACCAAACCATTCAGGCAGTGATGATTTGCTTGGACGCCTTTTACGTATTTCCATGGCCGTTGCTACGGATCAATGTGAAAAAAAAAAATGCACAGTATTGGTCGATTAAGCGAATGCGAAATCTGGCGTCTTACCCCTACATGCGCTAGCATACCTGACACTTAGTACACGGACATATGGATCGTTTAAGCGAGTGCGAACGACTGTCTAGATAGACACATGACAACGGCGGCTTCGCAACCGGGCACAAAGCACGGTACTCTCATGTACGTTATGCTACCTTTTTGATAGGCTGGGCTAGCTTACCTGGCTTTCATGTGCATGAAACATGGGTATAGTGCGTACAAGCGAGTGCGAAAGGATGTATCTGCAGATACACAGGTACGTATGACGATTGTAGTATTCACAGACAAGGCAAGTATATAAAGTATGCCGTGAATTCGGAGCAATGTAGCAAAGAAAAAAAAACCTCCCTCATCTCCACTCATCACCCTTTTTCTCAATCTGGTTTTTTTTTTCTCTTTTCATCTAACTTTTCCACATCCCCAATCTAAAAAAAAAAACTACAATGATGCACTCCATCGCCCCCAGTAGCCCCCTCCTGCTCACCTGGAAACGCCAGAACCCGCCCAAATCCCCTGGCTTTGACTGGGAGATGTACCGCTACACGCCTTCTCTCGTAGGTGCTATAATCTGTATTGTTGTATTTGCAGCCATGGCCGCTCTACACGTACTTCGCTTTTTTCGGTCCAAGAACCGCATCATCATTTTCCTTGTCATTGGTGCTTTATGTACGTTTCCCGACTTTCCATTTCCCCTTACCTATATCTATTTATCTATCCATCCATCCATCTATTCTGTCGATATACATCAAATTCTTGACTAATTGCCTCTTTTTTTCTTGGGCGGTACGAATAGGCGAAGTAGGAGGCTACAGCGCACGTATTGCTTCGCACTTTGATAATCAAGCCTGGGGCCCGTTTATCACGCAGGGTGTGTTGCTGCTGGTGGGACCGCTGTGGTTTGCTGCGACGGTGTATATGATGCTTGGTCGTACGATAAGATTGGCGGGTGCGGAGGATGTTGCGAGTGTGGGGGCGAGGTGGTATACGAGGGTTTTCGTTACGGCGGATGTTACGACGTTGATTGTGCAGGGGTTAGGTGAGTGAATGTGTTTTCTTGTTTTTCTTTTTTCTCTTTCAGGAAGATATTTACGTGGGAGGGGGGGAATTAGGGAAACAGATGCTAATAGAGAGATTCACAGGTGCTAGCATCATGGGTACGATGCAACTTTCGCTCGCTATAGCGGGTGAGAAAATTGTTATTGCGGGGCTTGCGATGCAAGTTGCTACGTTTGTGGTTTTTCTCATTGCGGCAGGGGATTTTCACATGCGGATGAGAAGGCGTGTTGCGATAGCTTCTACGCCTGTGACTAACACGCCGTGGGAGAGGATGCTGTATATTCTTTACAGTGTCAGTGCACTCATTCTCTTGCGATGTGTGTTCAGGTTGATCGAGTATTCGATGGGGAATGCGGCATATCTCATTGCGCATGAGTGGACGCTATATTGCTTTGATGCGGTGCCGATGTTTTTGGTGCTTGTATCATTGCTAGTGTTTGAACCTTCATGGTATGTTACGCAGGATGGTGCTGAGAAGGTACAAACACAGACCGATTGCGAGGCTAGGGAGGTAAAGTAAACATGATCCCTTTTTTGCACTTTGGTTATTTCTACCTGTATCCCCGCTAGTATGTTGCCTCTGTTTATTTATAGGTCGAATACGGTTACACGCGAAAAAAGGATAGAATTCAAAATGGGAACCGTCGTCTTTGAAATATAATTAACCTTCAGCCACCATTACATTGGTGGTGCTCTGCAGAAAGTGACCCAACCGCACCCAGTCTGACATTTTGGATGACGTACATGACTACAAGGATAGATCATAGCGGCTGGGCGCCTTACACATCACGCGGCTCCAACCAGCCTCACACAGAAACATTAACTCTACCAAGCAATACTAACACAAATCTAATGGCGCGTCGAAGCCCCGGCTTTGTGACCAAGCAGCCACATTCCAAGTCGAGAGGTGGATGCTTAACGTGTAAAAGGAAGAAAATCAAGGTCCGACCAACGGCTCTCGTTAGAGACTGCGAATAACCCGATGTAGTGCGATGAGGCGCGGCCAAAATGTCGTTACTGCCAACAGAGAAAGTTCGATTGCGAATATGTTCAGAGGTTCTCATCGAAAACACCGGAGTCTTCATCCAGTCACGAGGCTTCACCACAACCCTTGAGCAACGAGGTTGATTTCTACATCTCTTCCTCTCAATCCCTCATTCCTCCATCCAACACATCGATAGGTACCTTTACCTCACTCGATCACTACCTACTGCAATACTATGAAACCCACGTCTGGCAACGCTTCGTAATGTGGGATGACCCGGTAATCAAGACCTTACACAAAGACGTTGTCCCAAAAATGGGCATCTCGCATACCTTCCTACTCTACTCGCTGCTGAGTATTGCAGCCACACAGAGCAATATCCAAAATCCAAGTAAACAAGTAGAGAAACAAGCCCTGGTATACAGACAAAAAACCTTCGAGTCCTACAAAACCGCACTCCAACGCATCACTCCGGATAACTACGAAGCCGTGCTCGCAACAGGAACGTTTTTGCTTTCCCTAGTCCTGCCATTGGCCTCTTACACAGACGAAGAGTACCTAGACTGGTTGTTCTCGCTACTGAAACTCAGTGAAGGCCTGCGCGTTCTAGCTTCTCTCCGCTGGGACCATGGTATAGAAAAGTTATCTGTGTATCCGCTCGTACGACGAGAGTCGCGTATACTGCCTCCACCACCTATCATTAACCCAGCTACTCATGTACCCACTGGCACCTTGGGCGCCACACCAATATCTCCTAATCCACCACCAACATATGCATCCTCTCACCTTGCAGGTCACAATGGTCTCTTCTTGCCGCCCCTCCTCACATCAGTCTTTGAAAACACCGTGTCTTTACAAGATGATTTTGGGTTATATGTCGCTACGCTTCTGCCGGCATTCCAAGCTCTATCTCCGATTTTTCTCTCGCTATACTACTACCACATCACCGAAGACTTTGGCATCCGCATATCCGTCTTCCCATCTTTCCTCACCTCAGAGTTCCTTCATCTCGTGCGGCAACGCGAGCCCCGCGCTCTGGTACTTGTAGCGTGGTGGTTTGCGCTTGCGGATTTGGTACCGCAGGGATGGTGGGTTGGTGAGACTGTGAGGAGGGTTGTTGCAGCTATCGGAAGGGAGGTTCAGCGTGGAGATGACGAGGTGGCTAAGATGACGGTATGTGGTGCGGAGAGGATTGTGCAAGTTTTTGAATCTGAGGGTGGCGAGGAGGCGGCAAAGAGTGTGTTTGACGGGTGGAGAGGGGTGAGGTGGGAAGTGGGACCAATGGATTTGGCGGCGTGGGAGACCGCACAGTTGGTGCATCTGGAGAGTCTTTTTCATGATATAACAGTGTAGGGGGTAACAGACAAGTAAGGAAATATACAGCTTTCGCATTAGTACTTGAGCAGAATTTACAACCATATCATCGTTAAGAATCAGTTTTGATAGGATAGTATCACCTTCCTTGTATTTAGTCCGGGTTAAATTCACACGACTAAAATTCAAATCACATCAGCTGAGGTTCCTTAACTGATACGCCATTAGGATTTACACCAAAGCCATTGCAATTTCCAGCATGAAATTCGTTTTGATAAGTGCATGTACACGTCCCAGTATACCCCTTAGAACAGACAGCACCATCTTGACACGTTATCAGCGATGCATTTATGAATGCTGGGAACAAAAGACCGAGCCTCACAAGCACATCGAGACGGAGAAAATGCATGTCTGGAGTAAATTGCGAGTAGTGAAGCTTCAAAAGTAACAAGAGGTGGATAGTTTTGAGAAACGGAGAGGAGAAAATGGCTTGAAATTTTGAAATGCGACACAGTACGCGTGAGTTTGACATGGAGAAATCAAGCATTTATAGCAAAGTATCAGAGCTATAAAAGGGAAGGTGAGTGAAGCGTAAGCCGATTAAGGAGCGAAGGTGAATACGATAAGCCTTATGCAGGATGACAGAATAGTGTCATCTGTTAATACCATATTACCTTTTTGAACCTAATTCTCATTGCTCTAAACTATAATCCATGGCTCATCTGTATTAGGCCCAGCGTGGAGGTAGGCATGACACTTATCGGCGAAACAAAATCCTCGTCAGATACTGTCAGTTTCGTCAGCTCAATCTATCAGCCAATCGGATCTACTTGGTAGGTAGTTGAAGTAGGGGCAGTGGGGCGGTGGCAAAATTCGGGATTATATAATCTATCTGGTTTCAATACATTATGTGCCCACCTTGAGCAGCAATCACAGCCTCGCATCGGCTTCCCATACTATTGTTACAGAGGTTTTGATCCATCCGAAGTCTGACTGAACAAAGCCCCCTATTTTCTCCACTGCCCCTACTTCCGCTATCAATAAAGCCAATTTTTGTCTTGCAGGGCCGATCACCCTATTACTAACAGATTAAACTCATCTCACCAACTACGGCGCTGCACAACTCGAAAACCAGTATGAAATAACTCGTATAGCCTGCCTCTAGCTTTTTCTTGTTGTCTATATTAAATTATTAGCTCTACAGCGTGCACAAAACGCCTGCAAAATTGGCTTTTCTTGTCTGTGCATATAGACTATAGTTAATCTCTACTACACATTTGCAATATCCGATCGCTCCGATTAAGATATAATGCCATAGACCGTGTTGTGAAACAAATGACATCACCAAGATTTCATGGATCTGGGTAAAAGCTTAATCCAACATGGATGGGGTAATTACATTTTTTGTAAATGTTCTGTCAGCTTATTGAGTAATTTGTGGGGAGGTATGTATTAGCCAGGTGAATTAGGTCTTCTAACCATTACCGGGATATCGGTGAATCATAGCAGAGCGAATGAATAAATCTGATTTTGTGAAGCTGTCGGTATGTTTGCTTTGGAAAATCAGTAGTAACCTAATAAGAAGTTAAAAAAAGGGTAACTTACTTGCTTACACGGCTTACTTCTCAAGTGTCTGTCGGCCGGATTATTCGCAATACATGTGGTGATTCCGAGATAGTTTGTCCGTCTTCTGTCGTGTTAGATAAACCTTTAGTTCTCTGTTGCTAGGTTTTGAGATTACTAGATTGTACGAGGTGTGCTTCTGGTTCATGATATGGTCTGGATTCTGTATTGTGAGCTCGAGGTGTAATAGAATCCCATAACAAGAACATGATGACAACCCTCAATTACTTTAGTACTCCCGAGAAAGTGCAAAGGAATTAACATGCCCACTTTCCAGAAAATAACGCCATTTAGTACGTGACGTGACAACCTGTATTAAACAAAACGCAGTCACTCAGTAATATTCCACGCACACATCCAACACTACATCGTGAAGCACCCCCCCCCCCCCTCCTCTTCAGGTTATTCTCATCCTAGTTCAACACACATCACATATACAAAAAAGCATAGATAACACGTACTCCATACATAATTGCAACCACTACAAAAGCAGCCATACCCGACCACAAAATACGAAATACCACGTCAACCCACCCAAAAAACACAGAAATGAGCATGCTAGTATGAGTGTTTTAACAAAAACATACGTAGTTCAAAAAAAAAAACACTACTTAAATTTACATGCATACTCCCCGACGTCTTTGCCACGTTCAAATCTAGCCTGCAAAAAAATAACTGTACACATTGCTCTCATATACGTGGCTGGGAAAACAGAAAAAACAAAGCACAGTTCTGAAACGAACTGGGATTACGCGATTAAGAGATATTGTAAAACAATAGCATATTTCGGTACCAGAGAGAGCGCGAGATCTAAGAAACAAACAAACAAACTCAAAAGTAAAAAAAAAAAAAAGCTACGAGAAAAGAAAAGGCATGGGAGGCGTGATGGTAGCACATTGACACACACACACATATATATATATATATAACAAAAGAGACTTGAAAGAAAAGCGAGAAGGGCAGAGAGAATAAAGCGAAGGGGTTTTATAATAGTATTTAGATATATTGAAAAGCATCCGAATATACCATTGTGACATGCCAAATCCGGTATACAGTAAACTTAGCTATAAAGCTAAAACCCCCCCAAGTCCTGCATCTCGGAAAACGCGAGAAGAAAAAAAAGGGCAAACAACGCCAGAAACTCCTCGTCCATGTTTCCACCTCCCGAGTTTTCTTCTTTTTTTGGTTGTTCAACAAAGTTGCTATTCGCGAATCGCCCAAAAAAAGGTCAACTTCTTCTTCTTCTAACCCCTCTTACATTCACATATGCAAATCCCCACGTACATTTTTTTACTTCCTCACAGTCTTACTAGCCTTAGCCACAACCTTGACAAGCTCAGCATACGCCTCGGCAAACTCGTCGTCGCCCTCTCCCGCCTTCTTGCCAAGCTTGTCCTTGCCAATCATGACGACGCTGGTAGGTCGCTTTGTAGCGCTAGCCTCGCCGAGCTGCGCGCGGCTCTTGATATAGATATAAGGCACGTTGTGGTCTTCGCAAAGGACAGGGATGTGCGCAATGACGTCCATGGGCGAGATGTCGGCGGCAATGACGACAATCGCGCTGGGGTCGCTGAGGGTGGAAGCAGCGCCTGCGGCGGCGGATTTGCGCAGCGCCTTGACGACTTCTTTGACACCGCGGCGGAGCGTCTTGGACTTGGCGGCTGTTTGAGGGTTAGTCGAAATGTGATTGTGTGTGAGCGCGTTTTTGAGAATGGGGAACCTACACTTCTTGACGGTCTTGAGAATCTTCTTGACTTCCTTGTCGTTGTCGGCTAGCGGGAACGCAAAGGGAACAAGGGCGCCGCGAGGCTCGTCGCCGGATGCGCCATCTACGACATTGACCATGGAGACCTCAGGCTCCTTCTCGAGTTCTGCCTCTAGCGCGTCGGTCATCTCGACGTCGTCCTTGATCTTCTTCTCCTTCTTGTCCTTCTTGCTCTTGGTTACGCCATCCTTCTCGGCGCGCTTTTCCTTCTTATCCTTCTTCTCCTTCTTGAGCTTCTTCTCCTCGATATCTTTCGACATTGTGACTGTATGCGACTGTGTTTGGAGGGCTAGAAAGCCAAGGTAGAGGGTTATATGAATATGGCGGACAATGCGTGGAACTGCAAGCAGACGGGCTGGTGTAGCTAGGCCTCGAAATTTTTGGAAAAGTTCAATTGGAGCTCTTCGCGCTAGTTATGCATGGTGGTCTGTGGGTAGCCATTATCGATTAGCGGCTTCACGCAACGTCGGATTGTGGTCGGCAACACTGAGATTCAAAGGGCCTCACAGGCTGCCTGTATGTAATTCCAATATGCTCATGCGAAAATGTGTTCATACAATAATATTTGAAATCATAATCTACCCACACTTCGGCATGGTCAATCTACTACTTCCATCCTGCCCTCGGCCACGTAAAGGCGCTTCATGAAATACTATGGTATATGCACATCGAACCCCAAAAGCTCCATGACGAATAGAAAAGACTGCAAAAAGATGATAGCAAACAAACGGTATTAGCAGAAATGCAGCAGAGGCAATACAGGCAGCAGGACCGAAACAGAGCGATAACGCGCCTGGGGCCAGCCTCCATTAGTCCAGAAATGCCGATGGGTATGAGCGAGGGAAAAATATTAAAAGGACGCCAAACAAGTAGAGCGCATGCTCAAGTGTGTAGCCATCTGGACGACTGCCCCTGTGCGCCGTATTACCCCAATCTTGAGAAAGTGAAAAGAGACAAGAAATAGAGTACTGATGCTCGGCACGCCCAAACTCCATGACATGCTCCCAGATGCAAGGAGGTGACTGTAGCAAGACAAAAAGAAGAATCCCAATGACAGATAAACAGAGAAATGGACAAAAAAATCAAAAAAACAGATCGTGAGTAGAGTGCTAGAGGTCGATCGCATGACCCTAGTAGGCCATCTGCATCTCGAGGACCTGGACACCGCCAGCCGCCATGGACGGTGTAGCGGATCCAGAGCGAGAAGACATGGCGTCCTCATAGCCGACAAGGGCTTGTGAGTGGAGCTTGAAGGCCTCGCCCATGAGCTTGGTGATGCTATGCAGAGTTAGTGACAAGTTTCGCAGAGCGATGAAGAGATCAACATACCCCCAGACAACAACTTCGTCAATCATACTACCCCAAAGTCGAGCGACAGTAGAGCTTAGTTTGGCGCCATAGACATCGACTGAATCATCATCGAACAAGTTGCGTAGCTTGTTATACATAGCTAGTTCTTCTTCTGTGGCTGGTTCTTCGTCGTGTTCCAAACGGTAGAGCCACAAGGTCAGAATGACCATCAGATCCATGCCAGTAAGAGGATGCTCGATGCTCCAGTTGGTGGCTGAAGTACGTGCAACCCAGCGGATTCCTTGCACAGCGGCAACTTCGATGCAGTCAAAGCACTCCTGGATGACCTTGATCATCTCGGGTGAGCGCTGGACCTTGTCACGAGCGTTGGTCATGGCAGCAGCGACTTCGTACGAGTCGTGATAACGGAGAGCCTCCTGAATAGACTTGAGGTCAACGACTAGTCGAGCGCGAGTGTTCCTATACAGTGCCATGGCATTGAAGATTAGAGGGTGGCCCTTGTGCGGGGCGCTCAGCTGAACGACAACCGTCTCGGGCTCGCACAGCTCAAGCGACTTCTCCCAGGTCTCAAGAGCTAGCCGGAGCTTGTACTCGGTGACTACGTCCTGAAGAGCTTCAGGGCTGCGCTTGTGATACCACACCTCGAGGAACAGAGCATTGATCATGACACGCGTGGCGAAGGCACTGTAGCGAGCAGTCTCGCCCTGGAAGAGATTGTCATGCGCCTGACGGAACGTGATAATCTTGGATGAGCTCAGGCTTTCACGCCAGGCATCGTCATCCGAAACTTCCATAGTCCAGAGGGATTCTGAGGAGGGCAGTTCCAGCGTGTCAAATTCATTGAAACCCATAGCAGGCGTGTGGTTATAGGTAAGAGTGAGCAGACCAAAGAAGATGTAGACTGCATAGTAAGTTCGGCGGCACTGCTCGTCAACGACCCATTCCTCGTGGTTTGGCTGAGCACCATCACGCGCGTCTGACCGAAGCTTGAGCTCGTATCGGTTTCCGGCAACCATGTTGGCCAAAAGACTCTTAATCGAACAGGCCCACTCGAGACCCTTTGGATCACCACTCCAGCTGGAGAAGATCATGTTGAGCAGTGTGCTCTGCATGGTCCACAGGGGGCATTTGCGCGAACTAAAGTTCTCCTTGTTCTGCAGAAACTGGTTTACGAGAACCTTTGATCCGATATGCAGCATATATGCCTGGTCCTGGTCGAATATGTACAAGGCACCTATCGACAGGACAGCAAGGAGCAGCGGGGCCGACACCTCTGTAGGGTTGAATGTGGCGGGGTGCAGAAAGGGGAGATGGTGGTGGAACAGATCAAAGTAAGTCTTCAGCAGGCGGTTGAGGGTGTTGAGGCTAGGAAGGTGGAATGTCTCAAGAAGCGCGTTTTCACTGTCATACTGCTTGATGTTCTCGTAGATCCTGGCACACTGCTCTTCCGAGTCCAATTGAGGGGCTCGGGTCATCATCAAAGCTTGGTTAGGGCCGGGCGACTTGCGGTAGTCGACTGGCGAGACAGGCCCCATCATCGAGGGATAGGGCGACAGAGCACCGGGGGTTCCGAGGCCGTTGCCCCCGTTCATGGCGGAGAAGGTGGGCGCGAGGCTGTCGTTTCCCGACATGGTGCGCTCCATCAGAGGGGGCAGCTGGTGAGGGTGGGAGCCGAGGGCGGCGGCCGAGGTGAAGGCCGAGTGGGTGTTGGGAGACGACTTGGGCTCAGACTGGGGGACCATTGAGTCTCTCCAGGGCATCTGGGGTAGCATGTTCTGGCCAGGGGCGGTGTAGGGGATGACGGGCTCCATCATGGGGGGCCCGGTGGGGGAGATGACGGGCTCGTTGTGCTCGGGAATCATCTCGGGCTCCTGGCTGGCCATGGCTTTGTGGTGGAAGTCGGTCATGAGCATGGCGGCGGCATTGAGGTCGTCGTCGTCGTGCATGGCCTCGGAGTCGTGCTGGATGCGCTCGAGGGTGGTGGCATTGTCGACGGGGGCGGGCTTCGAGGGCCCGGCATCGGCGGCCTTTGTGGTGCTGCGGCGCTTCTGCTCGCTGGGCAGCGGGGCGCCGCCGTCCTTTGCGTGGACGGTGCGGTCGTGGCGGAGGAGGAGGTCGCGGCGCACAAAGGTGCTGCGGCACTTGAGGCACTTGAAGGGGCGCTCTTTTGTGTCTGCGGTGAGGGGCAGTTAGCAACACAGTGTCAATCTTCCCCGCAGCGCGACCACGGCGCGAAGGTGTCCCGCCGCAGTAAACAGCTACCCCGCTCTAGCCAGGCAGAGCTCCCATGGCGACGCTGGGCAAGGGGAGGGCACTTACGGGATCGCTCATGACGGCTGCGATGTTCGCTGCGGCTGAAGGCGCGGTTGCAGAACTGGCACTTGTACTTCTTCTCCGGCGCGCCCGTCTTGCGGCCGGCGGGCGACGAGTTGGACGCCATCACGGCAATGCAGAGATGCAGCGGGCAACTGCAGCAGCTCGAGGCCGATGCGAGGGGATGATGGAACGGCCGGCGCGCGCGAGCGTTAAAGTGTGTTGATGGGCGAGGTGCAGTGGCTGTGCCCGTCGTTCATCCCGCGCGTTTGTATACACAACAAAAAAGGCGAGCACAGGACCCGAGTGGCCGGCGGCAGAGCGCGATGTACAGACGTCAGCGCCCCAGGGCTGCGTGCGCAATGATGAAGGCCGCGGGCTGCGTGAGGGTTGAGATGGATGCGAGCGGCGCGAGGGCGGAATAAGGAGACCAAGAGGGGCAGCAGCCAAAATCACAAGATGGGGGGGGAGAGGCACAACGCACAGTCCGCCAAATAGCAGGCTCACCAGCCCAGCCATCCCCTGTGATCTCCTCGCGGGACCGAATAATTACGTCCAGCATGACAGCGCTAGCGAATCCAACGCCAACTGTTGATGAAGTAGGTGTACAGCGGTCGCATCCCACGTTATATTTGCTTGTATCTATCGCCGCCCATTGACAGTGTGCCGTGCAGGGTTGCGCGCCCGTGGTTTGCTGCGGGCCACGCCTTTAGCATGAGCATGGCCGCCTGCACCGCGCCCCTCGAGTCTGTCTCCCACTGTTGTGCCACTCTCTCTCTCTCCATCACGCACATGCACACGCACACTCCCCTCCCCCTCGCACCCCTCTCGCGTTCTGCCGCCCTGCCGCGCCCTACAGCCCCTCCCTCGCCCAAGCCATGTCCTTGTAGGCATACCGCCCATCTGCAGTTGCGCCTGCACACCGGGTACTCCCTTAGTTGACGGGCTGGGCCCAATTGCAACATGGCAGGCGCATGTCCAATGATTTTGATCGCACGAGGCTCTTGCGGAGCGCGGTTTCGCCGTACCACGCGCTGGCAGCGGAGTCGCCCTCTGTATCCACCAGTTGTGGCTCGACATCTCAAAGAGGCGGTAAGAATGGCCAGGCGACTTTTGCCTCTTGAGTGAGTAGTCTGCTGGGGCGCCATTCCTCAGATGCAGGCCGAGCGCATGGAGCCTCACCGCCTCACTCTGCGTGCCTGTGTGCCTGCGCCATTCATGTTGGCACGAACCCCAACCCTACATGCTACATACACCCTACACCCACCCACATACACATGCACACCACACAGGCGGGAGCTGCCCCTCGCTGGCCGCAGTCGCTGGCCCATGATGACCTCACCCAGCCCGAAAAAAATAAAAATAAAAAAGGGGTGGTTGCAGCCCCTCGCTCGCGGAGCCAACAAGATGACGCCAGGAGCACCCTTCCAACTCGCACTATGAAATGCTGCTGTGTGGCTGCGAGTAATTTGGAGACGATCGTCGGCTGCCCTCACTCGTTCCTGGAACTCTATCCACACCTCCGGGCCATGGTCCCGTTCCCCGGACCCACATCCTCTTCCTAGCCCGGTCCACACATGCACCAGACGGCAGCAGCTCGTTGCTGTCGACCGCACTCAAAACAAGCCATTGCGCGACGATGGCATGCTTTTTTACGCCTGTCCCTCCAAATCCCAATGCCAACACGCCCGTGGCCGCCATGCCCTTGACCCGCGCCCGCCCCCCACCACCACCGCCGCCACTGTCCACCACAAATGCAAACACCCCTCTGCCTGCCTTCCCGGTCAGCAGCAGAGCACCTAAGTAGAAGAGTCGACTAACATGCCCCGCTTGCATCGGGGATGCGCGTATATCCTGGGCGACATAGCGTCGGTCGCGGTCTGGTAAACGGCCTTGTTCCCGCGCCAGCCCATTTTGCCTTCACCGTCAGTTCGTCGCACAGCGCCCTCGCGCCACATGCCTCGTGCTATCTCTCTCACAACCCCTCAGTGTCAGCGAGGGGCATGCATGGCTGCTGGGCGAAGCCCCCCTCCCTCGCCCCTCGCCCCTCCTCGCGCTAGAACGCTTCACGTAATGCTTTAGAAGCGCAACGCGGCTTCGTGGTCGAGGTTTCATGTGGCCGGGCATGGTCTGTTCGCGCAACACGGACGCCATAGAGCCGCTACCGATCCGCCTGCGTCGTGAGATAATTTCAACAAGGTCAAGGCAAACGACTATAATCATTTAGTGCCAGGGACCATGGCCGGCTCGGGGCATTGCCCGTGTCCATGTGCTCGCCATTGTCTCAAGAGCAAGCTGAAATGCTCGGTGGCTGCTGCCCTTTTTCCCTTTTACCGTTTGGTGACGAACAAATATTGTCATGACCTCTGGACACCGTCCGGAGACACCTCCACGTCCAGCGCCGCTCCCGTTGCTATGTGCTTACTCGTACTGACAACAAAGCTTTCCTTTGCGCTCGCTATATCCCGTCATCTCCCAACAATCTCCCAGCCACCCTGGGAGTGACAGCAGCATCATGGTCAATTGGGCGGGTGGCCGGCCCACACACCACTCCGGCCCAGTGTCGCAGAACCCAGAAGTCGAGGCTTCCGCTTCCACGCGACACATTAAGCAAATTCGAGAATGGTATCGGCCGCTAATTCCTCCATGATCACTCAGGGCTTCCATGGCGTCTTCGACGATGAGATGCGCGTGTCAGTCACCGCTCTCGCATCCATGTGGCTGGAGGCTCTTGCTTGACTTTGCAGCTTCCAGTGTTCCACATTCTCTACCTTTACCATCAGCCTCGACACTCGGCCTCGCCAGACTAGGTTGCACAGCTCGTCGAGTGTCGCTTGGCGGCTTGCGCAACTGCAAGTAACGTTCGGCGCAAGCAGAGTGTCAGGACGCCAAGGGTCAGAGGTCGGACGGACGACTGGATGGTCGCACAAGACCGATATCCGCCCGCAAAAGGCGACAGGTCCCTGCCGTTCTTGGGACAACGTTTCATAGCGCATAGAAGGAGAATTAGCCAACGAGTCAGCCAGTGTTCTAGATGAATTGATGAGTGTATGGAACACCTGAGGTCCTCCCCGCCCAGTCGCCAGGCTCCTCACTCGGCGTCTGCATACTTACATACATACATACATACATACATCCATAGTAGGTATTTATGTATGTACTACATATCGCATACCGCATACAGCATCCGTGGTGGGGTTTCGCACGGTTCATGATGCTGTTGGATCATTATTGGCCAGCCGTAGAGAGACCACTTTGATGCGCATGTGTACATAGTATGTACTTACATAGACATGCTTCAGGCTGGTGTGTTTAAACGGCCATCTGACAGGCAACAAATCTTACTACGCGACGTGTTGGACCGGCGGCTTTTGGATGATGGACATGCAGCCGGCTCAAGATGGCCAGCAGCGTAACCATCTATCTGGACAGACAAGTTGTGCGTATGCACAACATCGGCTGCCGGCGGGCTTCGCATGTAGACGTGCATGAATATTACAACATGTAGACAAGCAAAGCGGACTCTGCGAGGTCTTGGATTGAGGGATGAGCCCGGGGCTTGACACATTGTTAGCTTCTTTTATTATCCAGAAACCCAGCTCGCCACGTGACTTGTGGCAGCAGTGTCCCCACATTCGGGGGGCCTCCACCGCTCACAACGCCTGCCCAGCGACCCGCCCTGGTGTTGCAGTTTCTTTCGCTCCTGAGCTCTCTTCCTCTCGACGATAATCATACACAAGTGCCCGCTGCGAGACTCTATTCGCTGTGCAGTCCTGCGAGGCGCGAATGCAAGACTCCTCATTCGCATGCCGGTCCCGCCCCTAGCCCAATTGCATGCCCTCACCCACCCCCCGGCCATAACACGCGGGCTATCTGACCCTCGAAATCGACCGCGCTGTGAGAACGAGCGGCCCACCTTGCGACCTCTTCTGCTCTTGTCCCGGGCCGCAGTAGAGGGGCATCTTGCACCCGAGTGTGCAGACGTTGTTGTTGCTCCCCTATCCCGTCCCCCCTCGAGCTGGTCGCGCCTTCCAACATGAACGGCTTCAGCGGCACGACCGACGCTGGCGGCATGTACGTCAAGGCCCTATACGACTACCAGGCCGACGACCGTACCAGCTTAAGCTTCCGGACGGGCGACATAATACAGGTCATCACCCAGCTGGAGAGTGGGTGGTGGGACGGAGTCATCCATGGAGTGCGTGGCTGGTTTCCAAGCAACTACTGCGCCGTTGTGCAGCGGCCCAGCGAAGACATCGAGGAAGACCGAGACGGTGCCGACGCCGACGACGATACTCGTTCAGCCAGCGGCGCAGAGGGCGACTATTCTGACGATGGCTCCCTGAGCGGCGGCAACGACACCATCCTACCCATTGAGCGCAACACCGCACCCACCAACAACAAGGAGGAGGAGGCCGCCTTTTGGATCCCCCAAGCCACCCCAGATGGAAGGCTTTTTTACTTCAACACCCTGACCGGCGTAAGCACAATGGAGCTACCGCTCGAGTCACCCGCCACAAATGAGAGCGGCCCGCGCAACCGCACAGATGTCTTCATTCCAGAAATGTCGCGACCGCCCGCCGAGCTGCTGGCTTCGGGCTCTGGCTACAACATGGAAGACACAGACGACGAAACATCCGCATCCGACTTTGAAGGCCCAGGAACAAAGGGTTCCTACACCTCTCGCGTAAGTATCGAACCGCTTACCCCCCTCCCATTTGTGTGTGTAAGCCCCCTCTGACTTGGAACTACAGCACAGACAACGCTTGTCTGGTGGACTCTCATCAGCCACCTCCATGGAGTCAATGAATGGGGGTTACCACGGCAGGGCCTACGATCAAAGCAGCATGAGCTTTGCTGCCTCTGCTGCAATTCCTCCCGCTGGTACGACGGCCACGTCCTTTGCAAACAGCCCTGGCCTAGGAGGACCCAACGGTACCCTTCCACAGTCACGAAAGTTTTACGACGATGTCAGCCCAGTCCCTCTTACCTGGAACAGGATGGTCGAAGATATGCGACGTGCGGTTGAGCGATACAAACAGGCCATCAACAACAGCGACAGGTCAGAGTTTGTAAAGCGTGCTGAGGACATTTCAGATCACCTCCGGCTGCTACTTGCGGCTGGCTCGGGAACGACGGATAACCACTCTGGTAACCCTTCCATCATATCAACCAACAAGGCCCTATACCCTCACTTCAGAGAAACTATGTCGCGCTTTTCAAAGCTAGTCCTTTCTTCCCACATTGCTGCATCCGACTTTCCTCCCCCAGACTCTTACTCAAAGTGTCTGAAAGAAGCAGAGGGCGTGATGAATGGCGTATTTGGATTTGTGGAAGTAGCTCGTCAGCAGCGGGGCGAAGAGATACCCCGCCTTGTGCCTGGATTTGTGGTCGGCAGCACTGTTGGCGGCAGCTGGCAGAACAATGGTGCAGACTCCCGGGATGTTAATACCTCGATGTATTCTGACTCAGAAGACCACGAGCCCTCTTCTGTTGAGCCGACTCTCAAGCTAGATTCTCGTGTACTGGAAAGGCTGCACGACGTGAAGAGATTGATTGTTTCAAGCATCCGTCGCTTGGACGAGCACCTGGTCGTACGAGATACCATCATCTCACACCAGAAACACCAGGAGATTGGCGACCATATATGCAATGCGGCAAGCAAGGTGCTTGAAGCATGCCGACCCTGGATCTCAACCATTGAACAAATCAACCTCGCATCTCTGGACTTGGACTCTCAAGGATCGCAGCTCAGCGAATTCAGCATACAGAAACAGAAGACTTATGACATAGTCTCTGAACTTGTGATAGCATGTCAAGGAGTGGCAGCACCTTTGGGAGACGAATGGGCCGAACTCCGGGGAGACTCTCTAGAGGACCGAATCAACGCTGTGCGAGCCGTTGCCCGTGAACTTGAGTCGACTTGCGCCCAGGAGTATACCTTACTACAGAACCTGTCGGAAAACATACCCTTGGATGATATCATAAGCCGTTCAGATCCTCGGAGAAACACTGACAGCGAACTACCCAGTCACGCTCGCGTTCCATCTGGACCTGAGAGGCCACTGCTCGGTAACATGCCCAAAGCTGACACATACAGCGCAGGATCGTCCCTTGGAAACGACGATACGAAAGTTGAGCCGATCCGTTCTGCCAACAGCAATAAGAAGCTCAAGGATTTCTTTGGTGAAGTGCCAGTCATTCCACAGCAAGCAGTTGAAGAAACACCAGAATTCTTGAAGCTCGATCACGAGGGCGAGATTTCCTACGATCATAAAACCACCCCACCCCAGCTCAAGGGTGGCACTTTGGCAGGACTTGTTGAGCAGCTTACCCGCCACGACCGTTTGGACCCCGCCTTCAACAACACATTCCTACTTACCTACCGATCCTTTACCACGGCTTCCGAGCTTTTTGAGATGTTGGTCAAACGATGGAGTATTCAACCACCCCATGGTCTAGCAAAAGAAGACTACCAGCATTGGGTAGACAAGAAGCAGAAGCCAATCAGGTTTCGTGTTGTAAACATTCTTAAGAGTTGGTTTGATAACTACTGGATGGAGGGTAACGACGAAGAGGCACGGATCCTGATTCAGCGGGTATACAACTTCGCCAAAGACCATGTCGCAACTACCAGTACCCCTGGAGCAGCGCCATTGATGACTTCAGTGGAGCAAAGATCTCGTGGACCGGACATGCCAACCAAGCGGTTGGTTCTTACCCTGAGTGCCCAAACGCCACAACCTATTTTGCCCAAGCACATGAAGAAACTAAAGTTCCTCGACATTGATGCAACCGAATTCGCTCGCCAACTCACAATCATCGAGTCTAAGCTTTACGGCAAGATCCGCCCTACAGAGTGCTTGAATAAGACTTGGCAAAAGAAGCTTGCACCTGGCGAGCCCGATCCAGCCTCGAACGTCAAAGCGCTCATCCTTCATTCTAACCAGTTGACAAACTGGGTCGCACAGATGATCCTTACCCAACAAGATGTCAAGCGCAGAGTGATTGTGATTAAGCATTTTGTCAACGTAGCAGACGTGAGTCAACCTGATATACCGCTCTGCATTGCATGTGACTAATGAGATACAGAAATGCCGACAATTGAACAACTTTTCTACTCTCACTTCCATCATTTCAGCTCTGGGTACTGCGCCAATCCATCGCCTGAACAGAACCTGGAGTGCTGTCAACCAGCGCTCCATGGCAACGTTGGAAAGCATGCGCAAGCTTATGGGTAGCACCAAAAACTTTGCAGAATACAGAGACACTCTGCACAGGGCAAACCCACCTTGCATACCCTTCTTTGGTACACAATGACCTCTCCAAGAAACTATCACACGTACTAACATATACTCAAGGTGTATATCTCACCGACTTGACATTCATCGAAGACGGTATTCCCTCGCTGATCAAACGCACAAACCTCATCAACTTTGCGAAGCGTGCGAAGACGGCCGAAGTCATTCGCGATATCCAACAGTATCAGAATGTGCCTTATCCGCTGCAGCCAGTGCCTGAGTTGCAAGAATACATCCTCAGCAACATGCAATCTGCAGGTGACGTACATGAGATGTACGAGATGAGTCTGAGCGTCGAGCCAAGAGAACGCGAGGACGAAAAGATTGCAAGGTACGCAAACGGTTTTTTGTAGAGAGAAACCAGGAGCTAACGATGTTGTGTCTAGGCTGCTCTCTGAGAGTGGATTCTTGTGATGAAAAAAAAAGACTGAAAGAAAAAAAAACCAAAGAATGTGTCCACGACGATGATACCCCCCCTCACACTTTCCAACCCGCGGAAGAAACTCGCATTGGGAAAGTCTTGCTCGGATCTATGCGACTTTTGGCGGCGTTATCTAGGTGTACATTTTACCTTTATTTGGTCCTCTTTTTATCATTTCCCTTATTTCTTCCTTCTTCTTCTTCTTCTTCTTCTTTTTCTTCTTCTACTACTACTTCTTCTGGCTACGTAACCCTTTATTCTACCCTTTAACGAAGAAACGAAAAGAGTTTGGATGCGATTTGGGTTTTTTATTGATATTTGGATTTCAATCAGCCTATAGGGGTTTTATCCTTTTTTTTGCTTCTCTACCTGCTCCTTTTTGCTTTTTGGAATTGTATGTGACTTTGACTGCCGGTGTGCCGGGGAGCGGGGAGCGTGTGTGTGTGTGTGTGTGTGAGAGAGAGAGAGAGAGAGAGAGAGTAAAATGCGACTTTCTGATCTGTCGCCTTTGTCACGCCTTCGCTCTCTCCACTGTCATCGGCAGTCCTTTCTGGGTTTTTTTTATATTCGTTGTGGGGCGTCAACGGATAAGCTATGGTTTCTGTGGGCCATCTATGTTAAGTTGTTGCTACATCATGATAGGCGCTTCTTTTTTTCGCGAAAAAAGGATCTAATAAACGCGTTTCCTTTTTTTCTCTAATCATCTAACTTACTTGAGTATTTCACAAGTGCTGCATTGTGTGAATTGGATCTTGAAGGTATATATGCAACCGGGTCTTGATATTCTATGTGTGTGCGTGTGATGAACCGACAGCAGGTATCCGTCACACACTTCCCTATAAACTCCTCTCTACACAAAATACACTACTTATATCCTTCCATACACACACACATACCTGTCGCTTACTACTTCATTCTAAACAGCAACCCCTACACACACAGGTACAAAAGATGAAAAGGATTTAGTATCAATTCCCCAAGTTTACCGCATATATATCTATATACTTTTTACCTACCTACCTACCTACCTACTTTTACCGCCCCTTACCTAAGTTACATATCTGCTTAGACACCCCCCCTTTCCCCCCTCCTCGCGCACACGCATTTTCCAAACGGATATAAAAAAAACCCTCCTTGGCTTTCGTTTCTGAACAGAAGAAGCGTTCGTCCGCCCAGTCCCATCCGCTCTGCCTTGTTCAACTCGTGTTCTCGATTTATTTTGGAAAAAAAAGAGTCCGGCCGTTCGTATGCCGGGGCCGTGCTTGGCGCGTATGGGGATAAATCCGGGAAGGAGGGAGGAGTAAAGGTAAGTAAGGTGAGTGGTTTTGTGGGAGGCTTGGGGGGAGGGCTTGGGCTGTATGGGGATACGAGGGGGGAAGGGGGGGAGGTGTGCGGGAACGGGAAGAGGACGGGAAGTTATGGTGCTGATGCTGATGCTGATGCTTGTGTTGTTTGTTGTGCTGTTGGGAACTGGGGGGATTGTTTATGCAAGTCACGGGATAGCAAGGACCGGAATGGAAAAGGGAAAAATTAGATGGGAAGCGGCAATGCACTTTGGGTAAATGGACATGACAATCACAGAGAGGGGGGAGTTAGTTTTGTATACGAAGGGGCTAGAGTGAAAAGGTTGCGCTTGCTATCGTGTCGTGTTGTATCGATAGCATCTTAGTATGTAGGATTCTTGGTGGATAGCGGCAAGCAAATTTGTGCCGAGATGCTTCTGGATCCTTTGAAGAGTCGATGCATCCATCTCTCGTCTTGGCAAACAGGACAGAGAGTGAATCCGTGCACAAGAGAGTGGGGAAGTTGTCAGACAGGGTAAGAAGAAGGACGGCGAGGCTCCACGTCGAGTGATTGTTTTGGCGATGTCGAGGACAATTGAAATTAGGATTGGCCCTGCGTATTTGAGTCAGTCCATTAGCAGCCACGTGGAGTAGCCATGTCGGGTAAGGGCTCCACAGAGATTGGCGTTCGGCTCCGCATAGTTGCAGAGTAGTTAAGCTGATAGGCACGAGACGGTAATTCAGTCACCAGGGGATAAGGTTGTGTCAATCATTGGACGGTGCTGGAATGGTGACATTTGCTGTAGACAATCAGAGCGCTACCAACAGCTTAAAAATAGGCCGGTCATTTCGAACTCTAATCGAGATGGGGAGTACGTATGTGTGCCGATAGCCGTGCGTGGACCTGCCTCACTTGCACAGTTGGTGTAAGCAGATGCTGATTGGTGCAGCGGACGATTGCCAAACAGTGCAGGAGAAATGACAAGGTGACTGGGTCTGTGCAAGAACCACAAAAGCCGTTAGATAATAAAGAATACCCCAGCTTTTTTCTCTTGACCTTTTCCAAGAGTCCAAGCTGGGGTCACATGGGCATGGGCATGGGCATGGGCAGGGGCGGTAGTATGTGCGCGTGGTGCCGGCAACTATGACATAATAACGTCCATGTTCAGGCCAATGGCGGTGCTGGGCGGGTTGAAATGGGATGCAACCCAGTGTGTGGGATACGAGGCTGGTGCTATTGCTGTTGCTGTGGCCGAGACCAAATAGGGGGGGCGGTTAGCTGCAAACAGCGGTTCCAAGTCGTAGACGGAGGCTTACGTGCATGGCAAAAGCAGAGGTGGTATGTGTGACTGGGCTTCTTTGCCGCTTCTTTGCCGCGTCTCTCTTTCTCTCCACACGAGACAGGCTGTGATGGGGTCGGGCAAGGAAAAAACGCGCACCAGGGCCCCTGTGTGCTGCGCCCGTGGGCAATTTCGCGCACAAGGGGGGAGGGCGTGTGGTGTGGTGTGGGAGTCGACAGGCCCAGGGAACGGCAGGGGCTTGTCGACGGGCTGGTGATTCGCTCGCTTTGGGGTGAAGGATGGCGTCTGGGACAGCCAGAGGCGGGAAGGATTCGAGTGGGTGCATGCACATGGCCATGCACATGTCGCCCAAGCCATGGCGATGGAGGCATGCGTAGTATGGCAGCCCCCTACTGCGCCTGCTAGCAGTCGGCCTGCCATGGGTGCCAGTAGTCGAGTGCAGAGCGACAGCAGCACGCGACAGCACCATGCCCCAGGCCCGCAGGCCGATTGGAGGCTGCCACGGCCGGTTCCCCACTGCGCGTCCTGGGCCGAGTGTCTTGTTCATTTATCATCTCGGTCCCATTCACGGGCGATCCCTGGGAGCGACACCAGCCGACGGTGCCCAGGCCGGCTGGAGTCGTGTTCTGCATTTGGTGCTTTCTGCTTTGGGCATGCACGCCCGTACTGCTATGTACGGCCAAACCCAGCAGTTCATCGCCAGCCCTCTCCTCCCCTGCTCTGCCCAGCCCAGCCCAGCCCAGCCCTACCACTCTTCCCACGCCCTCACGCTCTTTTTACTTTTGTTCCCGCCAACACCACCTTGCACACCGACCCACGTTCGTTACTCTCCCTCGTTTCTTCTTCTGCTCTGTTTAAGAGCCTTCCCCAACCGGCCGACTATCCGCTCGAATATAATTTCTCTGCCGCCGCCATGCTCCTACACACCTCGTGGGGCGCCTTGCCCGCCCTGCTAATCCTCGCCCTCTCTCGCTTCTGTAAGTCTGCCTCCCGTCTGCACGCCACTATGCCCTTTGGCGCCCGCGAGCGCTAACCACGCCTGTGTGTCCAGCAAATGCCGCCTGCGAGTGCGGATACTCGGTCAACTCGACCAGCGACTCTTCTTATGCAGTCTTCACCGAGCTGCTGGAAAACGACTTTCTCCACACAAAGACGGACGATTTCTCCACGGTGGGATGGAGACCGCAGCAGTACAACATGACCGCCCAGGCCGCCAGAGGCCCCTTTGGCAAGGCCATGGAAGTCGCCAATGTTGTCTCCAACCCTCTCAAAGACGACAACGCATGGGCGGGTGATGCCGAGCACGGCGGAGATGCCGGACTCGAGCTCTGGGTTCGCGGCAACCACGCAGACGGCTACGTGAGCAGTGCCGAGATTGTCAGCATGCGCAACGACTCGCTACTCGGAACTTTTCGTGTGGGCATGAAGTTGTCCAACTCGTCTGGAACTTGCGGCGCATTCTTCTTTGTACGCCACCATGACGCGCCCCTCGCAAACAATGTCCCCTGGCTAATCGTTCGCAGTACCACAACAACTCGCAAGAAATCGACATGGAATTCCTCTCGCATCAGTTCAATGCATCTCAAGGCGCTGTAAACCTGGTTCTCCAAAGCCCTCAATCCGTCTCCAACGGTTTCGCTGCCCAGGGAACAAACGGCTTCGTAGTCAAGCACCTTCCATTCCGCCCAGACGAACAGTTTCACGAGTACCGCTTTGACTGGACCGCTGGCAGTGTCGAGTTTTTTGTTGATGGCCAACTCCTCGACCGAATGACCGACAATGTTCCCCAGGAAGGCGGCAGCATCTTTTTCAACCACTGGAGCAATGGCGACCCCTCATGGTCTGCTGGACCACCCGACCGAGACACTGTCATGACAATCTCCTACCAAAAGGCCTACTTCAACTCTACTGATACCCAGCGATCGCAAACCGACTACAAGAAGCGCTGTCCTACATTCGACCCGGCCAAGGTCTGTGCCATTCCCAACCAAATGACCGCACCGGACCCAAGTCAAGGCGCCGACGCGGCCAAGACGTACTTCTTCTCGACAGACCCCAAGGGCGACATGACACCTGACCAAACAACATACAAGAACGCAGCGACCAGCATATTCGGCGCTCCTCTATTATCAGTCGTCATTCCATCAATCATCTCCCTCCTTAGCTTAGCCATGGCATGGTAGTCGCCCGAGACCCGTTATAAACTTTGCAACCAAAAAAAAAGTCCGCTTTTCTCGCTTTTCTTTCCATCCATCGCAAAGACAGTCGTTTTGTCCCGCGAGCTTGTCATGGACTCGGGACTCGGTTTATGAGTATACGATCACCTTCCCCAGACATTTACGGCGTTTTATCATAATTCCGGCTATTCCAGCTTGAGGCACATACATCTTTAACTCAGTCGCGACGATACGCAAATTCCGATTGCTCTATTTACTTTACTCCTTCTCCAACATATTTACAGCTTGGCACGGCCTTGGATGTGCTTCTTTGCACGCTTTCTTTTCTCTTGTATATACCCTTGTTCTTCGCAATCAGGCCTCTGCAGTCAGCTCCAAGCTTGCTCTGTTTTGTCTAGCACCGCCAAAGCAGTTTGGATTACTATCCTTGTCGTCCTGCTTGGAATGATACCGCGTTGCTCCCGTTCTCAATCGGAAGCCACTCTGTATGGTCGGCCCAGACATACCACCGGCGCTTCCGGAGCATGAATCTCGGCCTCGTATTGTCTTTAGTCTTTGCTACTATCTTGTGTTGGACTGGAGTCCCCATCCGAATCGGCATTAGAAGATACCAGCTTAGTCTCTTGCGCACAAATCAAACATACCACCAATTACCATTGTCACTTCCATTCCTCGTGTCGCTTCAACGCCACTGCCAAAATCAATATTTTTGAACAGTCTCTTTTGTTTTTGCGTGCGCGGCACACCACTACCTGGGCTTAGTCCCTTCGTTCTCGTGTGTACCTTACATACACGAGGAGACTAGTTTCAGCCGTACAGTCGGAAGCACGCAAGCTACTTGGCCTGGTGAGACTGAGGCTCAAATACGCGGCAGCGAAGACACTCTTTCGGGCCTTAACGTATGGGAGGGGGTGACAGATCAGCCCATCCGTTAACTTTTACTGCTTTAGGCCCGTCAGCACACAACAACAAAATAGAACTGATGATGCGCCGACAAAGAGAGCGCAATGTCGCCTATTTTTTGCAGGCACGGCCCCTGGAGTATTACGCCTAGAGAGCCCGGCACATGACGGAACCCGGGCGTGGCTGACGCTAGTTCGAAAGTAAAGCGCACAGATGTCGGCCTGGCTGACTTGACAGGACGGGACAGCCTGGCTTGCGCCTTGAGCCCAGGGCACACCCGCATTCGTCTGTCTAAAAAAAAAGAGAGTCCCATTTGAAAGGACTAGCTCCGTAAAAAAGCTTTGTATTTTATTATATTTTGGTTATGATGCCGCAACCAGTAAATAGCTGAGGCAAGAGACATGTACGTAATATATCTGCAACATAATGTGGGATTTTCCTGTAGTACTACTATCTTCCCAAGTATCTATCTTATCCCGCGGAAATCTTTCCGCATCGCCACTTTGACCCAAAACAATATGCTTCCTAGCTCGTATTAAAATCCCGAGTTTATATATATACATATAAGGTAAAGCCGCACACGCACACACGCACACACGGGAAGCGCGGATAGGGACACACGGGCGGGTGGGTGGATGTTTTGCGTCGGGGGCCCATAATGCCCATTTACAAATATTCCTTTCCGACTAGTAGTACAATGTTTCTATTTTTTGTTTCTCTCTCTCTCTCTCTCTCTCTCTCTCTCTCTATCTCGCCTGTACTTACCGAGGAAAGAGAGAGGGCCGTGGGGGGGGGGGGGATGTGAACAAAACTAGGGTTTTTTTTGGCGAAGCAGGACGGGTGTTTGTTTGTTTGTGCAACCACCAACGTACATATATGGCTCTTTTTTGGGTTTTTTTTGTTCCTTTTCTTTGCGGTGTTGCAACGGAGATAAGCCGAATGGCATTGTTTTTCTTCTTCCTTTTTTTGCGCTCTTGTTGCTTTGTTGTTGCTTTCTCTTGGTCTCCTGGAAAGGACGGATGGAAGTAGCGGCGGCGGCGCGCCTGGGGGAGGGGTTCGCGTTTACATAACAGAACTTATTTACGTTTTTTTTGGCTCTCTTGCCTTTCTCGCTCTCTTTTTGCGCTATTTGAAGGCTGAGCGGACGACTTGTACCATTGCCACTTTGGAGCCATGCCAAATTGTGAGCTTTAGGTCCGAGTTCACAGCATGGCTTCTAGAATGCGTCGGTGCGAAATGCACAAACTTTGTTGCCCCCTTTCTTGAACAGAAATAGAAAGAGGGTCTGGCTCAGTTTTTGTTCTATTTCTTTTTTTGCTTTTTCTCCCTCGGCGCCGGCTCAACGCGCCCAGTTGCCGAATTCGGGGCGCGCTAAGCTTTTGCCAAGCTGTACACTTGACTTATCCGGGAGTGACAGAGTGGAGAAGAAAATGCTTAATTTTCGGCGCTTGACATTGAGGTCAGGGTGCTGTTGTTCTGGTCTGGGCTTGTTATTTCTAGCTACAATACACGTGCATACACCAATTATGAGAAGATTGAAAGCTACAGGTCGTTAGATAAAAAAATTCCACGTCCACGGGGTATACGTGGGCATATGCTAAGGAAGGAAGAATAGTTGTCTGGCTTCGCAGTCGAGTAAAGGGCTAGGATGGGGAAATAGGGTTGCCATCTCTATAAATCACTGACATCACTCCAATACTGTATCTCCCCATCTCAACTTATGGAGCATAGTTGCGGTAGAGACCATATTGGTATAACATCATCTCATGTTCTCTTCCATGCCGAGCCATCCTAAGGCTGGGACCTCGTCGGATGACAAAGTGCAGAACAACCACATGATGCAATCAGTTACTAAGGGATGTGGTTTACAGAGTACGTGAAGAGATTCAGGATATCACACTCGATACTGGCCCTCGACTGCCGTGGCATGCACCGTCGCTTGCCACTGATAATTTACAGCACTGTCACTTCCGTTTACCAGGCTTTGTCATCAATACCAACACTGTACACAATCTTTTCCAACCCCTTGAATCTCTACAGTCTCACATTCACTTCACTTCGGTTGTCGCACACTCACTTACGTTTTGGCTTTGGCTTTTTTGGCTCACTCACTTTCTTATCTCGTCTCTCGTTGCACCTCGTCTTTCTTTTCTACGATTTGTGTTACTCCAATCACGGGTGTGGCGTTTCACAAGGCTGGCCAGTAGAAACTGACTAGAATCTGGTCTCTCCGGATTTCTTATCAGAATCTCCCGCCTCATCGATGGGTCTTCAGTAACAGCTTTCTCCTGCAACGACACTTTTGTTGAGGCCGGGACTCCGCTCAGTTCTTAAGCCTCAACACACGGCACCACCCAAAATCACCACGGATAGCACTTTCAGCTACTTTGCACGCTCCATATTGGACAAGATGCAAGGCTGTATCATCTCAATGCTTCTGCTGCTGGCTTCGATTGCATGCACGCTCCTTCCGGTGTCTGGGTACCTGCGAGATGGGGAGACTACACTCATGGCAGGAGCGAGTCCGGCATCTATCCTCGCTACAGCAATGACTCCAACATCAAAACTGTACAACTCTGGGTAGCTCCGTACTCATAAACTAACCCTTGAACCCTGCTCATATAGTATAGGATCCATCAAGTACCTGCCGTCGGTCCAACAGAGAATCCGCCTATCCAGGAACTAGTAGTTGCTTTTCCCACACTTTCAATTACAAGTACTACAACAGTCGAACCAACTATCCTAGCGCCAGTCACCACACCAACAAGCAATTCTCTCGAGGATGCATTTGTAGCCCGGGTGGAGCCTGCTGCTATAGTGCCTCCGCCCCCGATTGTCAATCCTGCAGTTAATCCCGTTCCGCCCGTACCCGCGCCCACGCCTACTTCTTCGGGTTCATCTATGACAACGAGTACCAGTGCTTCACATGCAATGACGTCGTTTAGCAATGTGCCCTTCGTCACTGTGCAGTGGGTTGAGACATTCATTGGCGGCACCTATTCGACCTGGTGGCCCCACACTATCTCTATTGACTTCAAGCCGCAAAGATCCGCAGCACCAGCTCCGGGTAGAGGAGAGATTGGTATGGGGACCTTGACAGGCAAGACTGGTCAGACTCAGACAGTCGTAGAGGTGGTCGCTGCTGCTGCTACGCAAGACTCGGGCTGGACCAAGGGCATCGCTGCTATGGCCGGTGTCGGTATTATGGGCATTTTATGAGCTGCAGGGTTGGAATCGAATTAGAATTATGGGTCTGGTTATGCGGTGGATGGTATGGAAGATCGAAGCCTATTTCGCCAAATATCCGTTGGGACACGTTAATACGGCGAATTACAGAATGTAACGACTTATGAGAGATGCTCACCGCATAACAGAGATATCGGGAGGTAACAGGGAGTGACAAGGATTGGAGTAGTTGCAACGTTGAACAAGTTACTCAAGTCCGAGTAAAATGCGAGAATCATGCTTGTTGTTGGGGCACTGCACCGTGCGTACCAAGGTAGTTGATCACCGTCAGCTGCGGATCACACCACCATACCAGACATTTCGTAACCACGAAGTGAGTTGTATTCAACAACCACAATTTCATTCTGGGTGAGCTTGCTATTGACGAAAAGAAGCAAGCACTCAACTATGAGCCCGAGAAGGGAAGTTGGGGCGAACGACGAGTGACCCCGCATGTCGATCAAGCGCTGGCTACTTACCACTACGTATCGAGACTGGCAGTTCAAACGAGCAGCGTTGTCACACGTCAAAGAATAACTTTGAAATAACCAGCATGCTCCAAAAAGAAGTTATGACGCATCATGCTGCGCTGGCCGTGAAGTGAAGACAGCGCATGTAGCAAGGGGCGGTGGAGTGACCGCTCAGCTCAGCCTTGGTGGCGCGACCTTCACGCATCCTGGCGGGCGATCCGTTCCGCCCCGACGTTCTTATCGCTGGCGCGGATGATTTCGTGGTGAGACCAAAGGTCGGTGAGTCGCGTTCACCTGCCCAACAACGTGATTGCGGCTCTAGCTTTTTCCAGAGCCTTTACTTATAAGGCAGGTAGGGCTGGTGGTGGTTTAATTTAACTCATCAGCAACCATAGTACCACATTACAGTCAGACACACGAGTAGCTATCTGCCTGCCTACACATCTGATAGGAAAGGGCATCACTCGATTTACCACCACCACGATTACGACTTGAGACGAAAGATTCCAAGAGAACAATTCAACAACTGAATTGAGAGAAGAGCAACAGTCTCAAAAAAACCAAAAACAAGAGGAGGCACTGAACGACAACATGTCAATGGCATATTACTTTGCCGCGCACTTTAACGTGCTCAACACCCACATGAGCGATAACGCCATTTCAACCACCACGCCTGCCCTGCACATATCACCAGCAGGAGAACAAATACACCACCCTACGATACCCTCCAAGCGGCTCCCCACAGCCTCCCAAATACAATCCATCTTCTTCCTCCTCCCCGCCGAACTCCGCAACCAAATCTACGACTATCTCCTCTGCGCCAACACACCCAACTCGAACGCCCTAGTTGAGTACTCGCAACAGCGCAGCCATGCCCCGCAGCCTATCTACCCAGCCATCCTCGCCACCTGCAAGCGCATCCACCAAGAAGCCCAGGACCTCCTCTACTCAACCCACATCTTCCAAGCCCACCCTTCCCTCCTAACATCCCTCCCGCACCTCGTCTCGCCGTGGAAACCCCTCCTCGACGCCTCTACAATCGCGAAGATACGCCGCTGGTACTTATCCGTGCGCCTGGATACCGATCCACGGTTTACAGAGAAGCAAGCTACGGCTGCGTTTAGCGGCGCAGAGTATCTGGAGATTCATGCGTGGCAGAGCATGTTTGATGGGTGTGATGATGGTGTTTTACGGCTTTTTGCGGGAATAAGGGGGGTGAGGGTTGCGAGGGTGACGGGGTGTGCGAAGGGCGAGTTTGCGGCGTGGTTGGAGGGGCAGATGATGAGGCCGATTGAGGAGGAGAAGGTGGTGGAGGAGAGGTGTAGTTGTACGAAGGGGGTGTGTGGGAAGTGTGGGGAGAGGATGGAGTGTGAGGAGAAGGTTGTGCCGTGGATTGGGCAAGAGAGGGATGTTTGGACTTTTGGGAATAGATGAATGGGGGTTTTACGCACTGGAGGTTTCTTTGGTATATGAGAATTAGGCCTGATGCCTATGGGTATTTCTTTTTTTGGAACAACTAAGGATAGAATAGAACCTCCCTGTCGCCTTTGTGCGATGTTTACAAATATTATATCTTACAATTCCGACCACACACACTGATCTTTCGAGTGACCAAAACTCGAATCTCTCGATCCCATAACTTACTTCAACTCCTCCCTTTCCTCCTCCTTCTCCACCTCATCAATTTTCCTGCAAGGAAACGCACACTCAACCTTCCGTTCCTATCATCGTATTAGCCACACTAACATCCCCAAAACCCATTATGAAAGAGAAAAAAAATACTTACCCTATTAACCAACCCACCCTCCACCCACTCCCTCACTCTACACCCCGCCTCCCCTCCCTCCTCAACCTCTTCTTCCTCACCCCCAACCTCCCACTTCGAGCTCGCCATCTCAAACCCCAACTCATCCTCACCATCCCGCGCACTAATCGTCAACGCATCACCACCCAACAACCCCTTAACAGCATACTTCTGCGTCGCCGACAGCCTTGTGTACGAATTACGTTCCTGCGGCGGTCGTGTGGCTCCAATATCGATGACGATGTTGTTTGCGTGGTCCGTGAGGGAGGAGAGGTAGATGTAATTTTGGCGGGGATTGGAGGAGATTTGTTTGTGGTAGAGGGTGAAGGTGCATTTTTCTTGGGTTGATGGGGCGGTGCGAGGGAGGATGTAGGGGTGTGGTGGTTGAGGTGGCAAGAGGTGGGCGGTTGTGAGTGTGGTGAGGAAGATAGAGAGGAGAGTAGTAGTATGCATGGTGATGATGATAATGTGTATGTTTGTCGATTCGCGCGATTAAAGTGGGATTCTTTTTATTGGTATGGAAGGGTGAAAGATAGAAAGGATTCTTTAGTAAGAGGATGGAACAAATAAAGATTGAGTTTGGAGTAAGGTGTGAATGTGACTCCAGCGACAGTGATGTAGTGTACTTGGTAGTAAAAGCAAGTAGCAAGGTACCTTTCTCTCTTTCGCTCCTTCAGAACCCATCTTAACCATTTCAACCCCCAACTGCGCCGCTTCCTTTTGCGCCCCTAACCCCAGCAACAGGATTGATCATCCCATAAAGACGCTATTCCTATCACTCGGATCACTTCCTTTACTCACCCGATGCGGTTGTGCGGCGGTTGCAACATGCGGGGTTGCGGCGCGGGTATCGGGTAAAATACATGCGGGCGCTAAATAAACGGGTCTGCCTTGTCCGCTCTGTGCAATGAAAAGGGTCGCAGAGCCGCAGGTAACGATATCAAGTGGGGAGGGTTTCCCATATTCGCATAGGATTCAAAAAATTTGGACAAGTGCGGCGCGGGTTTGGGTGGGACTTGAAGGAAGATGAGTGTCTTGGGGGTTGCTGGAATGGCGAAATGAAAGATCTTGAAAAGAGGCTTAGAGGCATGGCTTAGATGCTAGGCAAGGCAGATTGCTTTGTGAATTAATATAGCTGGGTGCATAAGAAGTTTGTGGTGTTTATGTTCAAGGTAGAAGAGGTTGCTTGTTCTACGTGAAGTCGAGTTGTGCGTACATGGCAGTTGCTTGTTCTCACCATCCTCTAGAATTAGAAGGCCAGTAACGACCTAAGAGCTACTGGTTCATTTTTACAATACATGGAGCTAGTGTATCATGCATAATTCATGCATTTGCAATTAATGAAGGCAGGGTGTGAACTAAAGGCACAAGACAGAGTCCAGAAGTATCGCCAACACCACAAGTACTACCAAATGCGATTTCAAAAAATCGACACCTGCAAATCAACGTTTTCAATGTAAAATTATTGCTGCTGGTAAGATTTGCATCATGGTCGCGCTGTACCTAGATGTGCGCCAGGGACAAAGCGAGCAATCTCAGAATCCCAGTTTGGGAGGGGCCGAGCGTCGTAAAGTCTGACGTCTATCGCACAACTGCGACCAGCAATTCGCACCCCCAAACCCTTGCCGCCGCTATGCCGCGCCCATGCCAGAGACGGCGCGCCACTGCAGCTGAGAATCGCAAGTCCAAATCCACAAAGCCACAAGGACCTCCCCCAATCCGGCACAAGGCGCGCCAAAAAGCCATACACAACGCGAGGAAAGCAGAGCGCGGAGGAGCACGCGGAGGAAGGGGACGAGGGCGCGGCGGCCAACAACACAATGGCGGCGGCCGATTTGCACACGGCAGAAAGAACAATGGGAGCCAAGAAGAGCAAGACTTTATACCCCTGAGCGGCGGCGGCAACAATTTTGAAGCGCTGTACCGGGCAAGGCCAGACTATGACATGGACAGCCTGGACGAAAGACATACCCAACCGAGCGACAGCTACAGCGAGGACGATGACTTGACAGACTCGGATATACTCGATGACGACGAGGACCTGGAGGATACTCAAGACATATCCATCAACATCGAGGAATCGTTGCCCACACCTGGCAGAAGAAAAATCCCCAGACCTACAGTTATGTTCACAGTACCTGCTGCGGTCGCTGTCTACAAGAAAATGTACTTGTCTCAGTTCCCGCTCAGTGTATTGACGTTCCGTACCCATTATGGCCTCTTTCACGAAGACACTACCCCAGACTCTGGTGCATACATATCCCTTGCATCATCCACAGCCTCTCGTCCGCCGACAGTGAGCAGCGCCACGAGCGAGGAGCCTGCTGTTGTAGATGAAGTTATAAGAATCGATCCCGAGGCAAATAACTCTGCACGTGATTATGTCTTCAACTGGGGGGTGAATAGCGGCAAGCGATTTACCGAGGTCGACGACAAGTATCTGCGTACTATTGGGGGTCAGCTATATAGATATACAGACATGCATCCTGGCTTGCGAGAGGCTTTTGAATATCACAGGCCGGGTCAAGCACGTCTCTCGCCGCCAAAACCTAAATCTCGGCCCCGAAAAGGAGGGTCAAAGGCGCAAAAAGCTGCACAGCAAGCTCCCCAACAGCCTTCCGCACATGTTCCATCGCAGCCAGAGGCGTCCAAGTTTCAAAAGGGGAAGCAAAAAGGCAAAAGAAAGCGGCCCTGAACAATGTCAACATGATAGCCCAGCCGTGTACTAGCGGTCACTACCGCAGGTGCCTTCCACTCGAGCGTTTGCAGGTGGCTCAACCAGCACATTCACCCTTCACCACTCATCGCCCACAGTGAATAACTTGAATATTTCTCTTATCCCGCCTTATTTACTTGACAACAACCAATCCTCAACGGCGCAGTACCCATCGTCCTCTACAAGTTCCACAGTGTCGCTATACCTCAACCCTCGTCCAGTCAAACAATCACTCAATCATGAGCTCTGGTCCTTCTGGCTCTGTCCCTCGAAAGGGAAAGAAGCGGTCTCGCTCAGAAGGTAGCAAGCTGACGACACAACCGCAGCCGCAACCATCATCCCAAAAGGCCCCCGCGCAGCCCAAGGACCTTACCATGACGACGGATGAAGAAACGTCCCCCACGATGACCGTGTCAACGGGCAGCCGAGCAACCAGTACCGAACCCACCCCCACTCCCATCAAATTCTCCCTGAGATCGGTGTATCGGATGATTGACTTGACACTAGAGTCCGACGAAGACAAGGACGTCATTGGCAGCATGCATGAAAAGTCCAACCCGGACCTCAAGGGCAAGAAGAAAGAGGTAGTACTCAAGAAGAAGTCTGAAAAGGAAATCAAGCGCGCAGCCCAGCTGGACCACATAGCCGTCATGTTCACCCCCGCCCAGGCCATTGCCGCGCTCGCAAACCCAAAGCCCCTTGATATCACGTACGATATGAAGACTGGGGAGCGCTTCACGTTTCCCGTTAAGAGGTCGTACCATTTGGGTGCTATGGGTCGCTATATGCCCCCTGCTGCTGACGACAAGGCGTCTGGTCACGAAAAGAAGGAGTCTACCAAGGGCAAGGGCAAGGCTCGTGCTGAGGGTGGGGGGATCTACTCAGGATAATGCATATGATGCCGGCAAGTAGCTTATCCTACTCAAACTGCTATAAAAAAAGCAGATGAGAGGAAAGGGAGGGATTCTGGGGCATCCGACAGGTTTTCATGTAACTTTGTCATGACGAATCAAACGATGAACTTTTCTGGTATGACAGGTTTATGGATTCGTGCTGTCGAGCTGTTCATGGGGAACTTTCGATAATTCAAAATTCACTTCAAATAATATAATAACCACATACACACACAGACGTGATGATAAGTCTTTAGCACTTTATAAAGTATCTTCACTATTCCATTCCCTCTTACCCAGCTTTTCCCTCCTTCACACCTAACCATCTCTTAGAAAAAAAACATCAACGCTTTCATCTACGTTTTCTTGCATCGAGCCAAAAAAAAGAGAACATCGCCATCAACACACGCCCGAAACGTGATGAAAAAAAAACAGCACCATCTATTATACTAAAACCTGGATCAAATATACACATGCGTATACATATGCAAAAAATAAGAAGACTGAAATGTCATCTCTTCATCTTCGATGCAACACACAACATAACATATTAGTCATATCATCATCCCCCCCCGGCCTGTCTTACTTTCTCCCAATCAAATTACTCAACCCACTCTTACGCTTATTGTTCTTCTTCTCCCGCTCACTTTCTTCCTTTTCGCGGGCTTCCTCGGCTACGCGCTCGTCTTTTGTAGGCACGCGGGGCTGGTCTGCGAAACGGATACCGGGGGTACGAGGAGTGGGCGAGAGCGTCTTTTGACTGCTAGGTTCAGCGGCAGCGCGCGAGTGGGTGCCGCGGCCAGTTTCTAGGGGGTCGCCGGTTTCTTCGTCTTCAGAGTCGGATTCAGGGGTGTCGTCTTTGGCTACACCCAGGGCACCGAGCCGGCGCTTGCGCTCTGCGGCTGTTTCGCCTTCGAAGGTTTCTCCGGCTTCTTCCGTGAGAGGCTGTTGTGTTGCAGGAGTGAGGTTTGAAGTGTCCTTGGGTCCTTGGCTTGAGGATTGCCCTGCTGCTTGCCGTCTTCGACGCTCTGCTGCTGTCTCACCGCTTTGGCCGTATGAGTAGTTTTCTAGATCCTGACGTACAGAGTGGAAAGGAACCTGTTCGTCGTTGCTGTCAACCAGTGTTAAGCCCTCTGGACCCCGTGCATTTCCCGCTTCGTCTGCTGCAGGGGACTCGATCTTGTGGAGCTCGGCCTCACCCTCTTTGCCTACAACAGCAGGCACCTTCGCTTGCTTAGAGGCTGCTTGGCGGCGCTGCTCAGCAGTGTGCTCCTGTGCGTCCTTGTGTGCAGCATCCTTGACGGCCTCGGGAACGTCGCTGTTTTGCACAAACTTGGCCCTGTCTTTGGGATTCATTTGTGCCATTTGTTGAATGAACTCCAACTTGCTCATGCGACGTCCGCCGGCGGTAACAGTGAATCGGACCAAATCATCATCTTGCTGCTCCTTGGCAGCTGCTTCAGCCGCCTTCTTCTTCTTGTCATTCGCAGCTTGAGAACCCTCAGGGCCAGCGTGATGAGTGTTTGGAACGCCCATGTGAGTTCCCATGCGCTTCAAACTCTGCACGGCGCGATTTGAAGATTCTGCCATAGACTGACCACGGGTGTTCACAGGCCGGCCATCCTTGCCCTTCTTTGGTGTAGCTGGAATGTCGTACTTTTTCAAGACCTCGCCGTCTTCGTCTTCAACAATAATGGTGTTACCGTATTGATACGCGAGAGCGGGCCCAGGCTTGTGCGCTGGCTTGTCAACCTTCGAGGCCTCTGCTTGCTTGCCGTCTTTGTGCATACGTCCCGAGAAACTTTGCATACGGTTGCGCCATGTCTTGTGAGGATGCTCAATAGCGTTCTCAACCTTACTCGGGGCTTCTTCAAGTCCGCTATCGTGCTCTTTCTGAGACACTCCCTGCTGAACCTCGGCCTGAGTAATCAATTCTTGTCCTCTCTGGATATCGTGTTCCCTTCGTACTTGGCCATGTTCGCCGTGACTATCCCTCACGCCTAAAACATTTCCTTCCTTGTCTTCGAAGACAGTCTGATGGCCTTCCTGGTAAATTTCTTCCCCAGGCTGTCGCATCTTCATCTTCTCCTTTGCGCTTGACGAACTGGAACTAGAGATGGCCATGGCATCGGCAAACGTGTCTGTATCTTGTTCTGGTGGTATAGCCTCTACCTTGTCCTCATCACGCCTGTTGGGTGTGATGGCAGATTGAGCAATGGGACCGCCAGGTCCATGACCAGCCTCCCAGCGCCTGCCTCGACCCGTAGGTTTAACAGAGTTTGAACGACTTGGGTTGTCTTCCTCTCTCTGCCTACGCAAAAATGAGCCACCGAAGCCGGTTGCAGCTGCAAAATCGGACTTTTCGTCAAAGGATGACTCGGACGGGCGGCGTGCCATGGAAGACCTTGAACGCGATTGAATACGGGGAAGGCGGTCCATCCAGCCAGGCCCGTTTTCGTTGCCCTGTGTGTACGACATTGATATCGTGAGAGTGTTGATACGTTTGCCGAGGGTGAAGACAGCAATCGAACTGCCATGGACAACGATACTAACAATAACCAAGAAACAGGTAATGGGCCATATCATCTCGATGATGTTTAGATGCTCGAAACCAGGTTCAGGTAGTACAGCTAACGGCGTCGTGGTACTAGTCTCGAGCTCGGCTCGCGCAAGAATAGCAACGAACAAGCCACCGACACCGATGGGTCCAAAGTGTCCAGCAAAAGATGCCTCGCGCCATGTCTTGAGATCCGGAATGACGGGTTTAAGCATCAGCATGATTGGAATACGGCGGAAGAAGAGTACCAAAATGCCGAGCACAACCAAACGCCAAGGCGACAGTCCGATGATGTCGGAGTTGAACTGCTCCCAGGGGATGATGGAACCGAAGTAGACAAAGAAAGCCAAGTTAATTAGCAAGTCAATGACATTGGAAACATGGGACTCTTCCGTCTTCTCCAAAAACCATCCATCGTTGGAGAAGCCTACACCGCAAGCAAATCCTACGAGCAAGTCATCCATGCCCAAGAGTGAGCCTGAGCCAGCGCAGAAGAGCGCCAGTACAAAGTAGAAGACGAGGAAACTCTCTCGATCGATGAGGTCGCGCTCGTGAGCGTATCTAATAGCACGTCTTGCAATGTAGCCAATCACTACGCCGTAGAAAGCACCAAAGATGCACTCGTAGAGGATTGTGTAACAGAACCAGTGGTACGCAACCTTGCTTGCGTCGGGGCGGTAATGGATAAGGTAAATGGCCAGGTAAACGAAAGGAAAGGCCATGCCATCGTTGCAACCAGACTCAGCAGAAAGCAAATCTCGCAAATGCTTTGGGACTCGTTTAGCAAACTTGCCCTTACCGACAACGGACGAGGCCAGGACAGGGTCGGTGGCAGTGACGCAAGCAGCAATGCAGAGACTGTCGAGCCAATTGAGGTGGGAGTTGAACAGGCCCCAGATGAACAGACTGGTTATCAGCCAGCCAAAAGTCATGACTGGGAGGAGCAGCAGAACTACCGACTTCCAGTGCTTCTCCATGTATGCGCGAGGCAACTCAACACCAACGGCAAAACATTGCACGACGAGAACGATGCGCGAAAACTCTAGAGTGATCAAATCGACATTGCCCCAAGTCGAAGGATCTATGAGATTGGCGGCATGGGGGCCGAATATGATGCCGCATATGGTCGCGACCGTGGCTTCACCAATGTACAAGCGCTCCTTGATGACGGAGGAGCACAGCATAAACAAGCTGGTGAAGCCTCCGAGAATCAAGTACACCAGATGCGGCTTGGTGATGGACAGGTGATCCCATGCCATGATGAAGCGCGATTAGCCTTGCTTTTTCCGAGCTTCTTGTTGTGTCCACCCGAGTATAGCGACGTAGGTACGAGCGCGGTGCGCGGGCAAAAAGGTTTGTTATGTGGGGAGGAGCGAGGAGCCGGGGCCGCGTTGTCGAAAAGGTCGGCCAAGGTAGGAAAAAGACGGATCCAAAGTCGAATGCATGTACTTGAGGATCCGCCCAGACGCCGGTCCTTGGATGGGGGTGGATCGAGAGTGCCGTTTGGCGTAGTGGTACGAGGCTGGGGACGCAGCGCAAGTCGGGCGCGGGAAAGCGACAAAAGACGTGGCTATTGTTTTGACGGGCCAGAGCAGAAAAGTCTTGGACCGAAATCAAGAAATCTCAAGCCCAAGGCTTACAGACACAGTGTTAGTCTCGGCAGAGCCAGCCGAAAGCTTGGATGGCGCGCGCGCCTGGTGGTCGGGTATCAACGATGCTTCACGCTCACCTCGCTCTTGGTGCGCGCAGATGGAGCAGGCAATGCGGCACTTGCTCGGTGGGCGTCTGGCAATTGCGTGCTGCCAGAAGTTTGCTGTGGCAATTCAGCTTGACGAGCACGACGAGCGGACGACACAACGGCTATAATGTCATGGCCGTTCTGCGCAACTAAAGTGCTTGGTCACTTGGCAATGACGTTGACTGGTCCGGGGGAGGTTGAATGTCGCCTATCCTACGCCACAGATGCGCGAGCCTCAACGTTTTGGTAGAGACTGGATGCCGACAATTGCCCGAGAGAACGGCCGTTATATCAACGGCCGTGCCAGCTGCCATGCCCGAGTCCCGAAGCCTTTTGATGCCATTCCTACCCTCACTGAGCTTGTTGTTGCTTTTCTCTGGGCTCCGTCGGTCCAGAGCGCACGCATCTTTATCGAATCTGCAGTGTGCAGGGCTACCTGACAAAGACTTCTGCACGCCGCCTATCACATGACATCTTGAGATGGGCTGCCCTGCACTCCATCTGCACCAAAGCCGATCAGCGCAGTCAGCAACGATGCTTGGCCCGTGGTTACCGGTAACACGACTCGCGCCCTCGCCTCTTACCCTTGATTGCTGAACCGCTCAACACCATGCAAACTGACGGCGACGCCGTCCAGGTACTAGTTGGCAGTGTAGGCCATGCATCCCCAGTCTGAAGAGCGGTATAGCCGCGATAAGCTCAGATCTAAGAGTGGCAGCCAAGAATGCAGGTGATTCTTAGATATCCCATCCAAGTGGGGCGCCTGCTGCGGGACAAACACCAAGCCACACTAGTGACAAGCCACCGTGTATCTGTACATGCTAGTACACACCTGTAGTGTGTACCTATGCTTGCAACACCGGACTTTGGCTTGACTGTATAGTCCGACTGCACCGCAAGGAACATGCAAGAAACGCTGCCTGCCCACCATCCAACCTAGTGGCATGCTGCCCTTTGCCGTAAGACATCGGGGAAATGGCCAAATAAATCCTCGTACACGGGTGCTTGGCGAGTACTGGAAGAAACACGTGCACGGTTTGTTGATGCAAGGAGTGTGCTACAGGTGGCGTGCTACGTGGTTGAGCGAATATGTGCACATGTGGATGCGTACATTGCATGTCGTCGAAAGGAAGAGACGCCAAACTCCAAAGAAAACAACAAAACGGAGGAGGTATTCACAATGGCAAAAGCGTGTACTTCCGTCCCGTTATGTATGTGCCTGTACAAGGAAACGTGTCTCATCTATATGGCATGTGACGCCTATCGAGCCCATTGATCAACACGACTATGATATAGAGAAAACTTTTGCCAAGCTGACATGTAAACATCCCACGCGCGGGTGGAAAATGTATGTGTGTATACGTCATCTCCAGCAAGGTGTATGATGTAGTGTTACACCGGTTTTTTTGCTCTCGTCTGTCTCCCCTATCGGACCGAACAAAAACCACCACTCTCCATCGTACAGATGTCCTGCTACAAGTTTTGGCGAGCAGATGATCACACGTCAGGGAGGGGTCAAGTGGGGGAACGCTTGCTTTGCGGCAGGATTCGTGTAATGATTGGAAGAACATATCTACAACCAGCCTTGGTCGATGAGATAAGTACAGTTGGCGACGGGAAAAAATGAAGCGGGGCGGCAGGGCTTTGTAAGAGCCCAATGACCAAGCCCGACGATGTTGCCAACAACAACAATAACAAAAAAGCAAGCCCAATGCTAACCATTATGAAACACGCCAGACAAAAGGATCATCCCAGTAGTCCACTAAACGCCCAAGGGCTGCAAACTTCCAACCTCGTAAGGAAATGGACAAACACGAAATAAATCTAACATAGGGAATATGCAAAACATGCCTTTTTCGCCTCATGTGCCCGTAGTCGCAACAAAACAAAATTCCAAATTTCGCCCATACCCAGATAAAAGGTCATATGCACAGACCTTGTCTAAAACTGTGATGAGAGAAATTATCGTCCAACATAAGTAATGTGCATGAACGTAAATAAAAAAAAATGCGTTACGCGTGACATCATAAGTCTCAGTCATTGTTGCTCAATGACCGACCGGGAGCCATGTTCTCCTTTCATCCATGCTCCGGTTTGCACGGCCCCCTGGCGTTAAGGGTATTTCTACACGCGCCCGGTCACGGCGCTCAGGGTCGCTGTCAGAGTCGTATGCGTCTGACAACCGCGAGAAGTAATCTGCCAACCCGTTCGTAGGGGATGCAATCGTTTCGTACAGCGGCGGCGGTGTCTCTAGTGGCGGCGGCGGCTCGATTTCGGAGAAGGCCGGTGGGTTGAACGAGGGTACGCGCAGGAGATGCATCGGTCGTGGGACGGTAGAGTCGTTTGGTCCACCGATATGTGCTGCCTGCGGTCGAGTGATCCCTGATGCCGGTGATGGTAACGGTGGTTCAGTATGGCCTCTTGGCCGGCCCATACTGCCTAAAGTTGGTACAAAGCCTGGTGGAGATGGGCGGCGAGATGGTGCGTCGGGACATCCGCACTCAGGTACCCGCGCTCCGCTCATCAAAGGTTCGGGCGATGAGTAAGCTGGCAGTGCTATATTTGCTTGTGTAGCTTGACATGAAAGGATGTGGAATGGTGAATCAATCGAGATCTCAAAGTGTCGTCGTTTTGACGGATCATTGGCGTCCGGTTTCGAAAGGCGCATGACGAGCTAAGAGACTGTTAGCATATGTAAAAGCAATACCTTTAATGTAGACTTACCTTTATCCAATGATGCACCTGAATGTTCTGGTACGTCGTGTCAAAGTGCAGCCTTGACGACTTGTCCTTCTCTCGCATGTTGTGACAGCTTGGCAATTGCACATTGAACTCCATTTCGGTCGGACCAATGTTTGAGTCGCCGCTGAGATTACCCAACAGATTGGTAGGGTCTTCTACCGATACATCTTCGCCGCGAGAAGCTGCCGCACGCTGGTCATATGGGACACCACCTCCAGATACTATCCGCATGGTACTGCCAGGGAAAGTGCTCGTCGGTGGGCCATCTGCACGTTTTTCGAATAGCTGGACCTTGCGCACTGGTTCCATCCGATGTACTCGTTTGTTGTTGCAAAAGTACTCGACATTCTCAGTGACGAACACTTTTATTCGATGGCATTGGACCTTGGCGAGTGGGGTCAGCTTAAAAGCAATTGGAACTTGTGCCCCGAGTGGGAACGATTTTCCCGAGATGACAATGTCATAGTGAAGCTGATCTTCCCAGCTGCGGCTGATTGCAATGGGTTCCACTTGCTCTAGCGATCCTTCTGAGGGTGCACGGATAAGTGTGACTTCCTTGGTACCAATGAGGTTGGTGCGAAAAGCCCCGGCACGCTCGACAGTGGCTTCGAGCTCGTACTTGACTGAACCAAGGTCGACGTCAATGGTCTCGGGAAGGTGGCTGTCTAGCGGCAACTCAAAGTTGTACATGTACTCGCCAGGATTAAAGGTTCTGTAACCTTTCTGTGCTACCGAAGGGCCACCACCAGGAGTGTCACCCTTGCCGAAGCTTCGGGATTGGTTAACTTGGAGGGATAACCGTTTTGCTTCTTTTGTCGTGAGGTTCAATGAGGAATTGTTGGGCGAGCCGGTCAAGCCACCGGAACTCTTGTATAGTTCCACATGATCTGCACCAGTGCCATTTTCTGCTGTCGGGAATTGGGAGTTGAAGAACGGCCAGGTGTGGCTCATCAGGGTGTCCACCTCTTCAAATTCAGTCTTCTTCGGGGGAATCCCTATTGATAGTCAGTAGTGTAACGGGCACAATGAGGGGGCGTGATTAACCTTCTGGCCATTTTGTGGTTGCCTTGCCCCGGAATTTCAAAGTGACGGCTTTTAGTTTCGCTGATTTGGTGATCTTCAGGCACAGGGTACCGCGCAGCATTGCAGTATTGCGCTCACCGTTCTCGGCTTGCTCAAAACCCCGAAGAAACAAAACTGGTTCGGTGAGCTGCACATTGACGCTCAAGCCACCACCAGAAGCAATTGGTTTTTCTTCGGGCACGGGCTTCACGCTGCTTATTGTGCTCTTGGTAGATGAACGCCCAGAGGACCAATGTGACTCTGTCGAGGGTCTTGCTATGCCGGTTGCAGCCAAGGTCCCACCAATTGCGCCGACGGCGTCACTGGGGGAGTTTCTCGTGAGCGACCTCATGTCGCGGGAGCGTGGCTCTGGAATTGAGGTAATGGAGCTGCGGTTGCTGCTGGAGCCACTCGTTGATGAACGTGGGGTAGGAAGGTCTGCAGTTGCGGGTTTGGAAGAGAGGCGGTTATCAAGCAGAGAGCGGAAGAACCGTTTAGCGCCTTCTTGATGGATCGCCAGTTTTTCGGTGATGTACGACTTCTCAGTCGTTCGTCGTCGTTGAATGCGAAGTAGGGGATCAGGTCCTACGTGAGCGATGTGAATGCGATGTGGTCGACGATTGCGACCTTGGAATGTGCCGCGATTTGTTCTTATTGGGTCTTCTAGATGGTCGGGAATATAACGTAAACGGCCACGATCAGAGTATACAGGTTGGTACTCTGGCATGTCGATGATAGGTTAGTATGTGTGTCAATTGCAGGTAAACAAAGCGATGAGGCGATGCATGCGGCGAGCGATGTCTTATAGAGCGTAGGTGTATGTGTATGCGTATGTGTGTACAGGACAAGAATGTACAAGAGCTTGAGGAATAGGATAGTTCCGAGTCATGAACGGGACACAAAGAGGTGTTTGGTCAAGGCAACCCAACCATGGTCCTCGTCGATGCTTTTGGTAAGGAGGTTGTGGGTTGGGCGCTACGGAGACAAAGGGTCCGGGTGTAGTGAAGGGGAAATGAGGCGAGGACTTACGGGCAGGATCAAGGTATCAAGATGCTACGGTGAGCATAGTGATGTGTAAATGGGATGGATCCGCACGATAGGCCGCTATAATGATGTGGAGCGGTGTGGTTGCCGGGGAGTCGGAAGGGAGCGGGTTTGCCCTATTACTGAGCGTCTGCGCTGTCGGTAAAGACGAGTGTTTTGTCAGGTGAATAATGGTGCGGGCGACAGGGACATGGAGTGTTTTGAGGTGTGCCCAAACTAGCATGCATTCATTTTACGGGCGGGCATGTCAGACTAAGCCAGGACAGACGGCGAAAGTATGCCGGGGCGCAAGTGCAGGGAACCGGATGACGCGGACTCGCCAGTGTGCTGTTGCTCGGCGGGGGTCGCGGCACTAGGCAGGCCGGAGGTGAAGGGGTGCGCAGCTGGGCTCTGCAGCGGCACGACGACTGCGTGGGCGAGAGAGGGATAGTATGTAGGCAGTAGTAGAGTAATTTGCGCGTCAAGGAGCGACACAAGTGAGTCGCACAGTTGTCTAGCCGCGGAGATCGACTAAGCATGGGATTAAATGAGGTGTAGTAAGCTTGCGTGGACGGAGGCTCGGATGCATGACATCATGGCTGGCATCCAGAGATTGCAAGGCGCTGGAGACAAGCAGCAAGCGGTGGTTTCTGAACTGCTATCATCTGCTTCTAGACCGTTTGCCGGCTAGCGACCGACGCCGGCGGCTCACCCGGCAAGGTACTGAGATCGACGGATCATGACCTTGGTCTACCCGCCAAGCTTGCACGCTGTCGTGACATGGACGCAGACAACCAGACATGCTCGCGCAGCTGATGGAAGAGAAGATGGCAGTGCCCGCATTGCTATCTGGGCAAGCCTGGGCATGGTCATTCTGTGCCTGGGCAACGCGCGGTCCCAGTCTGACAGCGCCCATGCGACGAGCAGCAGTCTGTTCACCTCCAGTAGTATGTATACACTTAGTGCTGCTGCCATAAGCCCGCCAGACACGCCAACTGCAACGACCGCAACCGTCTCATGCAACCGATAAAACTCGTACTCGGCGTGCCTCAGCAGTCGGCGCTTGCACCGTAGCCTGGACCCGGGGGCAGTTGACGCAGTATTGGCAGGGCATCAGCGGCATACGTCCCACCATGACATGGGCATCCAAAAGAAAAGTGTATGCCTCAATCCAGTACTGATCGCCGTCTGGGGGTGCTGAATCTGGAGGCAGGTTGCGCTATCGGAGCAGAGCAGGTCACTGCCAACTCGTCGCCCCAAGTGCGCGATCTCAGGAACAGGGCGGTTCGTCATGATGCCATCCCTGGAACAGTCGGATCAAGGTTTGGGGGTCTGAGTGGATACCCGGCAGAGAAAAAGCTTTTTTTTCTTGCTCTTGCATTTGCGTGACCACTTACTGCGTGTGGATCGCCTGGGGGAGATCGCTCGAGGCAGAGCGGAAGGAGCAGCGAGATGGCGCCGACGCGGACGCGAGACGAGGCGAGAGCCCGCCAAGGCCAGGAGAATTCTCTGACCGACAAGTCCAGGGCGGAGTCACGTGACTTCGTCTTTCCAGGCTTCCCCGCAACGCGCCCGCGCGCTGCAATCGGGCTTAGCTCGGACACGCTGCTCGTTCGGCGCTTCACTTCCACACAACATTGCGACCTGCGCATGCCACCACGACGGTGATGGACGCAACAGATGGAGCCTATGGTGCGTTTGGGGCTCTGATTCATTGCTCGCCCACATGGACTTACACGATGCAGGGACAAGCCAACTGCCCCTGGCCGGGGCCATCCTCTGCTGCACCTCGATTCCCCCCGAGCAGCGCGTATGCCCATCGCCGCCCTGTTTTCTCTATTGCAACCGCTAACCCCATGTCCCTCTGCAGTCCCAACTCGCATCCATTGGCGCGCAGATGGGCGCGACCATCAAGCTTGACCTTACTTCGGACGTTACCCACCTCATCGTCGGCAGCATCGACAGCGCCAAATATCGCTATGTCGCAAAGTCCCGCGACGACGTCAAGGTTCTCTCCCCCGCATGGCTCGAGGCTCTCCGCGAGGTCTGGATGAGTGGAGACGACGATCTGGATGTGGCAGCACTGGAAAAGGAATATCGCATGCCTACTTTTTTTGGACTTAGGATATGCCTCACTGGCTTCGACAACCGTACAGCACCACCCCCCCACACTCGTGCAACTATCCCACGCTGACCCCCCCCAATAGCTGAGCAACGGCGGAATATCCAGGAGACAATTGACGCAAATGGCGCTGAATACCATGGCGACCTCACCAAGTCCGTCACCCATCTCATCGCCGCCACGCCATCGGGCAAGAAATACGAGCACGCTCTGAATTGGAGAATGAAGATTGTATCCCTCGAATGGCTGGAGCAGAGCCTCGAGAGAGGCATGGCGCTCGACGAGTCCCTCTATAATCCAACCATGCCCGTCGAAGAGCGGGGCCAGGGCGCCTGGGACCGCAGACAACCTATGTCGCCCGCCATGGGTAAACGCACACGAGACGCTGAACCGAGCCAAGCACTCAATCCGTTTCGAAGAAAGCTGCGACGTTCAGCGAGCACAAAGTTAGGCAGCCAGAGTGATGCTCTATGGGCGGGTATTACTGCGCCAAGCTTCGAGAGACCGATCGACGAGGATGAGTGGACTGAGGACATTCTTGCTAAGCAGCAAAGCACACGAGCAAGTACACGCACACATACGCCCGTGTCGCCTGGCAAAGATGCGTCTACCCTGGCACATGATGCGCCTGCCGAGTCGAAGCTTCGAGACCCTGCAGATGCCCAGCAAGCATCCCTGCCTCTGCACCCTGACAATGATTCCGGATATAATGGCATTTTCCAAGGGCGCCTCATTTGCCCACATGGATTTGATGCGGAAAAGGTCCAATATTCCCCACCCGTGCGCTCTAGACCCTGCTGACATGCTGGTAGACAAGCATCTTGCGGCAACATCTTGAGAGTAATGGTGCGCAAGTCATCCGCGTCATTGACCTCAACAATTTTTCATTGGATCAACTCAAACAAAGCTATGTCGTGATACCGCATGACGCTGAGATTGATCTGACGGCACTTCCGGCACATGCCGGATCATATGTAAGCTTGGTCACCAATTGGTGGGTCGAGCGTTGCCTGTATGGCAAGCGTCTTGTTGATCCTGCAGACGACGTCTTAAGCCGACCTTTTGAAAGACTAAGCATTAGTGGTATGTTTGTGGCCCACAAATCCCTTGTTGGTTCTGACGTCGTCAGGGTTCTCCGACTTGATCATCAACTCCACGGGGTTTTCCGGCATCGAATTGCTGCATGTGACTAAAGTCGTCACCCTTATGGGTATGTGAATATTTGAATAAACCCGCACCTACTGCAGCTGTCTGACTCATTCGGCAGGCGCTACGTATGATGAACAACTTTCGGTAAAGACATCAGTAGTGATCTGCAATCCTCCCACTGTAAACACACCGAAAATCAAATTTGCGACGAGCAAGCGCATACCAGCTGTTCACATCACTTGGCTGTGGGCATGTCTGCGCAGCGGACGACTGCAGTCATATGACGAATATCAATTAAATAAGACGGCTCAGCCACCACCGCAGGATCCAAAGCAAAAGCCCCAGCCACAAGCAAACGTAGATACTGAACCAATTCCTGAGGGCCCATCTAAGCCTCATCAGAAAGCGCCGACTGGGAACGTCGCGTCGAGACAGCCACAGCAACAAATACCTCAACGGCCTGGCGGGCTTAATATTGCACCCTCCGTCGATGCGACCTTGCCAGTAACAGCTAACAAGTCTGCCCCTCGCAGTAAGGATAGCAATAACCTAAATCAAGACGATGATCCAGTCATCAGCGCATATGATGGCGGAGCATCGCATCCTCATCAGGCAATCAATGCTGCCTCTCCACACAGACCATCAACCCCACCAAATAATTCATATACTTTCTCACGGCCAAGAAGCTCATCTGCGGAGTCGCTTATTGCCCCCGCGTCCCGCAAGTCCAAAAACAATCAAATCACAGTCACCAGACCCTTAGACTCGGAACCTGGGCCGGATGCTGTCATTCCGCCAGATACCGAGCCGCTAGTCCCGCAAGAAGCGTCTAAGCCTCGAGAAACAGCAGAAGAAAAAGATTACTCGTCTATTCTAGCGCAACTACGTGCCAATCGTAAGACTGCGCCTGGTCCCAGTGATCAGACTACGTCAAAAACACGAATACGACGTCAGCTCGGCCGGGCAACATCGACACGTTCCAATGCGTCGGGCGGGGAAAGATCAGGTGATATACTTGCAGATGATGACAATGAGAACACTGTAGTGATAGAGGAATATCAGGCCAGTCAGACATTGGGTTGGGACTCGCCAGGTGCGGCTAAAGCAAGAGAGCAAATGATTCAGAAACTCGGCGGTACCGTGCAAGAGAAGAGCATCGCTGTTGAGGAAATCGGTGTTGTAAGAGACGTTGGCGGCGAAGAGTTGTTGGGAAGGGCGGGGAGGAAGAGGAGAGGATGAAATATGTGAAATGTACACATGTGGTTTGTACAAGTATATGGAGCATTCTGGATTCACGGCATCAAATTAGCATGAAATGAGCGCATAGCGAAGGTGTTTTGGGTAAAAAATGCATGTAGACGCGATAGGCTTTGGACATTACAATGACTTACCATAATTCTACTTCTTATATCACTTGCATCCCTAACCTTAAATCCCATATGTAACCTTCAGTCTCCTCTCCAAATGCCCCTTGGCAGTAATAACCTCATCCTTCCCCTCCTCACTCAATCCCAATCTCCGCCTCTGACTTCTCAACTCCTTCTCCCCCTTCCCCTCACGGCCAAACTCCTCAATCAGCATACTAGGCACAGCCTCCAACCGCACATTATCCAGCGGGTGACAAAAATACGCCATGCTATACCTCTCCTCACCACCCCCAAACGTCACACGATGCACTGTTGACTTGAGTAGCCCATTCGTCCAATAACACAGCAAATCCCCAATATTAACCAGAATAGGCGGGTGCTCAAGAGTATCCGGATCGGGATTCACGGGCACGGGAACCCAGCTTTCCCCGTTCTTCGTTAGCAGCTCCAGCCCTGCCTGCCCGGGGAGTCGGAACAGCAGCGTAACACTGCCGTAATCTGAATGCGCGCCTGCGCGGATACTGGTTTGGTCGTGCGTCGCCGTGGCTGTCTTGGGGTAATACAGTAGACGAAAGATGGTGCCTGAGGGGCCGCGAGATTGGTCGTGGCGGGTGCTGAAGTAGTCTTTTTCGGGAATTTTGAGGGCCGTGGAGAGGAGAGAGAGGACTTGCGTGCAGAGGGTGTGGCAGGAGGTTTGGAAGCGGGATATCAGGGGTGTGGACGAGGAGAGGGGGGAAGGGAGAGGTTGGAGGGTTGGTTGCGGTGGGGCGATATTGAAGGCTTCTTTTGGGTCGCCTTGCTGCAAGAGGGGTGTTTGTTAGGGAGGTGGAGGTGAAGGGGGGGATCTGGGTGGCTACTATTACCTTTTGGCCTTGGGGGTCGAGCGATTCACCTTGCATGGATACCCAGCCGCGGTTTATGCCGCCGGCTTTGTCTGAGTGGATGGCATATTCGGCTTTTTGTTCCTTGGGGGAGGCAAAGAATTGTTTGCTCTGGTATGGTCAGTTCTGGTTGTTTTTTTGTCTGATAAAGTGATTGTTGATCCTACGAGTTTGAACATATCGTCTATGTCTTGAGGTGGGATGGTACCACCATCATTCTTAATGTAGAGGAAGCCGTGCTTGGATGCTGCATCGAGAACTTGCCGGGCTATCTCCTCGGATGGATTTGATATGTCAATGACAGGGATAGGACCCTGGTCGTGCTCGATGCTAGACATTTTGTAGAAAGCTCGTATAGGAGATGGAAAGAATGAAGATTGTAGATAGTAACACAAGTGAGGGGCAATGTTCGTACTACTATCCCAATGGCTGATGCACTAAACGATGTCTACGCAGAGAAAGTGTACTACGTAATGCTTGCAATTTCCAAGTTTAAGATTTACCAGCTGAACTATGCTGCCCGCCCATCAACTACACGTCCATACGCCATGCACTCGCGTAGCAGTGCGGCGCTGTACCTGAACTAGCGCCCGGCTGATCAGGGATTCCACGTTACACGCCAAGACGTGCAGCTGCGTCGGAGCTCCCAATTTCCCTACACAAGCACCCCGCAAACACTTCCAATTCATCCACGGTTGCCCTGGCCATTGTCCTACCACACTAGTACCACGGTATCATTTTCAAACTTATATTAGACCACCTTTTCGCTAATTTCACCACTCATTTCCACCGTCTATCTGGCAAGCCACGCACGCGACTGGCGCCATGATCCGCGACTTTGTGCAATGGACGGCCGCCTTCAGCGAGACGGGCGAGCTCGAGCATCTGCGCGGCTGTCGCGTAGGCATTGAAGCTGCCGAGTACCTCAACCAGCGTATTCTCAACCACCCCCGCGCAAAGGAGCCCCTCGTCCCCGCACTTGGAGGTCTCCCACTGGCATTGGCGCAACACATTGAGGAAGATCTGGCCGCTTTCCGCAGTTTCGAAATTGAGCCTTACTTTATATTTAGTGGGCTGGATATCACAAAGCAAGGAAACCCATTCGGGCACAAGACTGCAGAGGCGACTGTGAACGCAGATGCATGGAATCTGTACGACAGTCATCAGGCCGAAGCTTCAGTCGCTCGGTTTGGAGAGTCAAGTATGGCAGTCAGAGAAGACATCGTTTACATACGTTGCTGACTGGTTGTAGCATACGTCACACCAGAAGACCTCTTTCGCGCATTGCAATCTATCCTTACCGAACAAAAGACTCGCTGGACGGTTGCACCTTACAGTGCCTGGGCTCAGGTAACAGGCACAACACAGAAGTTACAACAAGGTCTAACAATGTACAGCTCGCATATCTTGAGAAGAACGAATACGTCCACGCCATCGCCGCTTCGTCAGACACCCTCATCTTCGAGGCCACCCAGCTCATCACATCATGGGACTTTGAGGCACGGCAATTCAGCTTCATACGACGAGAAAAATGTGTAGCCGATTTGTCCAAGTTCGTCAGCGCTCCTCAGATTTCCAACGACATCTTTCTTGACACTTGCATACTGGCTGGAACACCATTCCTCCCCACACTTCCCATATTGGATGCGCCGAACAGAGCAGAGCTTTTGAAGCCTTACAGTGCCATCAAGATGATTATGAGCAACGGCCAGTCGGGCTACTCGGTTGTTGTTAGCAACAACGATGTCCCACCCTCTGGGAAGGAGTATGTGACTATGTACCAAAAGGCGCGTCTGGCTGTCAAGAACCATCCTGTCTACACAGAGGACGGAAAGATTGAGCCCCAGAACCCGGCCTCTATACCAAATGATGCGGTCGAGTACTTGGGACGCAGGCTGCCGGATGAGATTCTACACTACATGTCAAAGGGCCTCATCAGTCCACGAATCCTTCAATGGCGTACCACTGGCGAGATATTTGAAGTTCCACCTATGGACGGAGGAGACTCACCGGAATACAGGAATCTTGTGAGCTCGAAACTAATCCCACTACGGACATCAGTCATAAACCTGCTTTCCAGTTCTCTACACAACTGGTATCGACACAACGATCTCGAGCAGACAAACTGGTTTTCGCCTCCGGATTCAAATAGGAAACTTGCATCCACCACTATTCATGTAGAGAGGCCATCAGAAGCACAAGCCCCCTCCATTGTTGACACATGGAATGTCAAGGAATCCATCTTCAAAGATACTGTTGGAAAACATAAGGTAAGCAATCTCACCAACTAGCTTCTTTCTAGTACTAATATAAACACTAGGATTGTGGAATTCTTGGGGCAGCTATCTTGTCTTTGCAAGATGCTGATTTCGCTGCCAAGACCATATCCAAGAAGGAACACAAGAATCCACTTGCATCATCCACCGAGATCCTTTACAACTCAATATGGCGCTTTCTCGCTTTACGTGAGTACGTGGATCAGAAGACGCACAACTTGACCCAATGGGGAAAGGTTCTTGCTGCTGTTATCTCTGGACTTAAGGGCAAGCCAGAGCATGAAGAAGCAGCGGTGCTGGCAGTCGAATTGATCCGCATGGGTCTCTTGACTTCAGATATCAACATGTTCCCTACGTACAACGGCGCGCCAATGCGCGGTAGCAGTAAGTCAACAATTCTAAACCCCGACAAATTTACACAGCTAACAGCTCCACAGCAAAGGACAAAAACTCGAACATGCTAGTATCTCGTGTTGCTGGTCTTGGTATTTTGCACCACCGACCGATTGGCTTTACTGGCCCTCTTAGCCAACATCTTCTCGGATATAACTCCATCATCAATGTTGTTCGTCAAACTCTGCGGGAACTTATCGAAGTGGCGTGTACACACATGTTTTTGACTGGCTGTGCTAATCGGCACGTTGATATTACATCAGTCGCGATGAAGTAAGTGATTTGGAGATTTTTTTATTTTGTAACACGCTAACGTACATCAGACTTCCCTTCCTTTTACCGAACAACTGCGCACTGAGCATTGCCGTCAAATCCTATCTTGACGAGTTACTTAGCAACGACGCCGATCCCACCGCTGCGGAAACCAAAGCCCGCGTGATTGAAACGGCATCAACACGCTACTTCCCGCAATCACTCAACTTTGTTGAAGACCTTACGACGGCATTCTCAATGTGGGACGCAATCTATGCTGGGGTCACCAGTGCGAGCAGTACGACAATCCCAGAAGCCACCAAGCAAGCCTGGGCGGAGACGAACCAATGGCTCGCCGAGCGGCGATAGTACCGCAAAGATGACCAGGATACTGAGGGATTAAAACGCGCAATGAGAACGGAAGTGGTAAACTACATAGCTCAGCGAACTCGATTGCGAATTGTCAGGGAGAACATGCGGGGCCTGAGACGACGCCTGGCTACGGATCCAAGGGCGAAAGCAGAGATCTTGGACGCCCTTGATGCGTATATGAAAGAACTGGCTATATTGCTAGGCTATGGGGAAGAGTCATGATGAGATGAGAGCCGTAGGGTTATGCTTTCGAATTGAGAGATTTTACAGGAAATTTAATATTTTACCCTGTGAATTGATAGTGTCTTTTTTTGTTTTGGTGGCTGTGATGTAAACGTTGACTTGTGGTATGTGTTTTGTGTAGTTGTAATTATTCACTGTTTTCGGCGTCGTGGGCGAGTCATGGACATTTGCACTTGGTTGAGGATTGACGAGCAGTACTTTCGTATCTTGAAAATGGTTCATAGCGGCATAGGTCTTCCATTCTTCCATTTTGGTAGGACACACGTGCTGCTGAACTGATAAAAAATGAATAGTTATTGTCGTATACCCGCTGGTGGAGTTTGTACTATACGAAATTGGGGCTTCGGGCAATATGCCTTATCGATACGTGAAGGCCCCCCCATCACAAGGTGAAACCACCGCACCTTGCTTTTGCTGGAGCCACGTCGGCCATTAGTGTTGCTAATCTCCAGAGAGAGCGAGAAACAGAAAGGGCATGTCAGGCTGTTATACTCCGCCGGCGGGTTCGGGCCAAATTCACTTATCGTAAATACCCGAAGAACTGATATGGATACCTCTCTTGGCGTTCCTATGGTGGCGTAAGTGAGGCTGTAGCAGGCTCCAGGAGGACGCGTAGCAACGCCGGGCTTAGTTGGGTACGGCTAGTATTGGCACCGACGGGGCTATGATTGGCCAAATCAGCGCCTGTAGGTGGCAATGGGATACAGCTCGCGGTGAAGGGGACACAGTGTTTCTTAGTACTTAGTTTTGCTTGTCTAAGCGGTTCCAGCAACTTCCAATGGCGTTGCGGTCCGAGCACGGACCTTAAGGCAACATCGAGCTAGCTCTAACAGTGAGATCACCGACTGTTCAAGCTCCAACTTACTTAAACCACCACGCCCCAGGCATAGAAGGTCGTTTAAACTCCATCTAACCCCCCACCCTACCCACCGATACCCTTCACACCTGCATTGCTGCGTCAACTGTCACTCTTTGTACCGGAATCCCGAATCCCGCAGCACATCACATAGACACATCAGCAACATGTCGGCTGAACCAGACCACACGAAGCCGAAGCCGGATCTCTCAAAGTGAGTTGGTTGCCACCGGCTTTAGAATTAACAACGTACTTACATCTTGATAGAAACCCGGACGGCGCTGAGCCCAAGGAGGTAGGCACTGAGCAATGCTCTGGATGCGACGGCCCCGCTAACCCGCCACAGAACGATGAGACCGCGACCGCCATTCTCAAGAAGAAGAAGAAGCCAAACTCGCTGATGTGAGTACATCTGGAAATGAACCTCTGAATTGATACTGAGCTCTGTAGCGTTACCGATGCCGTCAACGATGACAACTCTATCATCGCTCTCTCAAACAACACCATGGAGACCCTCCAGCTCTTCCGCGGTGACACAGTCCTGGTAAAGGGCAAGAAGCGAAAGGACACCGTCCTCATCGTGCTGGCTGATGACGATCTCGATGACGGCTCAGCGCGGATAAACCGTGTTGTTCGCCACAACTTGCGGGTCAAGCACGGCGACGTTATCACCATCCACCCGTGCCCCGACATTAAATATGTATGTGTCATTATTACAAAACTGCGATTTCTGTTCAATTCTGACCTCTATTATAGGCCAAGCGCATCGCAGTCCTCCCCATCGCCGACACGGTCGAGGGTATCACCGGTTCGCTCTTCGATGTTTTCCTTGCGCCATACTTCCGCGAAGCCTACCGACCGGTCCGCCAAGGCGACACCTTCACAGCCCGCGGTGGTATGCGACAAGTCGAGTTCAAGGTCGTTGAAGTCGACCCACCAGAGTTTGGTATCGTCGCGCAAGATACCGTCATCCACTGCGAAGGCGAGCCCATCCAGCGTGAAGATGAAGAGGGCAACCTCAATGAAGTCGGCTACGACGACATTGGTGGCTGCCGAAAGCAGATGGCACAGATCCGAGAGTTGGTTGAGCTGCCACTGCGGCATCCTCAGCTCTTCAAGTCGATCGGTATCAAGCCTCCGCGTGGTATTCTCATGTACGGCCCTCCCGGTACCGGTAAGACACTGATGGCCCGTGCCGTTGCAAACGAGACTGGTGCTTTCTTCTTCCTGATCAACGGTCCCGAGATCATGTCCAAGATGGCCGGTGAATCAGAGTCAAATCTGCGCAAAGCATTCGAGGAGGCCGAGAAGAACTCACCCGCTATCATCTTCATTGATGAAATCGATTCAATTGCGCCCAAGCGTGAGAAGACCAACGGTGAAGTCGAGCGCCGTGTTGTCTCTCAACTGCTTACCCTCATGGACGGTATGAAGGCTCGATCCAACGTTGTCGTCATGGCCGCCACCAACCGTCCCAACTCCATCGACCCTGCTCTCCGTCGTTTCGGTCGTTTCGACCGTGAGGTCGACATTGGTATTCCCGACCCCACCGGCCGTCTCGAGATCATGCAGATCCACACCAAGAACATGAAGCTCGCCGACGACGTCGACCTGCAGACTATCGCCGCTGAGACACACGGTTATGTCGGTTCCGATTTGGCTTCGCTGTGCTCTGAGGCTGCCATGCAACAGATTCGTGAGAAGATGGATTTGATCGACCTTGATGAGGACACCATCGATGCCGAAGTGCTCGACTCGCTCGGTGTTACCATGGAGAACTTCCGTTTTGCTCTCGGCGTGTCCAACCCATCAGCTCTGCGTGAGGTTGCTGTTGTTGAGGTGCCCAACGTCCGATGGGAGGACATTGGTGGTTTGGAGGACGTCAAGCGCGAGCTCATTGAGTCCGTGCAATACCCTGTTGACCACCCCGACAAGTTCCTCAAGTTTGGCATGTCCCCATCACGAGGTGTGCTCTTCTACGGTCCTCCTGGTACCGGTAAGACGCTTCTGGCCAAGGCTGTCGCCAACGAGTGTGCGGCCAACTTCATTTCCATCAAGGGACCCGAACTGCTCTCCATGTGGTTCGGTGAGTCTGAGAGCAACATCCGTGACATCTTCGACAAGGCTCGTGCCGCCGCACCTTGCGTTGTCTTCCTTGATGAGTTGGACTCTATTGCCAAGTCGCGTGGCGGATCCCAGGGCGATGCTGGTGGTGCTTCGGACCGTGTTGTCAACCAGCTTCTGACTGAGATGGACGGTATGACATCAAAGAAGAACGTCTTCGTCATTGGTGCTACCAACCGACCGGAGCAGCTCGATAACGCGTTGTGCCGTCCAGGTCGTCTGGACACGCTTGTCTACGTTCCTCTGCCTGATCTGGCGTCACGTGTCAGCATCATCAAGGCCCAGCTCCGCAAGACACCTGTGGCCGATGACGTTGACATCGACTTCATTGCACAGAACACACACGGATTCTCTGGTGCCGATCTTGGCTTCGTCACCCAGCGTGCCGTCAAGCTGGCGATCAAGCAGTCGATCGCGATTGATATTGAGCGTCGCAAGGCCCGTGAGGCTGCTGGCGAGGATGTCGACATGGAGGTTGACGAGGAGGACCCAGTACCTGTGCTGACCAAAGCGCACTTTGAGGAGGCTATGCGTTCTGCCCGTCGTTCGGTGACGGATGTCGAGATCCGCCGGTACGAGGCGTTTGCGCAATCCATGAAGAACTCGGGCGGCTCCAGCTTCTTCCGCTTCCCGGATGCGGAGAACGCTGCAGCTGGTGGCGATCAGAACACATTTGGTGCTGGTGGCGAGGATGAGGACCTGTACAACTAAGGAAAGGGTGTAGCAGGCAAGGGCAGAAGAATGGAACTGGAATGATGTAGCCATTACGAGGGCGGGTTTAGCGTTTTTTTCTTCACGGCAAAGCACTGTACGAACAGGGCCTTTGGAGGGCTCTGGATGAGTGCAGACATGGGGATGGGGTAATTGAGGAGACATGATGATGATGAGGAGATATTGGTAGCAGCAGTAGTTGCCATGATGCAGTGAATGAATGAGAATGCATATTATGAAGAAAAAAAAAGAAGAAGATTTGTATTTGTGATTGTAATTGCGCTGTGATTGAGCGGTTGGTTGGTTGGCTGATTGATTGATGTCTAATGTGACGAGGGTAGTTTCCCTGGCCACTATAGTGGCAGACGGGTTCTACATACATACATGGATTGTTTGCTGAGCAACAAGTCGTAGTAGCTAAATCCATGGAATCTTGTCTACATGTTACAAGTCTGCAATTCTCTGGCGTTGAGATGTGATGATGACGTTGGAGGAGGTGCAGAGAGGTATGTATGTATGTATGTATGTATGTATGCGTATGTACACGTGTTTGTGCATGGGATATGCTGGCGAATAGTGGATCCGAGGGCTTGCAACGGTGGCAGAGATGCAAGGGGTCCGTGTGGGAAGGAGAAGGGCCCTTGGACAGCGTTTGCAACGGTGGCACTGGCCCTATAGTAGTTTTTGACTCTGACATGTGGCCTCTTCTTTGGAATGTAGCAGTAGTAGTTGATGCATAGTTGTTTTTTTTTGATACATGATTAAGATAAAGAGAGGAGGCGAATGGGTCATGGATTGGAAAGAATGAAAGAAAGAAGGAGAAAGAGGCATTCACTTATCATCCTCATATGTAATCTCACACACCTTTTCCAGCTCTTTCATGACCGTCTTGGCCCCGGTGTCAATGGCTGATTTGGGGATTTTGAGATCGAACTCCAAGGCGTCGTCTGTGGCGCCGTCAGCGCCGTTGAGCTGGTCATCGGTGAGACCGTTTGTGGCGGATTGTTGCTTGCTGTTGCTGTTGCTGCCATCCAACTGACGCGTCTGCTCGCGGATACGCTGCATAGCGAGGTTCCTGGCCTCCTCGCACGTGGTGGCCTGGCCCGAGCGGAAGAGCTCGGTGATGTAAGCTCGGAGAGCGTCCTTGAAGCCCGATGAGCGCAGCGACTCGTCAAGCGTGGCCTCGATGTTGCGAATGCCGGGCCCGGCGAGCAGGGCCGAGTAGATGTTGTTGCGCAGGTCGCGCGAGATGCCCGACTGGGCTTGCTGCGTGGTGATGGGGATGGGGGTGTCGGACATGATGCTACTGGCGATGCTGCGTACGTATCGGATGTTTTTTTTAAATGTGGAGAATAGGGAGCGGGTCCGGTAATTGGGTGGTTTTTTGGATGGTTGCAAAGAAAGGAGTCTTGTTTTTTGGGTATGGAGGTTGGCCGGGGTGAGGTTGGTGTAGGTTTGATTGGGTATAGTATGGGACTGGCCGGCGGAATCAGGTGATTTAATTGGATCAAGAAGGGGGGCAGCAAGGCCAAAAACAAAGCCGAGTGGAGATGGGTAAAGGGGAATGACGAGTTAATTGATTGCGAATTAAGACTCGGCAAGGGAAGGACTGGAGGGTGATTTCGATAAAAAGAAAGAGGAGGCTCCAGGGACGACGTTGGAAGAGAGCAATACCGGGTCAGCTTCCCAAAGTCGCGGTAGTTGCTGATCCTGTTCACGTGGGTTGGGGGCGCGCGTGGGGTTGTGCTTTCTCGCTACTGGGGGGGCCGGCGATGTAGTATGTCGTAATATAGGGATGGCAGCTTTCCTTGTCAGGTGCGAGGTGAGGTGCGGCGGGCGGAAGTAACCGATTTGGCGACGGGCCAGCCGGGGTGGAGGAGGGGTTTAGTTTACCTAAGCGTTGGCGGTGAAGATCCCGAGTTCGCATGGGACGAGTGGAGCGTGTGGCTCGGGAGGGGGAGAGGGCGCGAGAAGGGGACAGTGGTGAGTAGTGCTCGCCTGGGGCGGCGGTGGCAGCGTGAATGGAGAGGCAGGGCATCGAGCGTGCCAAAAGCAAGGAGAGGGAGGCCCCGGGCCATGGGGTGTGGGCGTGCCTGGTGCCTGATGCTTGGTGCTTGGTGCTTGGGTGGACGTGGGTGTGCATGCCACGACGCAAGTGCTGTATACCGTGTATACATGCTGACATGGAGGTACATGTGGTTGTAGGCCATGGCCGCGGGCGCCGTCGGTACCTGCATGCGTTATCGCAATATTGGCTTGCAAGCAGCAGTCGAGCCAGCACGGACGCCGCCGGCTGCCCAGCTAGCCGCCTGTCGGACGGTATAGGGTATTGGCAATCCAGATGCAGAAGCAGACGCAGCCTGCCCGCCCTGTTGGCCCTGTCGTTCTTTCTTTCTTTTCTTGCCAGCCAGCCCTCTCTTCTCCCCCCTCGCGCGCCCATCCTCTCTCTCTTCATCCCATCCTCGCCCCGCCGCATGTGCATGTCGTTGCATCTGCTCGTCATCCTGCTCGCACGGTCGAATGCACAGCCCGCCGCCGCCGCCGCTTGCTTTGACGACACGCCCTCTCCCCCTCAGGCCCTCGGACGACAAAGCGCCTAGCCGCAAGCCACTCGCCCGGCGACGACAACCCTCTCCCTCTCCCCGCCTTGCTGCTCACCTCTGCCCCACCGGCTAGCTGTGCATCTGAGACTGAGCCTGCACTCCCGCCCTGCTCCCGCCATCGACGAAACACGCCGTCTCAATCTCGCTTCGTCTCAGACAGGGTGCCCCAATCGCCCTGGGGCCAGCCTCGAGTCTAGCGCCGAACTGCCATCGATAACACAGACCTTGTCCCTCCACGAGCCTGCCTGCTTGCACGAGAGAGGCCTTGGCATCATCACCGGCCGAGATTCGATATCTCTCTCTACCCACACCTCTACCCATACCTCTGTGCCAGCCCTCGGCCTCTCCTCCTCCTGCTGCTGCCGCCACTCCGCCTTCAGCCCCCTCGCGTCATGGCATACACGACAAAGTACCACGAGGATTCGGATGCCGACGACGAGTTTGAGCGCCAGGCCATCTCCAGCCCGACCCTGCCCGTCGAGTACGAAAGCTCGCCTACCAGCTCCGGCCCGCTCAGCACCGAACACACACCCACCACCTTTACCCATTCCCGCGACAGCAAGAGCAGCCCAACAGGGCACATCATGGAGTGGAATGAAGACCAGACGGCCGACTTCATAGCCGACCTCGGCCTCGAGCAATACTCGGATACCTTTGCTAGTACGTGGCCTTGCTCCGCCAATCTTGGCTCTGCCCATGTCCATGCGTGTTTTTACTAATCTCCTCTCCTACAGACGAGGGCATTACCGGAGATGTGCTGGCAGCATTACAGCATGCGGAGCTGAAAGAACTGGGCGTGAGCAGTGTGGGCCACCGTCTCACCATCCTCAAGGCCGTCTATGACACCAAGATACGGCAGAACGTGCCCATGGACCCTGATGACTACGTTCCATTGTGTGCGTGTTCTTTTCTTCTTCTTCTTCTTTTCCTTTTTTTGCCATCTGCCTTTTCTTCACACCCTTCAGGCCCTAACAATGCATAGCTGCCGACACATCGGCACAGGAAGCCCCGCCTACACAAGACGACTTTGCCAGAGTCATTCGAGTAGTCCAAGCGCGTGACGAACGTATCCATACGGCCGAATCGGAACTGCGCCACCTCCGAGAAGACCTCAGCCGCGTCATGGATGAGAATAAGCGCCTGCGCGAGGAGATATTACCATTGATTCGCATGTTGAAAGACAACCAGCCACTTCCAACTCCCCATGAGCATACCCTCACCTCCCCACCAGCAACTCAAGAGAGATCTGCTGGAAGCAGTCTGTCGCGTAAGTTCTCCACCAAGAAGCTTTTCCTTGGGTCTGCGCCAAAAAATCCCTCTCCAACCATCCAAGAGCATCGTGCCCTTGTTGATCACTCTTCGTTGGATCCCTCAGCAGCAGCCGTCGCAGCTTCCTCACACCTCACAGCATCCCTCGGCAGTGGCGGCCCACAAATGTCGCCCAACTCCATTGCCCAACCCTCGCCTACATCGCCCGCATACACACAATCCCAAAGCCGCCAATACAGCCGCGACATACCCCGCAGTCACGACCATGACACAAACTCTGGCTGGAGCCAAACCAACACGTGGAACTCCGACGCCAACTCCATATCCGACCGGAACCGCGATCCCCGCGCCACTCCCGCACCACTATCCTCGCGACCTATGCGAAACAATGCTGCGCCAACACCGAACCCCGAAGAACGCGATCCTCCACTTTCTGGTGGCTCTAGCTCAATGAACGCCCCCACATCGGGCACTTCTTCTTCCACACCTTCGACGAACCCGCAAGTTGAAATATTCAAGTCATTCCGCGTTTCCATCGATGACCCTTGTCACAAAGTCCTTCCCGTTGCGCTCAAGAAATACAACATTACAGCAGACTGGCGGCAATATGCTTTGTATATTGTCCACGGTGATCAAGAGCGTTGTTTGGGGCTGAACGAGAGGCCTTTGATTTTGTTCAAGCAACTCGACAAAGAAGGCCGGAAACCCATGTTCATGCTTAGGAAGCATGCCGCTCCACAAGAAGGTCACGTCAGTACCGTGGGCGGTAACGACGTACGGCCTGTAAACCCCCAGACAGAGAGCTTCGGATGGGGCAACCAGAACAGAGGCACACCTCTGCCTGGTGGCGTGCTGTAGAAAATCCGCATCCCTAAGACCGGGTGAAGACTTGTTGTATTTTTTTCTCCCTTGCGAGCAAGCAAGTATTGTAAGATTCAAGAAGAGCATTGGAAGAGCATGGTTACAGGCAGCTACCGTCGGTAGTGTGGAGCCCCATGGTTCGCCATAGGGAAGGATGGCTTCAGGAGTCATGGGCAAGACGGCGGAGCTTTTTGGTGTATCCCATCATGATGATTGGAGTTTTGGCGCATCGACAAGGAATTTTTCCTGGCACATAAATGGCGTTTGATCTGCCCAAGGTCCGCCTTTGTTTACATTTGTAACTTGACTACACCGCCCAGAAAAAAAGGCAGACGGATGGTGTGCATGTCGAAGAGTTGGGTTGTCACATTTATTAGAGTATAGGGAAAGGGGAAGAAAGAGAGAGAGAAAGAGAAGAGGCTACCAGGTTCGGATTTTGGAGATGATCTATCTTGTTCTTGCTGCTTTCCACATGAAAGGGAGCCTTTTTCTTTCTTTCTTGGAGCAGCGACCTCGGTCTCATCAAAAGAGGCCACGCAAAGTTTTTTTTCTATATATTTTATTTATTTACATCTACTTATCTTTCTGAAAGCTGTTTATCAGTGTATTGCACTTGGCGTGGTTGATTTGTACCGATGTATCTACTCTAAAAAGTGAAAAAAAATGAAAAGCATTATGTTCTGTTGCTGAATATTGCATGTACGAAGTCCATTCTTTTCCCCTCAACTTACCTACTGGGCCTGATCTCGACTACTGTCTGATCTTCTTTTTTTAACCACAACCCCGTGTCTATCAACATCACCCCAAGTTCCCAACACATCTAGAAAAAGATACTTAGCGATGCTACCCTGCTACCTTGGCATTACCTCCAACCCCCCCCCC